TTCCTTATAAAGCCTACCTTCAAATTTGCTACATCATTTAAACATATTAAAATAGACCAAAGCTCTTTTTTCAATCGTTTAGGTATTTAACTTGCCATGTTAGTTGGAGTTAAATCTTACAAGCTGAATTACAATTACTTTGTGACGTTTGATTGTAATTGAATTTCCTGGCGTTCGATTGGACTTATACTTGGTATAGTGAGTATCTTCGGTGACATTGTAATATGATGGTACTATGATGCATATAAAGTGGTACCTACCTATAGTACCATATTACGATACCACTTCCTGACGTTCGATTGGGCTCATATTTGATTATACTTGCGTATTTTTGATGACATTGCAATATTATAGTACCATAAAGCATATCAAGAGGTACCATAATGTAGTACCATATTACGATACCATTTCCTGGCGTTCGATTGGGCTTAAACTTGGTATACTACGTATCTTCGATGGCATTGTAATATGCTGGTACTATAATGCATATAAAGTGGTACCTACCTATAGTACCATATTACGATACCATTTCCTGGCGTTAGATTGTGCTTAAATTTGGTATACTACGGATCTTCGATGACATTGCAATATTATCAAGCATATCGAGTGGTACCATAATATAGTACAATATTATGATCATTTCCTGGAGTTCGATTGGGCCAAAATTTGGTATACTTGCGTTTCTTTATAAAGATTTGTTTAATTAATAATTTTAATTTATTTTACGAATTTTAATTTATTGTACGATATCATGAGTGACAGCAACTTTTATGCCGAACTAATATATTATTAATTGTACCTGTGTCACTTTTTAAAATCTACCTAGGTCTATATAAATATCGTGGCAAACAGAAGAAATTGATTTTTTATACTGCATTTTAATAAATTATTTCCATTATTATTAAACGTGTATTTCATTACTAACGTTTCAGCGTTAATAAATATCACTATCAATCGTCCTGTATATTATTAATTTTAAAGGTAATTAAAGTTATTTTCTTAGTTAACATAATAAAGTAGTGTATATATATTAAAAATGTATTTTGTGAGCATATGTTTTCTAATAATATACTTAAACTTAAAACTATTTTAAAAGCCAAACGAATAATTAATATAAGTGTATCTGACAAGAAACGAAGAATAGAAAAAAATTATTATACACCAGAAAAAGAATGGGATGCCAATTAAAGTCTTTTTGAATCTGGCAACTCTGCATATTTAGCCGAGCTTCAAGGCCGTCGACGTGCCGTCGATCCAAAACCGAACATTGAAAATTTCCAATTATATTCTGATTATGATATTGTCGCGCCATCTAGTATTTTATTTGTGCAATTTTAGCTCTTTCATTTCGAGTATTTTTCTGTTGCGTAGCTAGATATTCTGTGATTATAGGTTAGAATAAATTGTAACTTCTCTAAAAATTCTTTTAATTATTAAAATAATATAAACGCTATAATTTTTATAGATAAACAGTTTTATTATTCTTCAGTCACAAATAAATATCTATACAAAGTAGACGTATAAGAAAGCGATGGCAGAGTTGCTATAGCAACGCTTTGTAGAGACTTTAGCCCGAACAGGACGTAGGGTTATACAAATGGGGTTTCAAAAAAGATATACGAAAATATTAAAAACACATGAAGAAAAAAAATGAAGACTAAAAATAGAACTTCATAGAAAAACGACGACGTTCATAAAAGAGAAAGCTTCTAAAAAAGTAAATATAAATGAACAGTTTTTTTTATGAAAAACAGTAAAACGAAATATACTAATTTCTGCAACACCGTCCTCATCAAGATCAACAACACTTAGTAAAACTAAATTGGATTAAAACATAAATAAATACAAAATGATACAAGAGTTTTTGCACTAATGCACAAAACCCCTCTTTCAACATATCTTACATAAAAAATGAAAATTAGCATGATATTTTACTATACATATTATATAGACAGGCTAGATGTAATCTGTTCTTAAAAAAATAATAAAATGTTATGTTTTTTTTTATTATTTCTTGTTAGTTAGACAAGTCAGTTAGACAAGAGTAGATAATTTAATTTTGTATGCCAGTAACACTAATATTGTGTCTTAGCACAAATAATATTAATCAGTAAAATAAACAGATATACAGGGTGTCCAAAAAATAGTGTATCTAACTTCGGTGGGCGATTCTACAGATAAAACAAAATTCTAAGTTCCTATAAACATATGCCCTAAAATGCTTCCCGAATAAATTACAGCCCTTGAAAAGTTAAATAAAAATAATATATTTTGTTTATTTTTAAGAACATTGGTAAACCGTTTTTCTTGAAATTTGGTACTCTTATTATTTTGCAAAAGCCTCGACCCCTTTCTGTAAAATGTAGATGAATGTCATAATAAAAAAAATAAGTTTGCTTACAAAAACTTTTTATTAGGTTATGTTCATGATGTTCATTAGGCCGCAAATGCTACTTAATCGGTTGTATTTACGGACGTAAATAGAGATACGTAAATTAGGTTATAAATATGAACATAAAATACAACAAAATATAATCGAACGTTACTTTAGGGGTTATCAGTGAGACGTATCCTATTCGGACAACGGGTAGACGTCGGGCTAGTTTAAGTATATGTACGTCGTGCAAGCCAACGTGGGAACGACGTTGGGAAATTAATACAAATGGTACGTTGTTATTTTGTACGTCGACCGATCGTTGGATTTACCAACTCGGATCCAACGACGTCGCTTTTATAGGAAAGCGACGTGACCGGTCGTATCACCAGCACCCGACCTAAACTTGCACAAAGTCTGACGTCGCTTCAGGTCAGATTTAGTTCGAAGTCAGATAGATGCTACTTGGGCTACTGATAATACTTTTATCCTTATAGATAAAGTAATTTCGATAAATGAAAATTAAAGCTAGGACTTTTTAATGTAAAAAAGGTGCTCTTCGTTTAGTTCGAAACGGTGAACGGTTTTCAAGATCGTTGCGTTTAAAGGTTCCGATGCATCAATTTTAGCATTATCGAAATCAGGAAAATTTATTTAAAATATTTTTACATTTTATCATTTCACTAATACTAAAATCGATGCATCCTTAAACGCAAATATCTTGAAAACCGTTCAAAAGTTCCGTAAAAAAGTTCTAGCTTTTTATATCATTTGTTCAAATGACTGTATCTATAAGGATAAAAGAAGTACCACCAGTAGTACTCTACCGTAACGAAAATATATAATAACAAATAATATATTATTTTTATTTAATCTTTCAAGAGCTGTAACTTCTTCGGGAAGCATTCATAGGAACTTTTTGTTTTATTTTTATCTGTAGAATCGCCCACCAAAGATAGATACATCACAAGATTTTTGACACCCTGTATATGTATTTAGTTTTTTTTTCGTTAATAAAATATCTCCATTTCTTTATAAAATATATTTTGTCATCTTGCTCTAATTTTTATATGTAAATTGCCAAAATACTTTTTTTTCATATTGGGCATGCTCAATTAACTGGGTATAAACTTTTCGTCAATAATTCAATAACTAAACTTCTTTCCGTTTATTTCGCAGTTTTTGGCATACACTGTACAGGGTGGGTCAAATTGGACGCTTTTAAAGGGAAAACCCCTTTTCAATAGGAGATAGACGAAAACTAATATCGGCGTCTGGCGCTCAATTTTTATCAAAAACGTGATGGTGAAAACCGCACATCGATATCTATTACTGTTTCGGAGTTAAGGGGTGTTTTTCAAAAATGTGCATTTTTAACAAATCGCTGTAACTTTTTTACTATGGAAAATTTTGTATTTCTATGAAAACATTTCCAAAGCACATTTTAACGTAGAATGTAATGGTATAAGTATAGTTTTTTTTAAGTTAATAATTTAAGAGTTATCGGGACGCCCTGTATATTTTTGATTAACTGAAAAGAACTTAAAATTACCTTTCCAAAAATATAGCACACTTGATAATTTGATATAATCCCCTTCGAAATACAGAATTTTTAAAAGTTCGTCACTTTTAACTAGTAGGCTTTGGACCCCTTATTGATGATATGCCCCTAATGGAACTCAAAAACATATTTTTCCAGCAAGACGAGGCACCACCTCAGGACGCTGAAGTTATCAGCAAATTTTTGCAGCTAATTTCCAGAATAATTGAATAGTTAACAAAGATCCCAGCCGGTGGCCGTCGAGGCCGCCGGACTTAGTGCCTATGGATCTATCCTATATATATTTGCGGAAGAATAAAGGTACTTATTTTAAAATTGCCCGTATAATCTAGACAAGAATTAGAAATAATTAGCAATTATGAGTGGGTGTCTTTCACCCCCACTAAGTTAATGAATTCCGCGAGAAATGTTCATAAACGGCCCCGTCTGTGCATAACAGAAGACGGTCGATATGTCGAACACCTATAGCAAAATCTCATGTCTTGGTTTGCTATTTATTTTTATTGTTATTAGATATAATTTAAATATTTTGATGTTGGTTAAATATAGTTTAAATTTCTCCACTGCACTGATAATAGTTTAAATTGTTATAATAATTCTGCATCTCTCATAGCAAATATTATTTTCGTTTTAATTGATGCTCACAGCTAGATTTTTTTGCATTACAGCCTGCGCCGTTCAAAGCCTACTTATTTAAAGTGGGCGAATTTTTATAAACTCCATATCTCGAAGAGGAATCGTGCAAAATATCAGGTATGCTATATTTTTGGAAAGGTAATTTTAAATTCTTTTCAATGAATTAAAAATATATAGGGTGTCCCATATAAAAAATCAAATTGTCTGTTGATAATTCTTAAATTATTAATTTTTAAAAAATTATACTTAAACCATTAAATTCTACGTAAAAAGGTGCTTTGGAAATGTTTTCATAAAAATACAAAATTTTCCATAGCAAAAAAGTTACAGCATATTTTTGAAAAAAACCCTGTAACTCCGTAACGGTAACAGATATCGATGTGTAGTTTTCACCATCATGTTTTTGGCAAAAATTGAGCTCCAGATATCGATATTAGTTTTCGTCTATCTCCTATAGAAAAGGGTGTTTCCCTTTAAAAGCGTCCAATTTGACCCACCCTGTACAACTAACACATAATGCAACAATAATTAATTTCTTATGATAATTTAACAATTAACTTATTTGCACTTGTATTGGAAATCACTAGACTAAACAGTGCCCCCTTTTGCTTTGAACTATTTCTTAAATTTTGAACATAAAAAACAGAGAAAACTGTTCTATTTTGTATAAACTTCAATTTTGTATAAAAAATATAAATAAATACTTTAATCTTAGCCACGACTAATTTAAAATTTAACATATTACAACAAATTACATCTAACCTGTAACGTTTTGTTATGTCCGAAAGTACAGTATTAACACAAATAAATATTAACTAAATACACCACAGAACCGCATTTTCAACTCAAAATTATTTAATCACATTTCTTGTCAGTTATTGTGAATAGTTCGTAAAAATTATATTGATTGCACAACAAGGTAAGAAAACAGGCAGCCAATAAAGCAACGCGATTTCGTGGTGTGCTTAATTCTACAGGATGTGCAAAAAAGTACGCAACAAATAGATTTTTTATTAATGAGTTATTGATAGAAAGTTGATATAAAATTTCTTCACCATATCCAATAACAATTCAACTATTTAAAAAAAATGTTAGGTTGAAGTTTTTCTTTTCTAGAAGTCATTATTAATACAAGTTTTGTATTTCAGAAATTGTCATTTTTTAATTATTACAATTATCCACAGAACGGTAAGAGTTCTAAAACGGCCGTGTCCTTTAGCTTTGTTAGAAAGACGATTTTTGTAATCTGTAATGGCATACATCAAAATTATTTACGGTGTTTATCAGATGAAAGAAATTTTGAAATAAAATTTTTTCAATAACTCGCATTTCAAAAAATCCCATTTGTCGTGTACTTATTGGCCCACCCTGTAAATATTTATTTTCGATTAATGTTTAGATTAGCGACCACCCCGAATAGTAGTTTACCGCGACACGTGCTCCGCTGACCGTCGCTCAGCTGAGGACGCAGTAACTGAACGGTTCGTAGTTTTTGGAGACATGTCAGTCTATTTCCTCCTCGTGTTTGGAGGTGGAAGAATCGTACAGGTAAATTTTTAAGGCTCGTTCTCTACCTGGAGAGTAATTCTTTGTGCTAAATCTACCTAGCCTGGCGTCCTCCGAGTCTTTGATTTCTTTCTTTTCTTCCGGCGTTAATTCTTTAGGGGACTCCGTACTGTCTCTAGAAAATGTATGTATATTTAGCATTAACATTCCCTATGATATAAAGATAAGTACAAGGTAGCCTAGTGTTCCGAAAAAGGTCGAAATATCGAAATTCAAAAATTATTTTTCAAAACACTGTCATCTGAATATCTTAAAATTGAATTCTTTACATGACAATTTACTCCAAATAGTATTGCACAGAAACAATACAAGTTGGGTTTAGTAAAAATTCCCTCATCTATACATTATAAAAGACAATACATATCTTCTACACAAAGTGTCGTATCAAATACATATTTTGAAAGTTTTCCAGTAGAGCGAAAAAAACGTCTTTTAGTGTAATCTAAAAATTAACTTTGGTATAGCATATGAGCCTTAGAAAATAAAAAAAACATAAAAATATAATTAAATTCCCAAATTCCTAAAAAATCAAAACGCGTTTCTATGGTAATATAATTTTGTTTTAATTTTTAATAGATTGTTATATGATTGTTATTGATAGAATTTTAATTAACGCCATATTTTTTTCTGTTTTATAATGTTAAAAAAGCACAAAATTTATTTAGACAATGACACAATCGATTTCCCATATACCTAATTTTACATATAAAATGACAGCAATCTTCATTTCATGGCCATCGCTGACGCCGTTTTTTTCAATCATACGGTATTAAAAAATATAATTTTCTTATTAGTAGGTCATGCCATGATCGATAACAAAAAAAGGCAAAATGGTACTTACTAAAATATTCATACAATACATCTGAAAATTTTATTTCGTACTAAAATATTCTTTCTTTTAAACTATTACAAACTTTTAAGCAATGCAGTAAATATTGAAAATAAATATAGGGTGATATATATTTTTGAAAAGCTCATAGCAAGCGAGAGCATATGATTTATAAATATACAGAGTGTTATATTTAAGAATGTTTTAGTTCATATCTTCCATATCTTCCCTCATACAATATTATTTTCTTCGATACCTTTCACATTAACAGAGATAAGGGGATGCCCCAAATTGCAAAATTTCCAAAAATACCCTGTAGTTCAGAAACGAAAATTTAGTTTACATGAAAATTTAGTTTACAGCATCTCCCGTTTGACAAAAAAACGGGATAAGTTTATACAAAAAAAGCGCATCCTCCTATCTTCACTAATAACGGAGATACATTATGATTTCAACCCAAATGAGACACCCTGTGCATTATAAAAGACAATACATAATACATATATGATATAACTGACGAATATACAGTATTAAAAAGGGTTTGTATACCGTAATAACACAAAAATGTTGCCCAATAAATTTCGACAAAACATACTAACTTGTAGAAAAACATGCATCCATCTTCTACACTTATTGGCCACTGATCCAAACTTTTCACCTTCGGGTCCCATTCTAAGTTTAAGTGAATCTCTAACAAGTGCATATCCCAAGGGAAATTCCCTTTAACATGGGACACATTTAAATTCTCTACTGGGATACCCGAAATTGTTGAAATCTTCGTTTTGAAGTAATCCATGCTTAACACGTCCAATACAACCTCTAAAATGGAACAGAAACTAATTTGATTAGTTTTGAACTAAAATTGTAATAATATACCTTCAAATGGGCCAAGTTCTAATTCAGAAGGGCTCCACTTCCTTAAAAATACCACAAACTGATTATTTGATGTTACAGTCTCCGGTTCAGATAATTCTTGCAGGTACAATTCGAGATTATATGGAAACATAATTTCATCGCCAAACTTCTGATCATCCAAATACACCTTTTTTGGCTACGAGTATAATTACGTGTAGAAAACTTATTGTTACCAACGCCTAAAATTTGTTACCTTTTTCCAGTTCTTCTCCCTCAACCTACATCTCTCGTGAGCAATGTCCAACTGTTTTTCTTTCTTCGCGTGTTGTATTATTTCTTTTTTAACAGATAGTACTGTTTGATTTTTGGTAATAACATGTTCAAATAATAAATTATTCGGGTCCATATTGTCAGGTGTTAAATGAAAGATCTAAAATAGTAAAATGTTTTAAAAGAAAATAGATTTGCAAAAAAAATCTTATACAGGGTGTTTCAAAAAACATGTGCCATCTCTCGTGGGGAGATTCCTCACGTAAAAATAAAATTTATTTTTCATATCAACAAATCAACATAGGTCCGATTCTGCTTTGTTTCGTAGCTACAGGGTGTTAAAGTTTTAATAATCTTTTGACTTATTACATAGATTTAGGAAGAACAGATATCACATTGTGCATTTTAACCCGATCAAACAATCGGAGGTTGACTACGTACTGTAAAAACTAACTGAGATAGAGAAGGCGACATTGCCACGTCTCAAATTTGCGCCTATCTACTTGGTTTGATTTGCAGAAAAGGTGACTTTAAAACCTTCACCGGATATCAATAAATCTCAATTTCTTAATTAAATTAATAGTTTATTTTTAAAGAAGCATGCGTAATAATATGGTTATTAACCAGAGGATATATGCGTTACTATTAAAGGACATGTTTACTGTTTAATGTGCTGAAACGTTCTAGAACTATTGGCAACGTCGCTGCTGGTCTTCCAGAATGAAATGAGCCGTCCGTCCCACCACCCCTCGCGACGGCCCTTGGTCCCGTTATAGCGTACTACGTTTAGCTTACGGTGTGTTGTGAAGTCGGAATCAAGTCCGAAGTGAACTTTTCAGTGTTTTTCAGTAGTTTTTTGCTTCTCTTTAACGTACTTTTTGAATCTGCGAATTTTCAATATGGTACGACAGTGTCAAATGTGTGGAAAAATAAGCTCAAATTACCCAGATTTGTCTTTTTCACAGATAGGTATTGTTTCCGCCGCGCCGTAATCGCCGTACATAGGCGTCCCACAAGGGAGCCTCTCACAATTAAAATAATTTCTAATTATATTTGTTGAATTTTAAGCTATTAAAACAAGAACGTAGTAGCCGGTAATTGAATTATAATTCGTCTCAATTACTACTTAACTGTTGTAGATCATAACAAAGTTGAATATAAACGTTGCATTTGAAACTTTATTATAAGCCAGAAAGCGACTTTTTTTTCTTAAAATTGCGTCATATTTTGGTCATTATATACGATATTCTAAAGGAATTTTGCTCAACAAATAAACAAAGGTGTTTACCCGCCCTTTTTTTACATTTTATTGCATTATTATATCTGCCCTTTCGGCCTCGTTTAAACATTTTTACCACCGTACAAATACCTCTTCCTAGAGTTATTTGTACGGTGTGTGTTCTTTTTTTTTAGAATGGGACGAACTGTAAATAATTCTTAGGCTACTAGTTTTATATATACCTATATGCAGAGTGACCAAGGCCTCCAAAAAAGCTTTTTACCTATTACGTTTTAGGTTTGTAATTTTTATTTCAATTTTTTACATAAGATGGGGGCCATTGTAACGCACATTTTCAAAATATTTTTGTCAACATACAGGGTGATTCTCGGGGTGATTCAAACCGCAATACATATGCTTAATACAGTTCATGAAGATTGGGACATTTAATTAAAATTTGATTGTCTGATGAAGCTACCTTTAAAAGTAATGGATTTGTAAATAAACGTAATATTCATTATTATGCGACAGAAATCCCATACTGTAGCACACAGATTTGATTACTTTTCAATTTGATAAATGCCTTCTATTGAGAGACTAAAAGGTAATTGCCTCGTATCAGAGCCATCATAATACAAGAAGGAAACCGAAAGTCAAATCTTGTCTTATATTTTCAAAAAAACACAATTTTCTCATTAAATAATGATTTTAGGTATAGGAAGTTATTAATAATACAAGATTAAACAACTATTACATAGTACTTTACAGGAAGCTATCGATTGCGAACTAACTAAATCGTTACTAATTACTAATTTTAAAAAGTTCTTTTTAAGATCAAAAAAGGTAAAACTAAAACCTAAATTATCATTTGAGATTAAACGGGAAGTTCTAAATAATGTTGCCTATTCTAAACAAGAAAATGTATTTATAAGTTTTATAACATCTCTAATTAAATTTGGACGAAAATAATATTTCTGTTTGCTGTAGGTAATTTTCTCAGGGAAAATACCGAGGGAAAATACGTAAATAAAAATGACTTTTTAAGTAAAAAAAAGTCAAAAGGACAAGTTCTTCCAAAAAAGGACTGTCCTTTTCAAAAAAGGACAGGTGGCAACCCTAGGTATTTCTGGAATGGAAATTTAATGGCAAATCTACAACTTTAGTTTGAAAATATGTTCTGGCCCCTATGTTTACAAAAATGTCTAAAATGTGCTTTTACCATTGCCTCCATATTCTGAAAAAATTGAAAGAAAAGTCACCAACCGCAAACCTAATATTGAACTGTTTCGGAAGCCTGAGTCACCCTGTAAATATTCAAAAGTAACTGAAAGTTTATATAGAATTAACTGAAAGTTTAAATTGAAAATCGACGTTGGAGCGATTTTCGAAAACTACCTACTAACGTTTCAACATAAGTATATGTGGGATATTAATTATATCCTTGATTATGTATAAATAGATGTACAATGAGGGCTTAGTACAAGCCCGTCTTCTAGGTGGCGCCTTGCCCGTTCTGAATTTTTGTATTCCCCTACGATTTTCTTTGAGGGGAATCCGTTAAACCCGCCCATCGTTCAAAAATGGAAGGGCGCGAGGTCACATCTATTGGGCCACTTATTAGCACGTTTCACCCATGTTTTTACGAAATAGCTTTATCCTTGTTTGTTTCAACTGTGACAAGAAAAAAGGAAAAAAGTTATATTCGCTTCTAAATTCGGCAGTTTTTGTTGATCTTTCTCGACTTGTAATTACGTTTCGTTTTAGGTTATGTCTTATAAAAATAAATATTTATAAGCTTTTGAATTGAAATATACCTTAATGCATATCTGAGTAATTAAAAATTCAGTTTTTTTCGTCCCTCGCGAAGAAACATAAACAGTATTTGTGAAATTTGGATTAGAAACTATTATTTTATTAGTTTATTTTGTTGTGTTTAAGTGTTGTGTATTTGTACCTACTGGATAATATTTTCCAACATATTTAATTAAGCAAAAAGCATCTGTTTTACAGGTAAGTAAATACTGTTCATATTTATTTCTAAATTCATATAAATTTGTTTTAAATCACTCTTGGGAAAAATGTTATAGAGTCTGAGATAAGTTTAATAATATTTAAACCATATAAAAAAAATATTAAACATTGGATAGATTGATAGATAGATTAAACGATAATGCCCAGTTTGCTTAAAAGTTTAAAAAAATACTGATTTTATGCTATAAATTGTTTCATTTCTCACTTTGCTTTTTTGGAATTGTCAGATATATTGTGTATTTTATAATTTTTCCGAGAATTTTTCTTAATAACTTGATAACGTAAAATATTGTTTATCCACAGTCAACCCTGTGTTTAGATAAAGCTTCATATCAGATTTCCTATTTTATATTTTTCACTCAAATCATATTTTTTTTGTAAAATATGCTTGCAAAAGTAGCGTAAATTTGACAGTGAGGTATTTTTATAGATATACAGGATGATTCAAATATATATTTACTTTTAAAGTTATTAGTTATGAGCAAAGGTTATGAGTTTGTGAAAAAGAAAGGCTATATTTTGTGTATTTTTGCTTGGTGGATTTGTTATTAAATTGTCATCCAAAAAATACCATAATGTCGTAGTCGTATAGAGTTCATTTTGACCAAAGAATATATTTTGACCCTTTTTGGATTGAATTTTATTGTTTATATAATAAAATATATATTTAAAGCCCTCTCTTTCTAAGTTAAGTTAAAAATAGGTAATATCGACGTTTTTTACTGGAACTAATTTAAGTTAATAATTAATAATTATATAATTCATATAATTATATTAAAATAGACTAAATTGTTTATTATATACAGGATGAGTCAAAACTAGATATTATATTTTTCTTTGCTATTTCAAATGAAACACTGTATTTTATATCATAAATCAACAAAGCTTTTATGCAACTTTTGTTTTATTAAGATCTATATCCCAAATTAATAGTTATTAAATTGTTTTCAATTGTCTCTTTGCGAATAAACATGATTTTTTACGCAATTTTTATTAGTAGGTTTGTCGACAAAAGTGATGTATCTATTTATCAGCGACAAAAATTAAGAATTAGATGTTTAAAATAATTTTCTAATTATTTTTTTACTTGGCATCAGTAAATATGATTTATTTTATCGATGCAGCTGAAAATAATTATGTATTCTAAAAGAGGACATTACTGTATATACATCGATTATGGATTTAAAAATTATTTTTCAAAACAAAGTTGGAAAAAATTTTTGAGAAAAAATTGGAGTTCTGTTCGAAATAATCGAGAAAAACCCAACATCTAGTTTTGACGCCCCTAGTATATATCATGCATTATAGTTGATTATACTGCAATTTATTATACATACGTAGTTTTGTTTGGTGAAAATGAAACTTTCTAAAAGTATTCCCAATTAAAACATATTAAGAATTTCCTACATTATAATTTTGAAGACGTTTGAGTGGGCAGACAATTTGGTCTAAAATAATATGTCTAAAAAATTTAGCCTAAAATAATCAAAAACCACTTAACACATATAACTCGCTTTTAAAAAATCTAAAAGAAATAAGTTTGTTTATTATATTCATATTTTATTAAATTATTATAGGTGTGACTGCTAAGTGGTCGTACTCGCCACTTTAACCAAGCATTGGTGGGACCTTCAGAGATCATAATGCGAATTTCTTCATACCATGTAAATCTATATACATGTATTAATAAATGCGTTTGCTTTATTAAATTTTTTTTCTTATACGGTATGAGCGAAAAAAAACGGCGTCTATTTGTTTACGTACAAATGACATCGATATTCATTTCCAAACCACCTCTTGAGGCCGTTTTTTTTTATCGTATGGTATATATTTACATATCCCTTATCCTTTAATTCCGATTTATTTCTAATAATTATAAAAATAAGATACCTGATTAATTCTTCCGAAATATTATAAAATGAGATATCACGAAGAAATAAAGTTAATTATCTCGTTTGTTTTGGGAATTCAAAAAAAAAATAAAAAAAGGGAATAGAGAATCTTTAGAGACACAGTTCAAATGTTATATTTGAGTATACTGGTTGCTTCAAAAATGTGGCGGATACATGTTTTTTTAATGCAAAACTCCATTTTATTTTATTTTCAGTTGATTCTGCCTAAAATTCTATAACTTTTTTTTATAAATAACGTTAGTAAGTATTTACAATTTAAAAAAAAGTAAAATTTTATTCCTATGTTACTTAACTGTCAGTTGTTTCCGAAGTTGGACTACACAAATTTGGTAGGAGTGTTTTACAGAGATGAAAAAAAATATATTTATATGTAAAAATACTTGCAGTTAGATGCTACACTGTGTTCAAACATTTTTTTTTGGCTGATCCGATATATATATTATTATTTTTTCTAGTGATTTTACAAAACCTTTCAACATTTGTTAAGAAAGTATATTAAGTACACCTATACTCAACAGCTTGCAATCTGTTCTGAATTTTATCCTTCTTTTAATTCATTTACATTATAACAAGTTGCCATATGACAAAACAAAAATTATTTATTATTAAGCATTAAGTAAAGTGATTTATTTAGTTATATGACATTCTTAATAGAAGTTGAAGGATTTTTGTAAAATCTATCAGAAAGAATTATAATATATCGGGTGTTTTTCAAAAGTAGCTTGATTGATGTATTCAATTAGTTTCGGTCATTTCTTGTTTCACCGGAAATGACTACAACTTTTGGTTTTAAATGGTACCGTCGGTATTTTTACTTTATTTTGCAGAATATGGCATTCTCAATAGAATAATTTAATGTCAACTTTTGACTCTTTTACTTAAAAATAGTATTTTTAAAGTTCAATCTAGTAGAGTGCCATGATAATAAACATGTAACCGGTCGTAAAGATAACGACAGTTTGACTCGACATACGGGAGTGTGGTACCAAATTATTTACCAAAATTAGGTACCAAAATTTATTAGGTATCAAAAATGCTTTTCTCCAAATATGCTAATGAGCCACTCTCGTTTCATTAAAAAAAAATTGAGTTATGATTAAAATACGAAATGGGCATATTTCAACTGACCAGGAAAAGACACAAAAAATATTAGACGACCAAATCAATTTTTCCAAAGCTCCTTGATTAATCCTTGATTAAAAAATAATGGTTTTAACACAGCCATGACACTAGATTGAATTTTAAAATGCTATTTTTGATTTAATTGAAAATGTCAAAAGTTGACATATGATTGTTGATGTCAAAAGTTGTCATTCTATTCAGAATGTCATTTTCTATCAAATAAAGTACCGTATGATCGAATAAAAACGGCGTCAGCAATGGCTATTTTATATGTAAATTTATATGAGAAATGTCATCGATGTTCATTTCATAGCCATCGCTGACGCCGTTTTTTTTCGATCTTACGGTATATACCAATCTCGAGGGTACCATTTAAAAATCAAATGTATACATTTCCGGTGAAACAGGAAGTGACCGAAACTAACTGAATACGAATCAATCTCGATTTATGTCATATACCTACTAACATTCCCAATTTAGTTTTTTTCTCGGAATCTGAAAAAATAAAAAAGTTATAGAGGTGAATCACTTTAAAAAAAAAACACTCAGTATAGGCTGTGTCATTGAAAGAGTCTGCAGATATTTTTTTAATTTTAATTACGTAGAATTAACCATCAATATATGTTGAACACCCTGTAGCATCTGCCTTAAATATCTACATAGTATCTAATATTTTTTCTTCATCAACAAATTGAAATATTAGAAAACTAGTTTTAGGTTACACCATTATACAAGGATTATACATAAAAAATTAATGATTTTACGCAGGATCTAAAATAAAATAGGATGTTACATTTAAAAAAAAACATTATGTTAAATCCGTCATACTTTTTACAAAGTTACAGAGGTAGGTAGGTATAGTTTCATATATTTATTTAATTATCCATCTAGAAATAAAATATATATATACCTAATATAATAATTTAGTATTTAACAAGGGGCCATGAAAATCAAAATAAATATAAATCCATATCCAAAAATAAAAATGTAAATAACGCTTTGAGGTAAAAATTCGGTTCAAAGCAGATAAGATATTTTATTCTTTACCCAGAATTAAATTCGAAGAATTCCTAGTCCCTACTTCTTTGCCAAATTCAATAGTCTCCGCCCCTTTTTACGTTTTAATTTCTGCCACCAGTTGGCAGCATCGACTTATACAGGCACATTGACTAACTATTAATATATAAACAAGGATTATATTATTATATTAGACCTTATAACAAAACTCATCTGACGAAAAAGTGTTAATGTAGTATATTAATATGGAGTAAACATTTTACTAATCACTTCACTTTTACTTTACTAATTAAATTCGTTCCAAAAAACGATACGTCACTGGCCATTAGAACAATCCAAATGCGCCTAGTTGCCGAGGTCGGAAATTTTAGACTTCTCTGTCTCTTCTGTCCTTGTTTGACACATTGGAATGTTTGATACACTACCAACGAGTATTTATGAATGAGATGTTCGGTCTATATTTATAATGTCTTTGACTTATTATAATTTTCTTCCAACTACTTTTAGCGATTCGAATGAAATTTTGAGAGTAAAAGTTACTATAAGTGCTACATATTTTAATGCCAAAAAAGTATCGATAAATCCATCAGGAACGTGCATATGGGTTATCACTGGAATATTTTTCAAAAAAAAACATGCACCACTGACTTTTTTTCTACTGAAATTTCTTTCTATTATGTAGGCAGTTTAATGCCAATTAAAAGTTACCTCTTGAAATTTTGTCGAATTCGGCCTCCTTGATGAGATAAACGCAGTTTTATAAATTTTTTTTATAATTTATTTTTAAATTACATATTTTATCTAATTTGTTATAAATATTATTACCATTAGTTATTATTACTATTAGTTCCAGCTACTGCAATTTCAAATAAAAAAATTACGGTATTAAGATAATTACAAAATAGCTAATTTTAAAAAGTTTTAACATCCTGTAACTCTAAAATTATGCCTTTCCATACCCATGTTTATTTTTATTTGTGGAACTTCTTTTCATATTTTTTGATGAGGAATCGATGTGTGCTTATTTAAAACTTTCGCAAGTTAATGATATTAAATTTTTTTAGAGGTTGCTGTTAGACTTGGATCAAGACAAATTAATAAAATTGCGTTATCTCATTAAGGAGCCCGAAATCGACAAAAAATCGAGAGACAACTTTTAATCAGCTTTAAACTGCTTACACTATTTCACTAACAAGAGAAAAAAATGTCAGTGGCGTAGATACTTTTTTTAGGAAAATATTCCAGTGATAACCCATATGCACGTCTCTGGTGGATATATAGACACTTTTTCAGCTTTAAAATATGTCGCATTTATAGTAACTTTTACCCTCAAAATTTCATTCGAAACGCTAAAAGTGCTTAGAAGAAAATTATAATAAATTGAAAAAATAATAAGACTTTAACACCCTGTAGCTACGAAACAAAGCAGAATCGGACCTATGTTGATATGAAAAGTAAATCTTATTTTACATGAAGAATCTCCCCACGAGAGATGGCACATGTATTTTTTTAGTTTGGTTTGGTTTAGTTTAGTTAGTTTTTCAAACACTATTTTATTTTGTAGATTTTCTTACAGTGCAAGTAGCGAAATACCCAGAAGACTTTTTTGAAGAAATAAAAATATTATCTACCATTAAATTTCCAGTGAAGTTACATTTAACAAAAATTTCAATAAAAACATTGGGCAAAACATTTTTTAAGTTTTTTAACTTTTAAAGGAGGAATATGACTTTTTTTCTGAATCCTTTGAACCAGGGTTGGCATGATTTAAATCGTGATTTAAATCATGTGATTTTTTTAATTTTAATCATTTGATTTAAATCAAAAAATAAGATTTTATTGAAACTTTATTATAAATCAAAAAATAACTGTAAAAGTTATAAAAATGTGTCCCAGAAAACTATAAAAAATATTTCTATACCAGATATAACAGATAATAAATTGAAAAATAATTGTAAATGTTATAAAACTATCTAAAAATTTCTAATCACCAATTTAATTGTTGGACCGATTTTTGAACTAATTTCGTGTGAATCCATTAGACCACTAAACGCAGGTATTTATTTTAAAATTTATTTATAAGTGACAAAAATTTGCTGTTCGAATACATATATCATTCACAAAGTCTAGTGCAGAACTAGGTTCTTCTAATATAGAGACTATATCTTCATTCCCGAGAATCTATAATCGTCAGAAAATAAGTTGTTTTATATTTTTTTTAAACTGTTGTATGTTTCCAAATTTCTAACGACATTTTGATCTGCAATAAGTACTTTACACTTTGACATTAGATGATAATACATACTAATTTCATTCTCGACTTAAAGACTATTTCCGAACAATAGTGTATTGCTTTATTAGAAGTAAAAATTATACTTTTTTTGACAATGCTGTACCTTTGAAGGACCATCGTAAAGCTATTCCAACGATACAGAGAGGCACAAAAAGTACATTTTTACCCCGAATAGAACATACTATTTTTTTGAACATTACAATTAATTTTTTAATCAATTTCAAACATTGCAAGTAACATAAACAGTAATCGAGCAACAATTTATACACTCGTTGAATTTGACACTTAATATCAGTTTAATAATATATTTCTGTACTTTTGTGCTTAGGCGTAACAGTGCTTTACTTTTATGCCTATGCGTTAAAATGACAAAAATTAATTCTTTTGAGACGTTTGAAAAAAAAATCCTTTTGATCTGAAGCGAACGACTTTTTTTGCGGAATATATAGGTGACCGATGTGGAAAAATCACAAACGCCTCGTAGAATTGTTAATGTTATCGGTATCGGGGTACATTTGCAATTTACGATAGGACTTTAATTGGAAATAAGTCCTAGTCATTTGAAAATCCGATTTAAATATTGTTTTGAATTAAAATCAAAAAAATCAGATTTAAATAAAAAAAAATCTGATTTAAATAAAAAAATCTGATTTCTTTGATTTTTTTAAAAAAATCATGATTTTTTCCAACCCTGCTTTGAACACACTGATATAACAAAATTTTGCCACTACCTAGTTTGTAATAACATTAATTTACATAATATTGAACTAAAACTTACCTTACAGAGGTGTTCGTCTTCCCTTAGTACTCGTCCTAATTTAATTATTAACATATCGCCTTTCGTAAATAACCTCAGGGTCTCACTAAGCCTTGTTAGTTCATCATTTACAATCGCATGATGTTTAAAAACCTTAAAATATTCAGAAGAAACTCTTAACGTGGATTCTAAGTGTTTTTTCAACGCCTCCAAAGTTATTCTTTTATCTACTAAAGCCTGAAATTAAAAAAATAAAATATATTAAAATCTTTAGAACTGAAAGAAAATATTTAAAACTTACACTGTATACATTAAATTCTCCTTCGTCTGGCATTACAAAATGATCTAATATTGTTGTTAACTGAAAAAACAATATGCAATATTTATACATAGATTATATTAAAATGATATAAAAAAAGCTTTGTATATAATTATAATTGAACTAAAACTATCTCAAAAGTGGCTCACCCCTATAACTTTTTTTTATTTTCAGATAAATAAACGAAACGAGATTTTTGGTACGGGGGTGTGTTTTTGGTATATGACATAAATAAGGATTGATTGACGTATTAAAGTTAGTTAAAAGTTCAATATTATACAACTCGAAAAAAATGCACAATCGCCTGCCATTTGAAATCAAATCCATAACATCATTTTCTTCATTTCGCAAAGCATTGAACCCTTATTTACTAGACAAGGCTTTCTACACCGTGAATGAATTATATTTTGATAATCGAATTTGATCTTGTAAACACTGGTCTAATGTTTGCTATTGCTATATTTACCAATGACAACGAAATAAATTTATTTAGAGGTCATTGATATTTACTATAAACTAACTAAATATTTTTATTTTTTTTATTCTTTGACATTGTAAACATTTATAAATGTTTATTTTAAACAATAAGACTGACAATATTATTTCTATAATGTTTTGTATTATCTTTTGTTTGTTTGTGTACCTTATTTGTTTACTTTGTTTGTTTACTTTACCTTTATGTACAAATTGTAAACATTTTTGACAATAAAGGCATTTATTTATTTATTTATTCAATTGTTTTTGGTCACTTCCTTTTCAACTTTCCAACAACTTTCCAACTTGTGATTTTTAAATGGAGCCCTTGTTATTTTTTTTTACTTTATTCAATAGAAAATGGTACCTATTCTGAATATAATGACATATCATATACAATCTAGAGTGCCATGGCTATGTTAAAAACACTAACTTTTAATCAAGGAGCATTGGAAAAATACATTTGATCATCTAATGTTTTTCGTGTCTTGTCCTAGCCAATTAAAAGATGCCCAAATCGTATTTCTAATCACAGCGCACATCTAATTTTTTCAAATGAAACGAGGGTGGCTCAATAGCATATTTGGAAAAAGCATTTTTTTATGAATAATTTGGTACCACACACTAGGTATTTCAGGTAAAATTGTCGTTGTGAATGTTACAATTTCGTGCGAAAATGTCAAAAGTTGACATATGATTCATTCAAAGTTATACGTATGTCATAGGTGACATATGAGTCATTCTATTCAGTGTCATTTTCTATCGAATAAGGTAGAAAAATATCAAGGGTGTCATTTAAAAATCAAAAGTTGTAGTAGTTTCCGGTAAAACAGGAAGTGATCGAAAACAATTGAATAGGTCTATCAATATGTCATATACCAAACGTACCAAATTTCGTTACTTTCTCTGAAAAATGAAAAGTTTCATCAAAAGCGTGAGACTTTTGAGAAACACCCGGTATACATAAACTGGAAAAAAAATACAATTTTTTTTATTTAAATTTAAACCAGCTCATAAAATAGTTTTTACCTTAAAGAGGAGGAACTGAGATGATACCCTATGAAGATCTGTTTCCGTTTCGGCATCATCCCAACTCATTTCATCGCCAGGCCTGCCCAGAACGTCATAATTGTAAGTATCTCGACATGGGTCAGAAGGAGAAGCCATATGTTGGTCAGCTGGAGAAGCCGAATTGCTTAAGAGAAGGTCCACGCAATCGGCTAAAAAAATAAATTTAGTGCTCGCAAAAATAATAAATTAAATCCGAATTACTTGGCGCGTCCCCAATAAGAGTTCTGTCGCTATCACTAAGACTACTATCTTCGCTATTGCTCTGATCGTACCCATCACCACACATTCCACCAGACCCTGGTTGAGGTGAAACTCTTAAAGCTGGAGAACTTGTGCTCGCTCTGTCAATGTTTTGATCAGGTCTATCTAAATTTAGATTTGTATCTAATAAAGGTATTGATAAGGATTCCAGAATAGCTAAAAATATATATTTAATTTTAAAACTGATACGGACGACTATTTCTAAATCACTACCTTCACTAGTAACTGGTAAAGTTATCGATAATGCAATGACATGGCTATACAACTCTGCGATTTTTTTCAGTTTACTTATATTTTTCCTCAAATTTTCCGAATCTTTATCTATAATATTTGCTATAAAAAGTTTATATTCCGAAAAGTTTGAATCGAAATTCACCAGTTCAGAATCGTCCTTCAAATACTTTTGTTCGTTGGTATAACTTTGTAAAACAACCTAAAGATTAAAAGTAACGAATTTTAATTTAGGACATGTCAAAATATCTTTTGCAATTATACCTTAATATTACCAGGTTCTACGGTAAATAACTCCCCTAACTTTTGTTTCAGATCTCCAACAGTGTCATCGACATCAACTCGAACAACTTTAGAATATGCTATATCTTCATTTTCAATATTTATTAAATATGCACTCATATTAATGCCGCCTTTTTTGTATTCTTTCCAAGGTGTTCCTGAAAATAATTAGAACTTTAGACGTTTAGCCAATCGAATCCTTGAAATTCAACCGATAAAATTAATATCATATCATCGTATAGTCGGATAACGGATGCATGAAAATCAAGCAAGCTTAAGACTAATCTAGACGGGGCTACTTTGTTTACGCGGAAACCGAACAGCGATCCTCGGCCATATCATTGCAATGGCCTACCCACTTAGACAATCTACATCAAAAAATATCCGATCTCATCCGACCTTTAACCGGCGTGCATGAGCACTGTGTCCATAGATAGATTTTACACTCTAAGGAGCAACACCACGACAGAAGCTTCCAGACATTGGAAACCAACTGTACGCTGTTTTGTTTCGATCATACGGTATTTGAAATGAAAATATACTATTTTATTAAAATTAAGTAAGGATTTGAAAAGACATCAGTAGTAATATTATACCTGTGTAAAAAGCTTATGAAAAAGTGCGGGATTTGTAACAATAACGACAATAAAAAGCAAATATAAGTAGATAAGACGAATTTTGCTGGAGTAAAGTAATTTGTAGTGAATTTTATATAGGAACAGGCAACATTTACTGCAGTTTGGGATTATGTTTATGTAGATTTCTGGGTCCACTATTAATATACAGGGTGGTCCGAACTGTATTCCGGAAACTTCGATAGCATATTCTGCAGATAAAATAAGTAAAAAAGTTCCTATAAATGTATGTTCTAAAATGCTTAGTTTCGGAGATACAAGGTGTAGAAGTTTCACTTTTATTTCGATTTTTTCCAAATAATTTCTGAAGTAAAGTCAATATTTGGATGAAAATTGACGTTTGGGAGTTTTTTGACAAGAGAAATTTGATTTTGATGTCAACATGACTCCTTGACTTGTAGAGGGCGCCACCTACACATTTATTATCTGGTTTGAAGAGTAATAACTTTACGTCCGTACCTGTATGAAACTACGGAGTAAAATATACATTTATGACGTTTTTTACATAAAAAAGTTCTCATGGTAAAAATCGCTACAGGTATTGGTTCTCGAGATATTTGGAATCGAAAATGTGAATACCTGTCATCATTGACATAAATTAAACATGTTGACTAAATAGTTATTAGACTGAAATCATAAATTTGAAATTGTTTGTGCCAAAAGTTCAACAGAAACTGTTTTATCGTCATTTTTTCGCAGAAAAATTAATTTAAAAAAAAATCCCAAATTTATTATTTTAGTCAAATAACTATCTACTCAACGTGTTTATTTTTTGTCAACAATGACATGTATTGACTATTTTCATTCTAAATACCTTGAGAACGGTTGCTCGTATCGATTTTTACAAGAGACATTTTTATGTAAAAAGTCACGGGGATTATACTTCTTCACTCATTAGTATTTTCATTCAAATATTGACGTTACTTCATATATTATTTGAAAAAAATCGATATAAAAATGAAACTTCTACACCCTGTATCTCCAATACTAAGCATTTTAGGACATACATTTAGACGAACTTTTTTACTTATTTTTATCTGCAGAATATGCTACCGAAGTTTCCGGGATACAGTTCGGACCACCCTGTATATTAGGCCATTTTTGTAAAAAAATGGATAAGGCGGGTTTTGCAACTTGACGCCTAAAATATATATATTATCTCATTATTATTTTATTTCTCGTACGAACCGGTAACACTGTATGCCGTCTTTTAATTTGTCATTGTGTCTGTCAACTGGTCGTATATATTTATCTCTGTCGTATGCATTAAAGTACAGACATGGAAATAAAGTGACCAGAGCTAGTATGTAGTACCTACTAATCTTAAGTACAAGCAAATTACTAAATTTTGTTTATTCACTACTACTCCCTTAAAAAAAAGCATAAAAAATTAAAGAAGCTCCATCTTTGTCGACGAATATTAGTCTTATGCAATAATTGCTTTGCAATAATCACCCGAATTATAGGTAAGCAAATGTAGCCCTACCATTAAATGTTTTAGAAAGTTAACAGTCTCTTCAAAAAAATCCTTTATGGGTATTTCGCCACTACACCGCAAGAAAATCTACAAAATAACATAGTTATTTTTTGTAAACACTTCTGCGTTGAACCTAAACGGATACTGCTTGTCAGAAGTTATGTTTACAGTTATACAAATTTGCCTAACAAAGAAAAAAAAGGTTTAACATTTCGGAAAGTCTCTTTCAGTCGTCGGAAGCAAAAAAATACAAAGAATAAAGAAAAAACTATTTAAAATATTTAAATTCAACTATTCGAGAACACTTCACTTTTTTAAAACAAATACGTCTACAAGAAACCGTTGACGTTCTGTTAAAATGACATTATATCAAGTTAAACTTCAAAATTAACAATTACTACCTGATAACAAATACTTAATAAGGTAAAATCAAAAAGCCCCAAACTTTCTGTATGATTATTTTTAAATTTTACGTATGTTATGTTTATTTATGTTATGTTCTTTAAAATCAAAAAAGCGATCGCCATACATCTACAGATCTACATCTATCTACAGATGCATGAGCAATACATTTATTTTTATTAGATTGAATTAAAAAAAGCCTCTTTTATTTTTCTTTTGGTGTTATTAAAATTTATTCTGTGTCCTGTGTCCCATAAATGTTGACAAATCTTAGATCTAACAACACAGTGTAACAAAATAGTTGAATTTAAATATTTTAAATAGCTTTTTCTTTATTCTTTGTATTTTTTTTTGCTTCCGACGACGGAAAGAGATAAACTTTCCGAAACGTTAAGCATAAACGTAAACATAACTTCTGACAAGCAGTGTCCGTTTAGGTTTAACGCCAGAAGTGTTTACAAAAAATAACTATTTTATTTTGTAGATTTTCTTGCAGTGCAGCCGCGAAATACCCATAAAGGATTTTTTTGGAGAGATGAATCCGCCACATAGGTATAGACATTTTTTAAAGTTAACAGTATCTAACCTGGTTCTCGAACTTCCAACATCCACTCGGAATAATGCAGATTATTTGACTGTATAATATCATGGAACTTTATCTCTTCAGAAGGAAAACTAGTATCAATACACCGATTTTTTTTATTGTAGGCAACAATTCGACAGTCTTTCGAATCCTTAGAACCATCAAGTCTAAGGCGATTATAGGCGTGCTGAGCGACTTCAGCTAACGTAGAATCGGAAAATGTCTACAAAAGATCAGTTTTAAAGATATTTTAACAAAAAAATAAGATAAATAATACTTACAGATATTTTAACTTCTTTCAATAGGCCGCCTATACAACAAGACACTGTTATCTTTATCATTTCATCTTCTTTTTTTCTGATAATTCGATCTTCCTCTTCTTTTTGCCTCATACGATGTAATAGTTTGTTAATATGCGGAGGGAAATCCATTACCGTCATAGCGTTTATGTTTCTTTCCTATAATTTAACAAATCAAATAAAAAAGTTTAAAGTCGGCTACGTCTTAAATTTTAGTAAAAAAAAACTCAAAATGTATTATTTACCTTATCTATCTGTCTGTACATCAACATATATGCATTTGTACTAGAACTGAAAGCTCCTGAATAATATGTTCTTTGTGGTCCTCCCCCATAGGTTTTCCTTATATCATCCTCTGTTATCTAAAAAATATAAACCTTATAATATCAAAAAAATAATATTTTTTTAATTCTTACTGGAGTGACGCTTTGATCGTTAAAACAAAACCATAAATTTTTATCAAAGTCTTTGATATAGGCATAATAGTGGCCACCAGATGCACTTCCAGAATGAATCATAATACTGAAAAGATCATAGAGATAAGGACCTTTAGCTTCATTTTCATGGTGGTTATTCCCAGAACTAACATCTATGCCTAAAGAATAAAAAAATAAAAAGAAGGTAAAAATCCTGCAATGATCCACAATTATTATATAAATTGATATACAGGGTGGTCCGAACTGTATTCCAGAAACTTCGGCAACATATTCTGCAGATAAAAGTAATTAAAAAAGTTCGTATAAATATTAAATATATGTCCTAAAATGTTTACTTTTAGAGATACAGGGTGTAGAAGTTTCATTTTTATTTCGATTTTTTCGAAATAATTTCTGAAGTAAAGTCAATATTTGGATGAAAATTGGTGCCTGGGAGTTTTTTGACATTAGAAATTTGATTTTGGTGCGAAAAAATATATATCTCTGGGACTTTTTACGTAAAAAATATCTCTTTGTAAAAATCGTAGAGCAACCGTTCTTAAGATATTTAGAATGGAAATAGACAATACATATCATTATTGAAGAAAAATAAACACTTTGAGTAGATAGTTATTTCACTGAAATAATAGATTTGGAAAATTTTTAATTTTTTAAATTAATCAAATTTTTCTGCAAAAAATGATGATAAAACAATTTCTGTTGAACTTTTGGCACGAAAACATTTCAAATTTATGATTTGAGTCTGATAACTATTTAGTCAACATGCTTAATTTATGTCAATGATGACAGGTATTGATAATTTCGATTCCAAATATCTCGAAAACCATTACTCGTAGCGATATTTACCAAGAGACCTTTTTCACGTAAAAAACGTCGTAAATGTATATTTTTTTACTCAGTAGTTTTATACAGGTACGGACGAAAAGTTATTACTCTTCAAACCAGTTAAAAAATATGTAGGTGATGCCCTCTACTAGTAGGAGTCATATTGACATCAAAGTCAAATTTCTCATGTCAAAAAACTTCCAGACACCAATTTTCATCCAAATATTGACGTTACTTCCGAAATGATTTGGAAAAAATCGAAATAAAAATAAAACTTCTACACACTGTATCTCCAAAACTAAGTATTTTAGGACATACATTTATACGAACTTTTTTACTTATTTTCATCTGCAGAATATGCTGCCGAAGTTTCCGGAATACAGTTCGGACCACCCCGTATAAGTGAAAAAACGGCAATTTCTTTATAGAGGCATTGTAATTATGTTAATCTTGCAATTTGAATTTACCAATAGACAATAAAAAAGCAAAAATAAAATTGTTTGTAGTAATATTCACAATATTCAGTCCCTGCCTATACAGGGTCGCTGATATGTATGGAAACAGTCGATTATTAGGTAAAATATAAGAGGTACCGCAAAAAGTTAAATATAAAAGTTATAGGATGTTTAAATATCTATTAGCGAGTAATAAATTTAAGTATACAGAGTCGGCCATAAAGTCGTGGCACATCAAAGTTTCATTTTTTTAAATGGAACCCCCTGTATATTATTGCAAATTTCGGTTCTTCCTTCAATTCTAAGCAAAAATCGAAATACATACAATATACCTCAAACCAACCGTTTCCGAATTATTGACTTTTAAAAATATCACTTAAATAACTCGATTTAATTAATTTCGATGTGTTCGGTTTTATTTAACGATGCCATTCTGCGGAAACTGTGATGCTTAATAATATTTGACATTAGTTTTCAAGTTAGCATTTATAGATGTATAAAATGAAATTATATCAAGTCTGGAAATTACAAAATTTTTTGTTTAACATTTTAAGATCAAAACTTCAATTCGGAAATTGTTGAATTTAGGTACCTAATTATAATACACATAATGTACGTAAATTCAACAATTATTTCCGAATTATGCAGTGTTGATTTTGAAATGTTGAACGAAAATTCTGTAATTTCCAAACTTGATATAATTTCATTTTATACATCTATAAATGCTAACTTGAAAACTGATCTCAAATATTATTAAGTATCACAGTTTCCGCAGAATGGCATCGTTAAATAAAACCGAAAACATCGAAATTAATTAAATTGAATTGTGTAAGTGATATTTTCAAGTCAATAATTCGAAAACGGTTGAATTGAGGTACCTTGCGTGTAGTTCGATTTTTGCTTAGAATTGAAGGAAGAACCGAAATATGTAATAATATACAGGGGGTTCCATTTAAAAAAATGAGACTTTGATGTGCCACGACTTTATGACCCACCTTGTATACTTAAATTTATTACCCGCTAATAGATATTTAAAAACCCTATAACTTTTATATTTAACTTTTTGCGGTACCTCTTATATTTTACCTAATAATTGACTTTTCCCATACATATCAGCGACCCTGTATGTTCTTTTTTATGATAAAAAAAGTTTTATAAAATTGTACAAGTAAAAAATAAAAACCTTCATCACTATCAGCACAATTGTCATCTTGGCCATTAACTGTTGAAGACAAATCAGTACCCTGACAACTTTCATCATCAGCTGAACCTGAATCTGTGGTGCTGCAATCATCGTATTTTACAATTGTCTCTCCTTCAGCAGTCCCTTGATCATTCTCACTTTTACTAGCAGGAACAAAAGCGTTCAAATTCAATTTCTCTGGGAAAACCACCCTGTAAACAAATTGATTACTATTTTCTTTACTCACTTTGCAGATGCACCTACTTGTCATTTAATTTAATTCTATGCATGGTATTGTAATCAAAATCAAAACGTTTTAGGTGTAGCGTAAGTAAATAAGGAAACTTTGTAAATTTAAGTCCTTTGTGAGCATCACACTTTTTATTACATTTCTCGCAAAAATACTGGTTATTGCCATCCAAAGTTTCTGGCTGTACAAATGCACGCAGAGCTTCCTCGACACTATTGTATGCTACCTAAAATTGATAATGACAGTCCTGAAAGAAAACAACAAAACAAAAGTAACTTACAGTGCTTCCAAATGGTCTAACTGGCAAGGGAATATCTAAAAATGAATCTTCACGAGACTTTTCCGTTCCACATTCCAAACATTTAACATAATCTAACATTTTCCCCTCATATAAATCATTTATTAGGTTCGCTTGTTTAGTGTCTTTAAATTTCTGTTCCAATGCATCAAACATAACTCTGCAAAGTTCTTGAATATCATGTTGATGCCAAGCGTCACTACCTATAAATTGATATAAATATAGACAAAATTCCTGAAAAATTGTTACTATTACAGCTAGTATCATAATACCTTGCCATCCAAAACTTGTTGTTAAATCTGTTGTTTCTACAGCAGATTTTGTTGACGTTTGCAAATTCAAAAACAACTTTTGCAACTGATAAGGAATCGATCTAGTCTCATGAGATCCATCGAATTCCCAATTATAAAGAGCGTTTCTGAATTCAGGGGTCATAAAAAGTGCCTGTAATAAGCTGTTAAGATAGCATGTCATTGCTTGGTTTACTAATCCTACATAGTTCGATGACTCAACTACAAAAAGATAAAATTAATTGAATTAGTTCAGCCTCTCTTAATAATAAAGATATGAGAATACACCACCTATAATAGGCTCTAACTGAGTTGCTTTCCTTCTACCCTGGTTATGAAATCCAATGGACTCATAATTAAATTTTATTGATGAACATTCTTCACTAGTGGCAAATTCGATTGTTGGACTGGCTGAAGCTCCTAGCAGTAAATCGTCCTCAGGGACATCAGATACAGATAAAGACATATTTTTATTTTTAGGAGGTATAAGAGTAAATTCATCATCCGTGGAAATAGGCCATAAATCAGCTTCCAATAAAGTATTATCTTTAATAGCACTTAAAGCAGTCTAAAATAGACCAAAATAGTGACTGAATTTCATTTGAATGTATTAAAAAATTATGAAACCACAAACTAATACAAATATGCTAATAATATTATGTTAATTACCTGGGTTTTGTGTTCTATAAATATATTAATTCAAAAAAATAATTTTATCTTTACTTACAAAATTATGTTCAGTCCTAAATACAATTTCAATTTCATCTGTCTGATATGCATATTTTTCGGCAACCTCCTTAAATATGTCATCTATTAATTTTGTAGGAGTTACACTAACAGAAAATAAGAGTTTGAAATTTCCAGTTGTCTCTTGCAATGTAACTCTCACTGAATAATCCTCTGAAATCTCAGGATATCTAAAACCACCCTGAAACAGTGATAAATAAGGATTGATTTTCTTTTAAGTGCAGTAAAAATTGCCTGCTACTACTAGCAAAATTCAACAGCTACAGTAAAGCAAAATAAAACAGAACTTGTCCAACAATTTACAACAGTATAAAGATCTGAGATTTTCATAATTTAGTTATGGTTAGTTAGTTTAGTTGTAGTTAAACTTTTCTTCTGGCCTTTAAAATAAATTAATAACAAATTTAAAAATTACCTAAACTGATCTACATCATAGCAACTCAAATAGATTCATGACAATTTAGAGACATATAATATTTATTACTGAGATATAAATTTAAACCTCATAAACATTAATGGTATTTATGAAGACTGCAAATTTAAGTTAATTATAGAGTCAATCCCTCAAATATCAGATGATAAAAAATATAAATAGGGTGCAAAATTAAAAATAAAATGTATATTATTTCTTCTGTTCAGGTCAGAAAACACCATAACATTTTTGGCTGATATCCAGAAGATAATTTTAGTAGAACGTGTTAATACATAAATATATCTTTTTTAGTAACAAGCAAAATATGTAATGTTTTACTTACCGCTTCCATTATTTGTGAAATAGGTATTTGATCTTTATTATTTCCCCTTTATGACAGCAAAAGATTCTGACCTGTTATTAAAGACAAAAATTAGGGACTATGAAATTAGAACAGAAACAAAAAAGGACATGAACCATCTAAATTTTGATTAGAATATTTCATATAAATAATAGAATATTTATACAAAATAGGTGTATTTTTTATATCTGTTAACTAAGAATTGACAGAACAAAATTACTTATTCATTAAAAAATGTTTACGTCACTAACGAAATAAAACATTATTATAGTAAAAATAAGTAATTTCTTTGAAATTCAACATTAAAGTACCTCAAAGAATGCTAAAAATTAACTTCCTGAAGTTCAACAATGATAAAAACCATTTTTTTTCTATTCCTTACCGGAGAACTTGACATGTGCTAAAAGTCAGAATACGCCATTTTTTGAACATTTCCAGTGTTGCAAGATTTCACTCTCTGAATCCTGAATTCATCCTTTTTATATGATCTGGTTCTGTCCCTACCCAGAGATATAGGACTACCCATAAAAAAAAAAAAAAAAACAAGGGCTATCATCGTCATATATAAAAAAAAGCTAACTTAAAATTAATTCAAATGAAACAATTAATTTCTTAATTAAATATACGTACCTATTCTCTGATACGTACTCTTAGGGCGAAGACGCAAAATATCCATATCTTCCATATTTCCACTTCCATATCTCTGTTTTTTTCCCTACTTTGATGTTGCCAATTTTATCATAATTCTTTCAAGGAAAGTAAATTCAAAAACTATGAATATCGTAAAAGTTGATTATCATCTGACAAATATTAATATGAAAATATGGACAACAGAATAAAGTAATTGCTATTTTAATTCAGATAAGATTGGATTATGATTTCTCTGCAGAATATAATCCTATATAATTTTAAAAACATTGACATCTGTGGACCAAATTTGACAGTTGATTTGAATTATTTCCGTTGAACTATTGAACACAAGCAACGGTTTTAAGAGTTTTAATTTTGTCTTCATAATTCATAAAATCTTGAAAATAGTGATAGTAGTGTGAGTAGTTTATTGTATAGTGTAGTGCGAGTAATTTTTCAATAGTTTTATTAGGTCCTTTTTATTTGATAACGTTTCCCTGTAAAAGAAATATGCAAAATAAACAGAGATCGGAAAAATCCAAAAACGAATTAAATTTGCAAAGGAAAAATGGAAAAACAAAGACGGTACCTATAGTAAGGCAAACTCTTACCAGTTATAAACGAATGCTTAATGCAAATCCTTTATTAAAATACGAAGAAGCTGGTATTAATGTCGACGAGTTATGGAAAAGTAAATCAAATGATTTGAAATCAATAACAAACTTAGGTGCAACAAACACAAAATCTAGTGTATTACCTGGAGTAAATTTAAAAGAAGTTAAGAAATATGATGGCGTCCAATCTAGCATAAGAAATCAGTTATTAAAATCACACAATGAAAATAATATTAACAATGAAACTGGAAAAAGTATTTTACCTGGTAATCATTTTGCTAAAAAGGATTTAAGAACTATTAATAATTTTCATATGAAGAGTATCCCCAATGTAAAAAGCGTCACTGGCACTACATTTAAATCTAAAGTAAATCCTGCTCCAAAGGTTTTGAATATTAATACAAAAACCTCAAAAGTTTCTACTACACAAGAAAAAAGGGCTTCTATAAATAATAATAAAAGTTTAAGAAGATCATTATCATCAGGGCATTTAGACAACAAAAAAGGAAAATCATTTGATCCAAAAAGAGCTTATATAAAATCAAATCATTCATGTTCTGAAGACAATTTATGCGTTCCATCACAGACTGCTATACCTAAATTCACTCCAATATTAGAAGAATCATGTTCTAATAGCCACTTTGTGTTTAAGACTCCATCAGCGCATGAAAGACGTAGTATGTGCCATTACACACCCGTATCTACAACAAAAAGAAAGCCCTTATTTCACTCATCCACACCTTTTCCAATTGACAAACAAAAACTTCAAGAAAGACTAAATCAGTGGCTTAAATCGAGAGGAAAGAAACTTTCATCTTTCCATCATTTAAGGTTTGTATTATTTCATATTAATTAATTGTAAATTTAGATTTCAATTCAAATAAGCTAGATAATCTGCTCATATAATGTTCTGCTTAATATTTAAGCGTTAATATAGTAATAATAAATTTGTGTTGTATTTCTAAGTCATTTGATAAAAAAAATTATAATACAGCAGGCTTTAACTTTCACATTTTTTAAAAAAATCTAATGTATTTTCCCATTAAAGTTTTTTCAACCTCCTTCATAGAAAACACCCTTAATCACAACATTCTCATCATATTATTGTAATACATTACCACATTATTTTAAAACGCCTTGCAAATTAAACTAAGTATTCAAATAAATTTTAGATGTTTTGGAATGGACCATATAAAAGAAAAACAAGCAGATCCTGTACTAGATGATGAAAATAAAGAAAACATCGATAATATACTGCATAAATCTGAAAGTTATGAAAATCTTAATATAGAACTTAAAACAGACGAAGACTTAACTACCAATGGTAACGCATTATCTGACAAAACCTTAAATACAGCAGCCAAAGAAGCATTAATAGAGTTACAGAAATTAATCCATGAAGTACAGTATAGAAATTTTAAAATTTGGAATTGTTTTAATATCTTTTTCTTTAGGAGTATCCAATGATACAGTGTTTAGGTTGGTTAGAATTAATAAAAGAAAAATACAGAAAAATAGATGAAGAACCAGAATACTGGGAATGTAGAGCTGCTATTGAGCAATATTCTGGCAATGTTGGTAATGCAGTTGAGTATTATAAAACAGCGATAGTGCACGGAGCTGAGGTATTAAAATTAAATATAGCGCCAATAAAAATATTAATAATTTTCATATTTTACACATAATTTTAGGTAAATTCAGTTGACAAATCATTAGATCAATTGTTGAAGAGATTTAGTCTTCTAAATATCAGTCCAGAGAAGTCAGAAATGGCAAAAATTAACAAGGATAAAGAGAGAATTGTCCGAGAAGCTAGGAATGTATTTAAATCCACCATTATACAGTTTGCAATTCAAGAAAGAAAATCTAAGACGTAAGACTGATTTTTATATTAAGCATAAAGGCAGGCGGCCACTACGAGCGAAACTATAAACTAAGCTAAGAATATAGAAAGAAACGGTAACTAAACAAAAATAAGTTTTATCGGCCTCTGGGAACGATTTTCGCTTAGTAGTTAGCTAAGTTAGCTGCGTTTTCGTATTGTGTCTGTGCTATCATAGAACTAATCACTACGAAAAATTCGCTGGAACCTGTCACGAACTAAACCAAGCGAAACTAAACTACGATTTAAATCTTCGTTCATATATTTTCGTTTAGTTTCTAACTTATTTTCCTTTAGTTTCTTTTTTTGTAGTTTTTCTTATCTTTGCTTGGCTTAGATTAGTTTTGCTAGCAGTGGCCGCCCGCCCTAATTCTTTTAAATTCTGGATATCAATCTTAACCAGTTCCTTGTACATTCAACCTTCATTTGTAGGTGAATAGCTTCTCGTATAAACATTTGATTCTGGTTTTATTTTATTTATTCCTAGTTTTACCCTTAATCTAAGATCTTAACCCTTATTCTAAGGTCCTAAACAACTGTGTACATACCTCTACAGTAGCATACTGATATTGGTATATCAGTATGCTATTGTAGACATATTATGTGATTTGAGTCATTAAAATTACTTTTCCGATCAGACACTAGTGAAACAAAACAAGCAAAGCCAAACTAATATAAATATTTTTTGTCATTTAGAAAATCCAAATCAGATACTAGTGAAACTAAATTAGTAGCCACGCCCGTTAGAAGAAGTACAAGATTGTCAAAATCTGGTTATGTGTCGACGCCTGGTGTAAAACTGTGTATGTCACTTAAAGAAATTGACACAGAGGAAATTCAGTTTGAAAAAAACAAAGCTTTTTGCTAGGAGTACCTTACCTTAAATCGTGTTAAACCTATCTTTATTTTACATCAATGTAATGTTATACATATAATTTGTAATTAATTTTTATAATATGAAATATGTACTATGTTATTATCTAACTATTGTGCTAATCTGTACATTAAATTAACTGCTTTTATTATTGTTTATTTTACTTGTTAACAATATTTAATATATATACTGATATAAAAAAATGTCATTTAAATTTCAATCATCATATTCATAAATTTTCATACTGATTTAATAATACATACATAAAATAAAAATTCAATCATTGGACTTGTAAGTTGTATAGCTATTTGGACTAAGCAATAATGGAAAATGGTGTTTTGTCAAAGAAGATGCATCAAAAACAACCTACAACAAAAATTAAACAGGTAACACAAAATAACAAATACATCTAAAACTAACCTCTATAAATGGAAAGGGACTCTCTTGTTTTTTGGCTTCAAAATATTTATCAACATCATAATGTAGCTTGTAACGCCCTAGGCTAAAATTTCCTGACTTGATAAAATCAGAAAATCTTCCAAAAGTATCTGTTAATCCTTCGTTAATGTACGTCCATCTGCCATCAACCAATTTATATAAACTTACAGATAATCCTGTGATTGGTGCACCTTTTGTAGTGTCTATTACATGAGTCGAAATTGGTGACACCATAGTTTGGTTCTAGAAATGGAACATAATTATGTTATTAAGAGTTTTAATCACGCACCTTAAGACAATTTACTAGATAATGCAAAATATTGTGTGGCATAATTGGAACTGAGTAATTATAATCTAATTAATATTTTTAATTATATCTTCCAGCAGAAAATATATGATACATATTATTATTATGTGACTAATAAAGTCTACAACATATAGGAAATGTTTTTGCTTTGCTACTTGGGAACTGGATTTAGAATCCTCAGACACAATTCAAAATTTTATATTTATGTGAATTATTAATACACTCAGCCCTTTCATTCCCTAACCCCCATAGGATTCTAGGGTTGCTTATGGACAATCCATTTTTTTTTCAGAAACTTCATTAGGTCTCTCTTCCTGATTTTGATTAAATTTTTTTTAAAATTCAACCTCATCATACCAGATCCACATTTTGAAGTCAAAATACACTTAACACGCCTACCTTAACAACAGAATTTTCTTGTACAGATGTAGAAATATTTTGTCCATAATAATCATCCTCTTCCTCATCTAGTTCATTTTCAGTCTCCTGCTCCTGCTCAATATCCTCTAATTCTTCCTAAAATTTTTTAAAATTAAATTGTAATTAAATAAAGAATTCTTATGTTGTTTTCACAATTTAACCTGCGTTGTATAAATGATTTGTGGTTGAAGGTCTCCATCTTCTTCTTCAGTAAGAATGTTTTCATCGTTTACAACTGTCTGAATATTATCATCCATACTTATATTAAAACTCTGCTAAAAGAAAGTAAAAACTAAATAGTTCCAATAAGCGAATTAATATACCTTAGGAGGTGCAGGATTTCCATGAAGTTGAGCTGCTTTTTGATGTCGAATTGTGCAAGTATGTTTCAATAAACTTAATCTATGAGCGTGCAAAGTTTTCTGGCAATAAATGCAATAAGCTCTAGTAGGTTCTCCTTTAACGCCCCGAAGCCAACCTAAAAAATTTAATATCAATATAAAATAATAGCTGTAATAGAAGTAATGCGAGGAGAACCTTTAAAATCAGGCATTTGTTCCCAAGCAGGTCTATAAGTTTGTTTATAGTATTTCGAATACTTTCCCCTGACAACTGTTGCAAATTGTTCAGAAGTTGGTTGTACCCTATTAGAAACTTTGATTAAATGTAATGGAATAACATTTATGTGACTTCCACTCTCAATATCTTGTAAATCTTCAGACTCTTGAGCCTCTTCCTCTTCAATAATATGCGTTACTTCCGTAACACTATCCATTCCCGCGCAAAAGAAATATTACTAAAAAATAGTTAAAATTACTAAATCCAGTGATAATGGCCGGCCGATGGAAACTTGGCAAGGACACGATGACAGATGACATATCCATGACAGATTTGACGTTAATCGATATGATGATGACTGTACTTTAGATCTACGACCATATCATATATTTTACATATCATATATTACAAGAAATACACCCAGGGATGAGTATAGAGTATAATCTTTTATACGCTTAGCTGGATAATTCTAAACAACGAATGAAAACCCTATAATCGGCCGGATACTTCTAGCAGGCTCTAGCAGCTTTATGGAGTTTGCACATTGCTCATTATCGCTGGTTCGAGGCCGGATGAGATTATAAGATCGGATATTTCGTGAGTCTGTGCTCGTGAGTAAAGAGTCGATTAGACATTCGCTTTGGACATTCGCCAAGTCGGTAGGCCATGAGATGACCGCGGTTCGAATTCCACGTAAATAAAGTAAACTCCGTTCAGATTAGCCCTAGCAATAAAAAAGAAACAATCTTAAATTCTTTAAAAAAATGAAGAAGAGGGGTTAGAAGCTATAGTTTTTAAGTTTTTAAATTATTGTGAATTGTGAGAATTATTTAAAATTTGTTTTATCGTTTTAAATTGATTGCCATTCAACATGAAGCTCTTAACGCATAATATGCTGACTTCTAAGTGTATACGAGGAGTAAATGTCGGCTACCCCTTGTCTATTAATGTAAGGTTCATTTGAAATTCTAACTTTACCCTCCAGAGTTTTAACACAATTTATTTTCCTTCTGCTTGCTCAACTGCATAAGCTTTTTGCATAAGACTTTTTATTTATAGGCTTCCGATGTGAGGGTCGCCGACGTAGACTTTAATCCTGATTTTATATCGCGAATGATCCCGAAAATTGACTGGCCTGTGCTTTATAATGCAGTAGAAAGATTGGGACATGTAGAGGACTTACCTAAAGAGACTCCAGTAAATTATGAAAGCAATGAGGATTTTTTAAAAAAGGCACATCATGCATTACTTGAGGTTGAAATAATTCATGGTGAGCTAGTGTGTCCTGAAAGTGGCAGAAAATTCCCTATAAATAACGGTATACCAAATATGCTTTTAAATGAAGATGAAATATAAAAAATAGTTATATGTTAGTAAAAATTTGGTACAAAACTTAATTTTTAAATTTAAGAAATTATATATTCTGTAACTGAAAGAATTTGAAAATTCTAATAAAATATTAAAATTTTAATAAATACTTATATTCAAGGTAAAGTTCATATTTTTACTTGATAATTTCACAAAGTTGATAGTATATATAATTACTTATATAAACTACCTTTTTTTACCTAAAATTATATATTTAGTTAAGCAATAAAACATAAATATACATTTTAGTATTTTTATTAAGATAGACAGATAATATAGCAATGTAATTCATGGTCTAAATGGTATTTTCAACAAGCTATTTAGGTACATATATTAAAATCAATACACAGGTACTTAATAATACTTTTTTTTACTACATTAATAGAGATCAATAACATTTAGAAAAATATGATAAAACATATATGTTGTATTTATTTTCTCTTGTAAAATATTTTGTATATTGTATAATAAAGTGATTAATGGTAACTATAATTTTTCATCTTTTTCTTCTCCAAATATTAAAAATTCTATAATTCACAGATTGAAATAGAGACAGTACATTTTAAAAATATTTATGGGACGGTTTTAAGTGATATTATTTTTGTTTATAACCATTTTCGTTTCACATATAGGCCTACTAAAATGTTTCTCTACATTTGGATCACAATGTAATATATGTAATATAATAATCTACTTCATTCTATTTTTGAGAGAAATCTATAGAGAAAATTAAGTTTTCGTTTCACATAGCTAGGTCAAGCAGTTCTACACTATACTTAGCCGGCAACTAATTCAAGTAAAATTGTATAGAAACATATACATAAAATAAAATCATTCAAAGAACTACAACAAAATTACATTTTAGAAGCAAAACTGGAGAATGGAACCTATTTGACTCTTGATTCTATTACCGCAGCTGCTTTATTTAATTGATTAAATATGCTGCCTTTTGCGAGTCCGTATGCCGGACCTGTGTGGAAATCTGCATTGGGTCCGCAAGGTGTGTACAATTTATTAGATAAGAGACTTTTATTAGGACCTTTAGCTAATCCTTGAGGTCCCTTTTGTATTGTTTTATTCGAGCCCTGCCACTGAACATAGTTTTCTCTGTAATGAAATAGACATAAAAACAGTAGAAATGTAAATTTAAATCGCTTACAATAGCAACTTTTCATTTGGTCCTTTTGTAAAATCGGAATTATGTCCAACAGTATTGCACAAATGTTTTGATGATCCAGGGTTGTGATTATTTTCATTAACAATTCTAAAAGTAATAAGTTACTTACTCCTTAAATACAAGGTCCGGCAATAGTGCGCCGGACATATGTTAATGTGTTATGCTCCTATAATAAAAAAGTTAGAAATTTTATTTAAGTGCCAATCTAAAGTATGTGTTTGGTTTGGATGTATTTGAGGAATGTATTTCAGGTTGGTTGAATGTATTTCAGGAAAATATTTTAACTTCTACAGGGTAACTCAAAAAAGTGTGAGTGGATCAGGATAATTTTTTTTAAATGGAAGACCCTGTATATTATTGTATTTTTGACTTCCTTTTTGTTCACTTTACATAATACCAAGATATTGTTAAATATGTTTTGATAGTTTCAAAGATATAAATAAATAAATAAAAAATATATATTTTTCAGCCTTTCTAAAAAAAATTATTACAAATACAAGAACTGTCCTGAAATCAAAACTATATGAGATATTTACTTTAGATGGTCTATACTTAATTTGCTATAAATATCATAATCTTAAATCATACAGTGGGTTTAAAATTCTACATCAAACTTTCTGAAATATAAAATAATTTTTCTTGTTTTTTTAATAGTATATCATTTTTTTATCAGATGGAGAATTAAAAAATGAAATTTTTTTGTATTTATATGGTATTTCAAAATTTTTAATGATTTCGCAGATACTCGCGTTATTATTTCATATAGTTTTTTTCAGCGGTAAAATACGACAGAAAAATCATTGGGTGGCTTTGATAAAAATTTACTGTGGAAAATGCCATTTGGAATATAAAACCTCGAATATCTGGGAAACCGTTAAAAATTTTGCAATACTCTAAATACAAAAAATGTTCATTTTTGAATTCTCCATCTATTAAAAAAATAATATACAAGGTATTCCATTTAAAAAACACGAAGATAAATTATTTTATATTTTAGAAAGTTTGGCGTAGAATTTTGAACATCCTGTATCATTTACGATTACCATATTTATAGCAAAGTAAGTACAGACCAAAAAGTAAATACCTAATATAGTTTTGATTTCAGGATAGTTCTTGTATTTTTAATAAAGGCTGAAAAATAGATATTTCTTATTTATCTATTAATATATCTGAAACTATCGAAACATATATCTTAGGATTATGTAAAGCGATCTGAAACGAAGCCAAAAATGCAATAATATACGGGGTGTCCCATTTAAAAAAATCAGCGCGATCCACTTACACTTTTTTGCCACCCTATAGAAGTTAAAATATTTTCCTGAAATACATCCTAGTACATACTTTAGGTTTGCACTTAAACAAAATTTCCAAGTTTTTTATTCTAGGAGCTGACGTATGCCTGACGCACTATACCCAGATCCTGTATATTCTTTTTACTTCCGTATACTTATTACATACCTACAATAACTACCAATTTCATCTCTTTTCTCCACTTTCAATAAAGATTTTATAGACTGTCGACTTTGAGATATTGGTAATTGTGCAGGCATTTGACTAGATAAGCATGCTGAATTTGCCTCTGTCTTAAATGTATCCCTACAATTTTTTTAATTATATCTTTATGTTGTGTAAATGAAGATGTCACTTACTCTTCTTTCTTTTGGTGTTTGTGGTTATTAATATTATTTTCTGAATCTTCTTGTTTCATTATATTTAGAATTTGACTAGCTCTATTCTCATCAAAATTAACACTTTCTAAGGCTATAGTAATTAAATGTTCAGCAACATCTTTGTACTGCTCTTTTAGCTTTCCCTTTACTAAAATGAACTTTGTGAATATTTAAACTTAAAAAAAAACAAGAAGTAACATACATAACTGTTTTTCTTCATTTGTTTTTATATGAGATATTGCTGCATCATATTTACTTGCAGCATCATCCACTTTCTCAATTGTAGCTGTTTCAACTTTCTGTATCGGAGGCTTCATTGTATCTTTTTTGTTATATCCCATATCTTTTAGCACGTCAGAGGATTTCTGAATGCTATTTTCATTGTTTTGCAGTACTTCAAGTATTATAGTTTCGTCGGCATTAGGGAAAATTGATTTCATATACCTGCAACTACTTATCATTAAATTTACAATTTAAAGGATATTCTCATGCTTTATTGCATTAACTACAACACTACAAAAAAAACTTAAGAATGATTAGCACAATGGAGAAGAAAACAAAACAAACAAGACACCAGAGACTACTGTACAGTGATTGACCTTAATTTCAGCTTAGGTGATGAATGAGGCTTAGGAGAATTTCTAAATCCCTGAGACCCCACAAGACCCCTTAGAATAGGACTTCCTGTATTAGAGGCCCCCCCTTTAATGTTAACATGTATGTTTCTTTGTGGTGGTGGTGTAGAAAAGGGTCCTGGAGTTGTGATGGGATACTTTTCCACTTGCAGGGCGCTTATTACTAAAGCTTCACGATTTAAATACCTGAAATTGGTTATAAACACATATGATGGGCTGTTATCAAGCATGAGGTGTTAAAAGCTTTAGATAAAGCACTTTAACAAGAATGATTTGTTAGTTAGAATATGTGAGCCAGAGAAAATTAGTAATTATTTAGAGTAACATATATACCTAAGCAAATCTTTATATACACTTACTTTTTTAATAAGAGTTTTATGTGAGTCTCAGAAACTGTTGGAAACATAGCACTAAGTTTTGCCACTGAATCTTCTATATCTGTAGAGCATTGAGAACTAGCTATATTGAAAGAGCTATCTTTAACCTTTCCATTGCGCAGTGTTAAGGGACTTCTTGTTATGGGCTTCATATCCTAAAATAAAAATATTTCTGAATAAACATGAATTCAAATATATAAAAAATAAAATATACCTACTGTTATAAGACACAAGAGTGTAATGAATAACAATGTCAGTAAAAAATGCATATATTTATAATAACAGATATTAACTAATAATAAATATGAGTATTTGTATACATATTTGTAAGTTATGTTTATTTGCAATTCAACATAAATATCCCAAATAGACAAATAAGTATATTATGTATGTGTAGTATTTTAACTATCTATGTTTATGTATTATAAGAATTTCAATAGTTAAATACCTGCATCTGAATTGCTTTGGAATTCATTTGAAAGGCATGAATTGGGGGAGGGTGGCTAGGATACACATGATTTCTTTTAAACTCTGGTGATCCGTGCTGTACAGAAAAACACATCCAATGCAGCATGTGAAAGACAATGGATGTCAACCGAAGCACATAAATTATTAGAAATAGTAAATATGAAAGAAATACCTGAAGTGGTATATGTTCCACTGGTACACTAGTCATTTGTTTTGCAGTATTTTGAAATAGCCTATGACGATTTCTTGGATCTTCCCAGGTAGTCGCTTTCGTAAAATGATTTACATAATACCTGAAATGGTTAAAACCAGTTATATTAAATATTAAATTTAAGAAAATAGAAACCGTTTTCCAGTTCTCTCGTCCAATAAACAGTCCCATCCGGGTGGTAATCCATTCTGTAATTCAGTCATGTCGCTGTTATAATTAAATAGATTCCTTAAAGCTAATCCAGTTTCATTTATTGATTTGTTTGAAAACAACCAAACAACCTTGACATCTTGACATTAAAAAAATTTGAATTTTGTAGGTTATCTTATCTATATCTTCATTTCAGAACTAATTGCAGCGTAAAGACATTGAAATTAAATATATGATTATTTATGTGCTCACAGATCAGACCCCTAGTTTGTCTTAAATCTAGAGCTGATCTTGTTTGACCACAGATACCGATTTTTGAAATACACAACCGTTAAGTTAACTCAGAGATATAAAACGCGAAAGGAATTGTGAAATCTGTAAAGCATATACTATTTATATATGCTGTGAAGGCAAACTTGCTCACAAGTGTCAGGTGACAGGTATCAGAGTGAGCAAGTGTCAGTGTCAAATACATGTCAGGTATCATAAGGTATCAAAGACAGAAGTGTTTTTCTTTTAAAAAAGTTAAATTGTTTTGTAATTGTTCAATATGTTGAAGTAAATAGAGAGTTTAATATTAATATCGATATGATATATGTGCCTCTAACTCATATTTATACCGCGTCATGAGTTCGAGAATAAGGTAACTAATTATACATTAGATTAAGAATTTTTTTGGGGCAGCATTAAAAAATAATTTAATGATTTATTTTTAGGGAAAATGTAAAACACTTCTTTGAATGTTTCTGTGAAGTAGTTCCTCCCAGTGAAGATAAAGATGCCTGGATAATTCAGCAATATCCTGATAAGTATAAAGATCAAGATTCGCTTAGATCCGTACCTAAATTTGCATATCCTTATAAATTTGAAAAGTGAGTTAATTTTATATATAGCCCTTTAATTTTTCATCTTACAAAATTTATTTATTTTAGTACAGTTATCCAGCATTATTCTTTTGTATTAACAGATCTAGAGGGAAAGTGGACATTTGGCTTCTGCAGGCATGATCCAAAATCAGAAACAGCTATTGTAATCTTGAGTTACTTACCATGGCATCAAGCATTTTACAAGTAATTTTATTTTAACGTTAACATGAAATACTAGTTTCAAAAACTAAAAGATTAGGTGAATTTATATTTTAGGTTTTTAGATACAATAGCAGTCTTAATGCACAGTTCCCGCACTGAAGATTTAAGTGAATTTTTGTCAGCTGTATACAGTACAAAAATTGTTGAACCTGGAAAAAAGATATCTATATTATTTAACAGGGGCCAAAGTGTATGCAATGCTGATATATTTTTTATGCTCACTAATACTCTGTATATTTTACTTTTTAGAGTTTTATTGTAGACGTTCCTAAACCATTTCAATTACCTAGTATACCAGAAAATGTAAGTAACTTGTTTACATATTAAGGTTTATATTGAAAAGGAAATAACAGAGATAACTGGAAATTGTGATTACCTTTTATTTATTTATGTATTTTTTATTTTTTCTAATAAGCAATGCTGATTGATATAGTACATAGGTACTTGGTATTTAAAAGAATCAGGTTGTACATACACTCATAGACCTTATACAAACTTTGCTTATACTTTCTCTTACAAGGCTATTAATGACTCATAATTTTTATAGTGAATGGAATACTTGAACCCAGACAATATAGATTACCAAAATTTATCAATACTTTCAAAATTACATTTTATAGTTTATATTTATATTATTATAACCAATATTTAACTTTTATCTTGTAAATTAAAAATTTTCTTTTAAAATTATAGGATTGATAAAAAATGGGCAAATAGAATTAAAATATATAAGCATTTATTCCTATATTATGATTTTTTTTATTTAGCTTTTTTTATTACTGGATGATTTTTTGTAGTGCTATCTGTGGTGTTATTAAGAGATACCTAATTACTGCTATTTTATCTTTTTTTTTATTTAATATAAGTTTTCTAAACAAATTTTTGAATTTCCAGCGCAACCTTACAGAGTATTACAATGCTGTTGATATAAATAATATGATGATAATATTTGCATCTATGCTTTACGAAAGGAGAATAATTTTTACATCAAAACAACTAAAGCGGTTAAGTGCATGTGTCCAGTCAGCCAATGATATTATTTATCCCATGATATGGCAACATATATTTATCCCAGTACTACCACAAAATTTAGTGGATTGTTTATTGGCCCCCATGCCTTTTCTTATTGGTGTCCCCGAAGATGTTTTTAAGGTAATTCGTTTTTTAATATAAATTTTTAGATTAGAATTGCAGAAGTTAATTGTATACAGCCATATAGGAGACATAATTGTGTATAAAAGGATACACAATTTTTAAATTGTTATAATTATAATATAACTAGCTGGTGCCCGCGACTTCATCTATAAACGCTATAGTTTGTGAGACACAGCCGTCAATGACGCCTGCGCCCTCACACGTTCGGGTCGCGCACTCAGTGATGAGCTACTGTATATTATTATTCTTTTAGATGCGGAATTGAAAAACAAACATTTTTTATATTTAAGTGTTTCTAATTTTTTTAACGGTTTTTAGTCCACTAATGGACTACACACACTAATGGACCACACTATAAGCAAAGTTCCATTATAAACGAGTACATATTATCTGAGAATTTTACATGTGTTTCTTCATTATATGTGAGTTTTCATTATACAGGGTTGTTCACCACATACGACACGGAGTATTGTAGCTAAACGATAAGATTTTTACAAATTGTAAGTTTTGGGTTCGATGAAGGACTATTAGAGGTACAATTTAAAAATAATTTTACAAGATACAGAGTGTCCCAAATAAGTAAAAAATATCAAAGTTGTATTTTTTTAAATGGAACAACCTGTATATTATTACATTTTTAGTTTCTACGATTAAAATAAAGGTAAATTTGATTAAGGTTTATTATACTTAAACCTTACCGTTTTTGAAATATTTTCAATTTTGTGAAATTGCAGTAAAAATTTTAAGGCTTCGTTTCTCCAAGGGTATCAAAGTTTTTAATACTAAATATTTACTGAAGTTTATTTACTGATCAGTTATTTTGTTGCAATAATAAAAATAATACTACCTTATACAGAGTGTCTAAAAATTTATTTTAAATAATTATTAGCTTCAAACGGCAATAACTTGTTTAATTTAAGTGGAACACCCTGTATATTTTACGAGAATCAGATGCACAATTTCATTGTCTATCAAATTATATTATACCATTTTTTACCTATTCTTTAAGTTTCCGTAGAAAATGCATTTTCTTGTAATTTAGAACTTATTTATCAATATACCCATGGACTATTGACATTTTAGATTAATTTTAAAGATGTACCAAATTTTTAAAGAGTACAGATACTAATATTGTCGATATAGTTCTTGTAGTTCATTAAAAAATAAAAAGAACTGTTTAAATATTTGTTAAAGAGGACCAAAATATGATTCCAGTATTGAAACTACATTAATTGACTGTTTGCGTTGATTAATAATAATTGCTCCAAATACTAAAAAACTGAATTTTGTATGGGCATTAGACAGTGTGATAAAGTAACACCTTAAAATGATATTTAATTTTTAATAAATGCTTATTTATAACAACAGAGACTTTAATTTGATAACTTATTATTATATTGATTTCTGACTCAAATCCACATTTATTTATAATAATTTATTAACGAACACAATTAAGTATGTAATTAATTAGTATATGGGCGGAAATAATGGTGTTATATTTAATTAATTGTATACTCTTTTATAAAGATTTAAATAGTTTTCTTTTTTTGCATATAATGGGCTAGTAATATTGTCGTTTTGCTAAAAACGATAATATTACTAGTCTGTACATTTTGTACATTTGTTGCTTTAAAAACAATCTAAAATGTCAATATTCCATGGATATATTGATAAATGAGGTCTAAATTAAAAGAAAATGCATTTTCTACGAAAACTTGAAGGGATAGGTAAAAATGGTATAATACAATTTGATAGACAATTTAATTGTGCATCTGATTCTCCTAAAATATACAGGGCATTCTATTTAAATTAAAGAAGTTGTTGCCGTTTGAAGTTAATAATTATTTAAAGTAAATTTTTAGACACTCTCTATAAAGTAGTATTATTTTTATTATTGCAACACAATAACTGATCAATAAATAAACTTCATTAAATATTTAGTATTAAAAACATTGATACCCTTGGAGAAATAAAGCTTTAAAATTTTTACTGCAATTTCACAAAATTGAAAATATTTCAAAAACGTAATGTTTAAGTATAATAAACCTTAATCAAATTTACCTTTATTTTAATCGTAGAAACTAAAAATGTAATAATATACAGGGTGTTCCATTTAAAAAAATACAACTTTGATATTTTTTATTTATTTGGGACACTCTGTATCTTGTAAAAATATTTTTAAATTGTAGCTCTAATAGTCCTTCAACGAACCCCAAACTTACAATTTGTAAAAATATCATCGAATACTCCGTGTCGTATGTTGTTAACAACCCTATAAGGGAGTTCATTATAGATAGATTATAAGGAATATTTTGGCATTTTGTAAGATAAAATTTACCAAAATATCTACCGTATGATCAAAAAAGCAATGTTTAGATAATTTTGTGTGTAAAATCATGGATCATATTAATCGGCATTTCTACCCTGACTTTGTTATTTTTTTTTTTGACAGATAACTACTGATCAATAACAGTACCAGTGGCAGAATGTACATTTTTATTTTGTTTTAACATTGACGTAATTTGTAAATACTTTTAGTCACCTTCATAATAAAATTTTCTATTATCACAGTGTGATAATCACACTCAATTTCCACTAGAATAACTAGATGGAAAATTATCAGTTATTCATTAAAATCGACTTTTTCAAACTTTGTTTAAATTTTTTCTTGTTCCCAAGCAAATAATCCATACATTCAAATGCTAAAATCCGTTGGTCTTTGAACTTTAGCCCAAAGCAAAAAAAAGATTGATGCCAAATGTCAATAGACTAAAGTAAACATGGGATGTCTATTTATATTCATAATGGTGTTGTCTTCGCCAAAACGAAATCATTTGTTTTCTTTGTGGGCTATTATGGGATATTAAATGGTAAAACTGATTAATCTTTGCTATTTCTAAGTCTAATGTGTTGTAATTCAAATTTAAATGGTTAATATAATTTATATACTTATAGTGAATTATTGACAGTAAAATAGTATTTTTTATTAAATTACAATAATACTATATTGTGTTTATAATTAAAAAGTTTATTTTATGTAATTCTTGTCACATTTTTATTGCCCAACGTTACTGTTTGGTCATGGTTTGATCGCATCGCTAGTATGGTTCTTGCCACTGGCCTACATTTTCTTTATTTATGGTTCAGATTATTAATGAATTTATTTTTAATGTAGTAGATTTTACCATTTTTTTATGCCGTTTCTGGATTTAAGGTTTATTGCCTTTTTATTTCCTTTTAATTATTGTATTTAACATATTTTTTTATTTAATTCTTTCCAGAAAGTAATCAGGAGTGAGTTGGGGGATGTTGTTGTACTAGATGCCGATGCCAATACAGTAGAGACGCCGTTTGATGACTTGAACAATTTGCCTCAAGATGTCGTATGTATTAATCACATATTTTTTAGAGCAATTACATCTTAGGATTTATATTTCAAATATAGACTTTGCATGCTTTACAATTACTCTCTTTTTAAGAAAGAAAATAAAAATAATTGTTATAGGAACTTTCATTTCAACATAAATATTTCAAAATAATAAGAACAGCGTGTGTTAATTTTAAAATGATATTTTTATTGATAAATTCGCCTAGAGAGTGTTAAATTCCGAAAAACTTTATTTTGACTACTATTTGTATCTAAATATAACAATTGTTAAAAATTTAGTTTCTAATGGGGTGATCCATGATTGGCACAAAAAAGAGACAGTAGCCATTACTATTATCTCTATTTTACTTTTTCTTTACTTTGAAATTCATAAAAATATAAGATGTTCTATTTATAAAATATCGATCCAAAATGATTTTGCAAAAATAACTGGCCTCTCAGTCAAGGACTGTATATATTCTAAAGGACTGTTCGATCGCGTCAAATCGCCGCTGTCGTAGTCGCCGTGGAATGCTACGTCACGCGCTGACCAGCGCTCCACAGTGCGGCGGATGGTTATTCTAGCGGGACAAAATCTCAAGAGCAATGTTTGGGACTTAAAATCTAAGAACGTAGCAAATGGTCTAATATATAGCAACTATATGGTTAAATTTATTTATTTATTAACAACTTAATTTATTAATAAATAAATACAAGATAATAAAACTATGATATTATTCGTACATGACACGCAAAAACCGTATTGTAAACTATTGCCAAATACATAAAATTATGATATCAAAAAACTCTTTAGAAGTTTTTTTAATTAATTTGTAATCTTGTGACACCCTCTATAATTTATTTTAAAAAATATATTTTATTTTGAAAATAATAAATAAGATAGATATTTTAATTTTAATTTTAACACTCGGTAATTGTAAATTCATATATAGTAAATATCTATGACAATTTTTTAAACTCAGTGCCTTTTGATGGAGTTGTTTTGTTTTTATACTATCCGATTGAAATTAATCTTTTTGGGCATTCACCTGTTAAGCTTGAACTCCCTGTGACTGTGACTAACTGTGTTGGTAACTATTGGTAACTCAAAAGATCTACATCATTCAATACATCGATATTTGAAAAAAAAGTGAAAGTTTGATATCTGCAGAACAAAGGCAAGAAGGATTTTAACAAATAATATACGTACAGTAGAAAAGTACATACCTTTGGCGATCTTCAACATAATTTGGCTTGGTTTGGAATGTATAAGCACTTGTAAATATTTTGTTTTCGTATGATCTCTGCCTTGCTGAGCAGAAAACGACCAAATTTGGTTGATAAAAATGTATCGAAATACAAAGAATATTCATGCATTGTTGTATCAATTGGAATGTCTACTATTTATTCTTATCAGTACACATTTTTTGGCTTATTTCTAACCAAACGCTTTTGTCCCGCTAAATTTATCTTCCAACGCACTGTGCGCTCGTCCGTCAACTTCAACTCGGTCAGTAGATGACGTAAAAAAACTGACAGTGCAGAAAGATAGAAATCGAACTATCCTTATCTCTAAACACGAACAGCAGAGGCTGAGATAGGTACCAAAACTGTAGTTGTTAAAACAACGCAAGGAACTCCACAAGGTGGAGTGACCTCCCCCCTACTGTGGAGCTTGGTAGTGGATGAACTACTGGAAGAATTAACTCTAGCGGGAATACACTGCATAGGGTACGCAGATGACATAGTCATCATTGCACAGGGGAAACATGAAGGCACCCTGTGTGATATTATCCAAAGAGGATTCCGCATCGCTGAGAGATGGTGCAGGACTGTCGGGCTGAGTATTAACTCAGATAAAACCGCAGTAGTGCCATTCACCAGAAAGCGAAGTTTGAAAAACTTGAAAAGAATCCATCTAGATGGAAAGGAAATACTGCCATCACAGGAAGTGAAATATCTGGGAATAACCCTGGATAGTAAACTTCTCTGGAACAGGCATATTAAGAACATTACCAGCAAAGCCACAAAGGCTCTCATGATATGCAGAAGACTGGCGGGAAATAGGTGGGGCTGCGCCCCTAACATTTTGCGCTGGATGTATACCATGATAGTAAGACCCATGATTACTTATGGAGCAGTTGCTTGGTATACAAAACTAGAGCAACGTACAGCAAGGCAAACCCTGTGCAAAGTACAGAGACTGGCATGTATCTGCATCACAGGTGCCATGAGAACATGTCCAACAGCAGCAATGGAGGTCATTCTAGACCTAACACCACTGCATATTGTCGTCGGTAGTTATGCCAATGCGACAATGATTAGAATGGTCATTGACGGAAACAGTACTGGGAGAATTTTCAGGTCAGGGGCTTGGAACACCCTCAAAAAGAAAATTCCACTTCTCCAACTCCCAGTGGATGACATACCAAGAATTTACAACTTTGAGAAACACCTCACTGTAGTATTGAGTAATAAAAAGGATTGGAAGAAAGAAACGCTTACTCAGCATATAAAAGACCATACCATCACGTGGTATACTGATGCTTCCAAAACCAAAGCAGGGACAGGGATAGGAGTATTTGGGCCGAAAACTGAATACTCCGAACCAATGGGCACCTACCCCAGTATCCTTCAGGCAGAAATTTGCGCTATCGAAAGATGCGTACAATTTATCTTGGATAGGAACTATCGAAAACAGGAAATTGCCATCCTATCCGATAGTCAAGCAGCACTTAACGCGATCAACTCAGTAACCATCAATTCGAAGTTGGTCAAAGAATGCCTAGAGAAGCTCAACAAATTAGGCAAAGAAAATAAAGTCCTCCTACTCTGGGTGCCTGCTCACCAAGGGATAGAAGGCAATGAAAAAGCAAATGATCTAGCTAGAAAAGGAGCGAACACTCCACTAACTGGACCAGAACCGTTCTGTTTTCCAAACGGGAACCAACTGAAAGCGGAACTGAACCATCCGTAACTTGGAATGGGTGTCCTCCAACGGTCTAAGACACTCGATAAAGTTCCTTAGAACTTATGACCGAGAAAAATCAAAGGTTTTCCTTGATTTAAGTAAAAACAATCTTCGGATTGTCACGGGGTTTCTAACAGGACACTGTCTCCTCAACGAACACCTCAGTAGGCTGAAACTGAGAAACAACGGCGAATGCAGATTTTGTGGGGAAAATGGGGAAACACCAGAACACCTTATCACTGAGTGCGCCGAGACGACGATTATTCGTGCCATGAACCTTCGTACGTCTGATGTCGAGGATGGAAAGCTGGCCTCTGTGGAGCCGTCTCAGATACTGGCTTTTCTTAAAGCCCTGAGACTGTATGATGAGTTATAACTCGTTATAACTCAAGAAAGGGGAACACACAATAGATCTATAAGGTCGCGGTGATTAACTCCCCTCCTAAACATTTACATTCTACATCCTCATCTCTATAGTATCCTTGCCTCTCAGTATAGTATGTAATGGGAAGTTCTAAATGAGATGTGTGTGTGATGCTATAGTCTGTCAACGAAAGAATATATCACAGTGACAGTTGTATGTCATTTAACTAAACATATATATTTTTTGTAATTTTTCCACTGTTTTCCCTTGAAAATAGTCTCTTTTTGGGTACATTTAAGGGCAAACTTAATTTTTCAACACTGATTTTAGATTTTGATAATGACTATGGGTATTTTTTTACTTTTGAACTGACTTGAAAAACCATATAGAAAAACTATCGCAACGACAACAAAATTGATCTGAATAATTTTATACTGGTTTTTAGTTTGCTAAGGATTTTCTGGACTACCTCATCTAGGCTTGGTGCATTTTGAGTTGATTTCAAAAAATTCCGACCGCAGTACTGTATACAGCAGAAATCAAAAATTTTCCCTATGTATTTCACGCCGTCCCGGTTACAGTTCATGTTGATTAAAATAATATTGAAATCGTGGCTTTGTCATAATATTTAAATATTTTAGTTTTTTGATAGTACAGTTATTGAAACTATAAAACACTCAGGTACGAGGTTTGTGTGATGTAACGCGGTTTCGGGTAGTAAAAAATGAGTGAAAAAGAATCCGAAATAGGCGTCGCGTCATGTTGTGTTGTGACAATTTCAAATGTTAGTAAAACCGTCGAAAAAATGTTAACACGTAAAGGAGAGCGTGATTAGGGCGTTGTTGGGTGCAATAACATTCAATAACTCAACTTTCCCAAATATTCAACTCTCCCGAAACAACATTTTGTACAGTTCGTCTGCTGGATCTGTGTCTATGAAAGGAATGCGGACAAAAAATATTTAAATAAACAGCAATATATTTTATAAGTCGACTTGACGAGTACGTCACCGCAAATCGCTCCGCCCACTCATTTTATTGGCTACTTGCAAATTTGTCGAATTTTTATTGATGGGAGGCGTCGTCTAATTTTTTACGAAAAACATCGAGAGAATATCGTTTGGGCTCACGGATACCCCGAAGCTACAGAACGGACAGACGTACTGTAGCTTAATAGTTTCTCATACCGATTTGATCAAAAGTAAAGTGGATTCAAGCAGTTTGAAGAAACAAGTGAGTAAGCAAAGTGCTGTTACATAATCAAAAAATTAAATAATAGATATGCTATGAGAGGATAATAAATGTTTTATGAATATCTTCTAAAGTTTTAATATGTACTTTTAAAAAATGTTGTTATACGGTGCGTAAAACTATGCTCGCTACCGTATCGCTCACAAATTATACTTCCAACACTTTCAGAATAACTATATAATACATTTTTCGTATACTCGCTATTTAAACTCGTGTATTTGTATATATCAGTTGTTTACGATATTTTCCGATGGTGGCAGCACCGACGGAGAATGCGCCAAGCCTACAATATATTTTAACATAGGGCGTAACTAACTATCAATAGTTGCAAGAACAAGTAACTTCAACCACCGCATTTTAGTTGCACCATCTTGTGTATTTGTTATAAACAAATTAAAAATGTTTATTAATTTGCTGTGAATCAACCATATTTCTGTTTTCTATCTCACCTTCATTTTCTATTTACAAACTGACTAAATTACTGTTGGCGGTACAGACAATTGACGAAAGACAGACCGCCGTTAGACGGTTTTACAATGTATTTATTAACATGACTATAGTATTTCGAAGTCAATTGGAAGTACTGAGACTCTTAATTCCTTCGACCCTACGATGCCGACAAAGACACTGCCGAAATTAAGAGACCTAATCAATTCCAACTGACTTCAGATAAACTATACCGCCGAAAAACGAGGTAAATTTTTCAAGTACGGCGGTTGTTAAATATATAAAAACCACCGCTCTTCGGCGGTATACTTTTTTGAAAAACATCAATACCGCCCTCATTCTTGCAATCAAAACACGTGGTTTGATTGCTTTGTTTTTTTTTCTTGGTTTTCTTGGTTTTATTAAAGCGCATCTGATTGCTTTGAATATTTTGATTTTAAACTTTAATGTTTTACAATTATCAAATATCAACGACAGGTAAGCTATGTTATCATTTCGGCGGTATTTGATATTTAAAATACAGTATACCGCCGGTGGACGGCTTTTGTCTCCCAGATTACCTGCATAAGGACAAATTAATTCAGTTTTCCACCGGTATATACAGATATAGAAATATCATACCGCCAGATGACGGTATCTTTTCGTATGCACTAACAGTACCGCCTGCCGTTGTAGCCAAGACATTTAACCGCTTGTTAATACAATGAAAAATAAGTGAACTTCAAATAGAACTCGTAAAATCATTTCTAGTGTTATTTTTGTGAGCGATATTTTTAGAAACTAAGGGAATTTTTAAAAGCTTCCAAACAAGATGTTTTGTTTTGTTATTCTGCGTCGTATATTCATGTTAGTGTATTAAAAATGGATCTGTTTTTTTTTGTAACCAAAAATAAGTCGTATTTTTGAAATAAAATTGTAATTAAAATTTTGCAGGTCATTTATTTGTAGGTATTCTATCATTTATGTTTAAAAAGTGAATATAAGTTGGTTTTTGAGGTACCTATAATTGTAATAGTGATTTTAAAGTGCATTTTTAATAATAACTTAAATTTGATACTGCTTTTATTTGAGCTGAAAAATTAAGTTATTAAAAAAATATTTTTATTTGCTAATTATTTTACATTATGAATTGATAGATCATTTATAAAAAATAATATTTATTTACAGATAACATCTTTGAGGAAACAATTACGAAACAAATCAGCAGTTTTAGGAGACGGAGTATCAAGGGCTTTTCTTAGAGCCTTAGTACAACTTATAGGAGGCTACAGGGATGCCTTGAAATTTCAGCCCGGCCAAAAAGTGACCTTTGACGAGGAAAGGTTTATTGATACGCGACCTGTTTCTTTGCAACCCTTTTTGAGAAAAATGTTGCAGCTCCAAATATTTCAACAGGTATCTATAGAATATCTCTTTGGAACCTATTGTCTATCCAGCGCAGCAAAATAATATACGACAGTGACAATAATTGTTCGTCATTTTAATTTAAAAGTAAATTGTCATTTTTAAATTTGGGATATTGTCTGCCGAAACCATACATTATCTCGCTGCATATATTACACTCAGATGGGCAAAAGTGACATACATATAATGTCAGACTTGTAAAAGTTATAAAAACATAAAGATTTTAGATTTTTAAATTTAAAAATTATTTTATTATTTCTTACAAATATGTTGGAGTTTACCAACCTAACTTAACCGGGTGCGTCTCGAAAATGGCTCACCCCTATAACTTTTTTATTTTTTCAGATAAAATAACAAGACTTGTACGTTAGTATATGACATAAATTAGGATTGATTGACGTATTCAATTGTTTTTCGTCACTTCCTGTTTCACCGAAAATGACTACAACTTTTGATTTTTAAATGGCACCATCGGTATTTTTTTTACTTTATTCGATAGAAAATGACATTCTGAATAGAATGACATATCATATGTCAACTTTTGACATTCTCGCTTAATAAAAAATTGTATTTTAAATTTCAATCTAGAGTGCCATGGCTATGTTTAGGGAATGCAATCCCGCAAACCCGCGGGATTAAAGCAATCAATCCCGCGGATCCGCAAAATTGCGGGATTGTAAACAATAAATGCTCTTCTCTTCTCTCTCCGATTTTGGGATGAGGTTTGGACCAGGTTTTAGACGCATCGATTGTGATTAAGATGCTATGTGGTTTTCGAAAATATATTTAGCGAATTCTCGTATACAGAGTGTTTTATAATAGTGTACAAATTTGATCAAGGATTTTTTTCACCGAAAATTTACAATTTTTGAAAAATCGAAATTTTAACTATGTACGACTAATCTAAGATTTGAAAACCTGTTTGTTTCACTTATTTTTAATGGCCAAGCCGTAAGGGGAATCCCCTGGTGTCAATCCCGCACGGTAAATCCCGCAAATTTGATCCCGCGGAATCACAGAGGGATCCCGCATTTGCGGGATTGCATTCCCTCGCCATGTTAAATACACTATAATTATTCTTAATCAAGGAGCCTTGGAAAAATACAGTTAGAAAATGCTCAATCGTATTTTTAATCATATCTCAATTTTTTTAAATGGAACGAAGGTGGCTCATTAGCCTCATTAGCATATTTGGAAAAAGTATTTTTTACGAATAATGTGATACTACACATTTGGTATTTCGAGTAAAATGTTCGTTAAGAACCGCAAGTTATAATTTCAAATAAACCATATGGGAAAATATCAAAAGTTGATATGTGATATGTCATTCTATTCAGAGTGTTATTTTCTATCGAATAAATGTAAAAAAATACCGAGGGTGCCATTTAAAAATCAAAAGTTGTAGTCATTTCCGGTGAAACAGGAAGTGACCGAAAACAGTTGAAAACGTCAAGTAATCCTAATTTAAGTCATATACTAACATACCAAATCTCGTTTTTTTAACTGAAAAAATAAAAAAGTTATAGGGATGAGCCACTTTTGAGACGCATCCTGTATAACCACAGAATTACATACACATAAAGAAGCGATCTTTGCGTAGACCAAATTTTAAGTGAGTTTACTTTCGTAAAGTGAGTAATAAATTTTTAGATTATAATTTTAAAGGTACTGGTAGTCAAATTGTGATATTTGGTAAAGCTTCTTTAAAATGCTATTTTCTCTTAACGACTATATGTATGTTTGGTCTTATTATTGATTATTATTTCCGAGATATTTAGGATTGAAAATCTTGGTTTTTCATCTAAAAACTGCATATTTTTTTGCAATTTTTTATAAATAACTCGAAAATCTTGCATTTTATCGCAAAACTCATATAAAGCAAAAATGAAGCTTTTGGTTTGGAACAAATCAATTCATTTTTTGTTGTTTACCATAGGTGTAGTAATAGCCGAGTTATCACTCTGTAAACTTGATTCTTTATTTTTCGAAAACTAAATTGTAACCTTTTTAACCGTAAAATAATGGAGAAAGAACACATTTTTTCGAAGAAAATGAATATGATCGTTTTTAAAGTGCTTGAAAAGACCTTTTAAATGTATTTTTTTAAAGGTCCTTTCAAGTTCGTAGCTCAAAAACTCGCGGAGTTATGATAAAAATAAAATGGACGCCTCATTTTTTCGGAAAAAAATTAACAACAAAATCTGTGACTAAAATCGTGAAAATAAAAACTATAAATTTGTAGGAAATTACACGAGCTACAAATTAACCTCTATAGTTGAAAAGTCTTGAACTCTTCATTTTAAGGGTTTTAAGGGTTCAAAGAAGGTGGTCCTTACATGCAAGTCAAACTAAAAAACATAATATCTACGAAATAAAGAGATCGACAGAAAGATTAAAAGGGAGCAAAAATATTGCGAAAAAAGACCTTCAATTTTCTTCTGTTGCATTTTTTACGTATCTTGCTTAGTTTTTGAGATATGTCAAAAAAATTAAAATTTTTTAAAAAACAAAAAATATTTTTTTTTCATTATTTTCAATTTTCGAAATTTTCTACATATCGTCTGTCAAAATCCCCGTGACTCTTTAGGCAGACTTTAAATATTTTTTCGTAACCACCCTTTATAATTTTAATTTTACAGTTTATAGAAGAAAGACTGATGATGCTCAATACGGGCAGGGGATTTTCGGACGAATTCGAATTCGAATTGGAAAATTATTCAGCAAAGTCGGGATCGAAATTAAAACAACAGTACAAAGAATGGACTTCCACTATGAGAAAAGAGGGTACGGCATTTTTTAAGAGCGTCAAAGATAAGGTACGTCTTGTAATCTGCTTATAACTTTAAAGGAATATTTGATTAAGAATATTACATTTATTAGGCCAATCCTGCAATGAAATCGGCTGTCAAAACGGTGAGTACAATTTTTAGATTAGTATTGTTTTTTATACAATAACCTTTATGATATACCGGGTGCGTCTCAAAAGTGGCTCACCCCTATAACTTTTTTATTTTTCAGATAAAAAAAACGAGATTTAGTATGGTAATATATGACATAAATTAGGATTAATTGACATATTCAGTTGTTTTCGGTCACTTCCTGTTTCACCGGAAATGACCACAACTTTTGATTTTTAAATGGCAACCTCGGTACATTTTTACTTTATTCGATAGAAAGTGACACTCTGAATCGAATGACATATCATATGTCAACTTTTGACATACTCGCTCAAAAACAAATTGTATTATAAATTTCAATCTAGAATGCCATGGCTGAGTTAAAAACACTAATTTTTAATCAGGGAGCCTTGCAAAAATAGATTTGATCTTATAATGTTTTTAGTGTCTTGTCCTGGCCGGTTAAAAGATGCCCAAATCGTATTTTTAATCATATCTCAATTTTTTCAAGTGAAATTAGGGTGGCTCATTTTGGAAAAAGCATTTTTTTACGAATAATTTGATGCTACACACTTGGTATTTCGAATCAAATTATCATTATGAACCGCATGTTACATTCTACTCAGAGTGTCATTTTCTATCGAATAAAGTAAAAAAATACCGAGGGTTCAATTTTAAAACCAAAAGTTTTAGTAATTTTCGCTGAAAAAGGAAGTGACCGAAAACGATTGAATACATCAATCAATCCTAATTTATGTCATATCCTAACATACCAAATCTTGTCTCTTTACCGTTTTTCAAATAACTCCAAAATAACCGAGTTATTCTACTTTAAAAATTTCCAAAAAAAAAAGATTTTTTGCTTAAATTTTGAGAACCATTGGATCTTTTCTTGGTTTTCTTTTTTGTAAATTTAATCTACTACCTATGTTACCATATTATCAATAAATTATGGGTTTTAACTAAAAACTAAAAAAAAATTTCAAATTTTTTTTCAAAATGTTCCAAATTTTTAAAAACAAAAATTTTCGCGAAAAAAACTCATAATCGTCAAAATAACGTCCGCGCTAATACCGGAATTGTGGCGGAATTAAACTTTGTCATATCTTTCTATATTATATTTATCTATATTCGAGAGCTGCAGGTTAAATTTTATTGTCTGATTTTTAATATCAATACAAAAAAAATGAAATTTTATCTAAATCAATAAAAAATCCCATATGATGCGCACTTTATCAATGATAAAAAAAGGTTTGCATTTAATTCTTAGGTTAAAGATGGAGGCAAAGGTATGAAGAGCGCCTACAAAGGGCTCCGATCTAAACTTAAAGATGGCCAAGGGGGACCCGGGCCTCAACCTCTACAAAACGGCGACGTCAAACCGAGATCTGCTCCAAACTCGCCAACTGGCAAACGAAAAACGTTGGCTGGCCTTACAGCGCCAGTGGCCACCTACAGAAAGGAAGCCTCGTTAGCTTTTAAAAATGCCAACTTACAAAGGTATAGTCAAAGCATTTTAAACGATGGTAAAAGTCTAACAGACTCGAACAGCTTTAAGTAATATAGCTCTAGAAACATAAGGTCATTTATTTAAATAAAAAGTAATAAAAACAAACAACTAAAAAAGTAATAGAAAAAATAGTATAGAGCATGGCACTGAAATAAGAAGAATAACCATGTAAAGCCACTCTCTCATAAATGTCTCCGGAACATAAGGTTTAGACACGCCACTGTTAAAAAAACTTTTTATTTTAACAAACTTCCCTCATTAGAGGCAAAAAACTGCCTGTCGAAAAGATTTGTGTATAGCCTAACAGGCAAATTTAGTGATTACCACAGTCACTGGAACATAAAGAGAGGGCATGTGGCTATCTATTTCAAAAATTAAATTGTTCAAATGTCATAATATTAGTCGTAGCTGTCATGGAATTAAGCTATTAAAAAATTATCATAAATCATTTTTTTTTTCAAATGGAAACCCACTTTTTTTATTTCACTAGTGAATTTTTTTTTAATTCGCTACTTTTTGATTATATATATTCCTATACCTAAACTAAATCGTTTTTAACTTATTTAACATTTAGTTTTAAAGTGTATATTTTTCTTCATCTTATTTAGCTTACTTTGACATTAAGTGTCAATCAGACAATTTATTTCCTTCTGTCAGAAAACTAATTATTTGAATTTCAAATTATAAATATTGCCTGCTTAAAACTTTATAAAGTGTATTTATAAAAATATATCTCCTCGTATTTTCCCTCTTTAGTGATATATAATAGTTGATATTATCACAGATTAGGTATACTATATGTATACAGATAAAAATCTTATCCCTAATTCTTGGTACGAAATTTGTTTTTTATGACGATGTGCAAACGAGTAAAATTTCCTGCGCGCAAAAATAAACTCGCGTAAAATAACAATAAACAGCGTAATAGAGAGATATCGCTAAACCGAATAGCGTGCATGGACGTTAATAAGGCTAGGTGTTATTTCCTTTGCGTGAGGTGGTATTAACGCTCTTCATTTATAGTTATCGGATCGGAAAGAATTCTGTTCGCGTCGCGTCCGCTATTTAAACTTAACTTTGAAATTGTTTTGTTTACTAGGTATTTTAAAACTAAAGGGCTAAAGTGCTTATTTCCAGTGCTTTATTGTTCAACGTCTGCCAGTGGGCTTAGGGCAACAAATTCTCTTAGAAGGGCTAAGTCGTCATCTGCTGTAAACCTAAGCCTCTTTATAGGTTCTTTAATACTCGTATTGGAAGAGGTGGAATCCATATTTTGGGCCATATTTATTTAATTAAAACTAATCCCAGCTACTTAAATATCAAATTACCTAACAAAACTAAAGTAATAATTCAAAACAATTCAAACATAACCTAAAATAAAAGATCTCGCCGGCCGGCCCCTGTTGTCAAATACCTGCACATGTCCATTTAAGCAATTTTTAAACGTTATTTAGAAATGGCGCTTGGTGTAATTGATCCGCAAATTACGTTAGGCGGTAACGTTATTAGCGGGCGTTGCGTTAAAAATTGACTCGCGCATATCGTAACCATGATAAGGTACGCGTAAATATTGCATGGCGCTATTCGGTTTTCCGATATCTCTCTAATAAACTGCCCGTCAAATTAAATACCACAGCGATTTTTTACTCATTTTCAACGAGTTGTAATTTTGAAAACAAAGGACCGATTTTGTTGATTTTTTTAGCATATTAAAGATCGTTTTTCGTAGATTGATCTGATTTTTCTAAATTTTGTATAAGATTTAGTTTTCTATGACATACAGGATGTGAAAAAAAGGAATGTAATTTTTGTGTTGCTGCCATTTTACCAAAAAAAAAATTTAAATAGAATTATAACTTCTGGGTATAGCTAAGACTAATATCTCGGGACGTATTTGGAATTTTTACGGTAACTCATCTGGAATAAAAGATAATCAATTTTTACTCTAACTTGTATTTTTCTACAACTCGTTGAAAATGAGTAAAAAAATTGCTGTGGTATTTAATTTGACGGGCAGTTTAATAGGCTACTGTTTAAAATCAAGAAAAATATACGCTTTAAAACTAAATCTTAAATAACTTAAAAACGATTTATTTTAAGTATAGGAACATGAATCAAAAAATAAAGAATTGAAAACCCTTTTCGCTAGTGAAATAGAAAAGTGGGTTTCCATTTGAAAAGAAAATGATTTATTATAATTTTTTAATAGCTCAATTCCATGACAGATACGGCCAATATTATAGCTGCGAAAAGAACGGATTATATCAATATATTATTCTAGGTCGTATAGTCCACTAAGTCCTGGCTCACAACCAATAACGCCAGACGTCCTCGACACACCTAGGAGCGGAAGTCCTATTGATATACCGAGGATAGACCTTATGAACGAAATGAAAGACTTCTTGGAATTAAATTTAGACACGCCGCCTGTGGATAGATCGGTATGATTTGATTTAGTTCATAATGGGTTGTAACACTTGGGGAGTCACACATAGCTTTCTTTTGCATGGGGAGTTTGTTTGGATAATTGAATGTTATTGTTTCCTTTGCTCTAAAAATCTAAATGAAAAATGACTTAATATTTTTAAGAGTGCATCCGATAATACTTTAAACTAGAGATGGGCAGAATGTCACTGCCTGTGATTTTTTTGAAGTGACATAAAAGTAGCATTTCACAGATAATTTCGAATTAAGCCGTGAACGGCTAAAACGTGAAAACGTGAATTTAAACAGCGATCGATCGCGAGGCGGCGTTCTCTGCTGTTCATAAGGCTCCCATGTATGTACAAAATAAATATCATATTTTACAATTTTTTTATAGTAAAATGACATAATACCCTAGTTGGTATAGGAAACTAACAGTAAATAAAAAAAACACAGGCAATGGTAAATATTATTAAGGTGTATGCGGCGCTAAACTATATTGCTGGTTGCCTACGTGTCTAGAAACATGGCGAATTCACCAGAAAGTGAAAGACTTTTTGTTGAAGCGCCATCTCTTAGCTAAGTGCAAAAGCGAATCGGGCAGCGGTGGAATTTTCCAGTAGGAAGTAGAACGCTCTCTGAGCATTTTAGAAGGTTCGAGAAACAGTCAGTAGAGTATATAAGCCCGCGTAATAGACAATTGGGACAGTTTGAAATTTGATAATACCGCGTTTTAAATTGTGAATTAATTGGCGAATGTGCTAGAAACGTTAGAGTAATAGTAGTTGCATGAATTGTGTTAAATTAGTATAAATTGTATGTACAGAGTGAGAGAAAATAAATTCGTTAAGTATTTTATCGTGAGTTTAAATTAGTGGACCTACGGAATCCGTAAAAATATGAAAAAAAATCACTTCATGACAACAGCATAACCAAAGGACTAAAATTATCATTAACAGCGCTTTCAGATGGAGCGGACCGTCCGTCGTGTTTTTTCAAGATAGCCGTCGGACGAAATCATCCGGACGGAGCATACGCGACCCATGTGAAATTGTTCATATAAACTCATGGTACATACTCGAAGTCGCGGACGGTCCGCTCCATCTGAAAGCGCTATAACGGTAAAAGTCGCATTCACAGGTTACACTGTGAATAAAAAATCAGGTATATATGTATATGTGAATATAAATTTAAAATATATACCTGTAAATGTAAATTTGTTGCCCAACTCTACAGTTTCATTCAGAACCTCGCAATTAGTGGAATAAATTAGTGGTTTCAATTAACGTAGAACTTTGTTCCTTTAATTTGAATGTAAGCATTCAGAACGCCAAAATTAGTGGTAGGAATTTTCAGTTAGTTAAAAAAGTTACCAAACTTTTAACGTTTCCACTAATTATACTTCAAAATTTGCGAGGAATGTCATTTTGGCCTTTTTATTATCATCCGTCAAGAGAAAATGTGGTTAGAAATCAAAAGTTTATTGTTTTATAAGCTAAATATTAGATAGGCTTTCTCTATGGATACAACTGATTACTGCGTGCTGTTGCTAGCATATCCTATTAATTTTAATTGTTTTTTAGACATTGTGAATGTCCTAACCTAACTTAACTTAAACTAAAAAGTATAAAGTGTAATTGATACCACTAATGTATTCCACTAATTGCGAGGTTCTGAATGAAGCTTCCATTAAACTAAGCTAAGAATTAAATAATTTATCACAAGAAAAACATTCTTTCACTATATGCTATATTATTCATTATAGATTAATTATACTGTATTAACCATAAATTGGTCAAAATTAGTAAAAAGTTCTGACAAACAAACTCACTTAAAATTTCACCTACTAAAAAATCGGCCGTGTTGTTTTTAGTCATTTTACATTTAGACCATTTCCTAAACGTTAAACACGAAAACGGTCACGATAATCCAAACCGTTCAACCACGCTTTTGTGCCTCTTGCAGCTGAAACCAGTTCGCAGCCTGGAAAACTTCAAAAACACGACCAGCCCGCTTGGGAGTCCTGAGAGGCGGTCCCAGCCGCCGCCGCCCCGACCCTCCCTGCATCCTCTACCCTCCCTCTCTTCCAGCCGCTTTTATAGGGACACGCAGAACCTGCTACAGTCGCCTTTGGAGGGCCCCGTCCTGTCCCCTCCCTACGTACCGCCTAGGAAGCCGCACCAGCTGCTTCAGGAGGAGTTTTTCGGGTCGGCGACGAAACCGGTCGTGGTGGGCGGCGGGCACAGCGAAAACGGCGACCCCGTTTTTTACGTCACGAGTAAGAACGCGGTCGACGTGGTCAAGTTGACGCCGCCCGTGCAATGTTCACCCAATAGGCGAAAGGTAAATTGGGCGCATTTTTTTAAATCTCGCAATCTTTGAATAAAATGAACGAACCGAAGTAACATTTAGTCAACATGTTACTTCGGGTTTTCTCAGAATCGATTCTGAACCGTCCTAGAACTGTGATACGCCTGCGTAAAAGGAAATATGCAGCAATTTTTCATCTGCGCATGCGTTGTAAAGTTCTAGGACCGTTCCGAATCGGTAATAGAAAAAACCTAAATTAAGCTAATAAGTTGTCAGTAAAAGTAACTTTGTTGTACAATAGGGAGCGCGTTGGTGAAAATTGGAACAAGTAAATTTTTTAAGTACAGTGAATCACCTCCACATTTATTCTGATCCACTCTTCTTAAAATTACAAGAAAACGATAAATCAAAAACCCCCAAATTTAAATATTTGTTTTTATAGGTACTTAACCTTAAAAGACATCAAGCGTCTAGCCTTAGAATGTAACCTATTACTAGTAATTGTTAGCATTCACTGATCTATGGCTTTTATTGTAACATATCCCTAACAATATCTTATATTTTTATTCCTTTTGTTAAATTTTCTATCCAGTTTTTGTTAATTGTATGTTAAATGTTAACCATTGTTTTTTCATTAACTGTTGTGTGTTCATTACTTTGTTGAAAAAAATAATTATCTCAATCTATAAAGAAAAATATTTCGATCTAGAAATTAAATATGAACGACTTCCAAGTATTGTTCAGATAAAATTCATATAAAATGACCATAACGGCAATAAAACGCTACCAAAATAGTTCCAAATTATAATCCTATGTAATCATCCTACACGAATCAGAAGCAGTATTATAGTAAGTAGTAAGCAAGAATTATAAACCTTTTAGAGCAGCGTTTCTTAACCTTTTTTTAAAGAAGTTTCTTTGAAATTATGTTTTAAAAATGAATCACATTTCTATTAATTGATTTTCCTATTAATTAATTGATTTTAATTGAATATCTGAAACTGTTCAAAAGGTCTGCCTATCCAGTTTCCCAATTCATAAAATATCCCCCAGTTTTCCAATTGATGACAAAAGATGACCTCAAACCGCGGAGGTGTTTGATCATTTCGACTTGGATTTGCTGATATTTTGTTATTAATTTAAATGTTCATAGATAAGACGGCGGACCCCCATACACATAATGGCGGACCCACAGGGGTATGCTCCCTGGGCATACCCCTGTATGTCCGCAGGTAGCCTGCGGACCACAGGTTAAGAAACACTGTTTTAGAGTATTTTCAAAATGTAAAATCGAGTAAAGTCAAAAACGTCTTATTTTTGCCACTAATTAGTCAATGCTTATAAGACATTATTTTAAAGTTAGGACAAATTAAAATAAAATATTTTACATATTTAAATTTTATCGTCCTGTTGATTTGTACTTCATTGTGTTTTTTTTTACATTTAGCAGGCCGACGATACCGAAGACCTTATTCGCCTCGATTCAGCATCGGATCTCGACGACTTCGACCCATTAAAAACGTCTTCTTCCACGTCGTCTTACTCCACCCCAACTCACAGCCAAGCTCCGCCTCTTAGCGTGTCCAATCCCCTCTACAATTCGTCGTACGAGAACCACACGATCAGGGCGAACGACGGCCTAACTCCTACCACGTTCGACAGACACGACCAAGATTTACTGCAAGAATACGGCCTAGATTTTAATTTTTCAGGAATGCAAAGCAATAAGCCGACCTCGTCGTTTGATCCGTTCAGTCCTACCAATAAAGTGAAAACGCAAGGACAGTGGACGAAGTTCGAGTAGTGATCAGTTTTGTTTTAGATTTTTATTTCATGACAATAATTTAGATCGGTGGTTCTCAACTTTGTTACCGCTATGCAGAAAATAGGTATTGGCTATATACAGGGTGGTCCGAACTGTATTCAGGAAACTTCAGCAGCATATTCTGCAGATAAAAATAAGTAAAAAAGTTCGTATAAATGTATGTCCTAAAATGCTTAGTTTCGGAGATACAGAGTAACGTCAATATTTGGATTAAAATTGGTGTCTGGGAGTATTTTGACATGAGAAATTTGATTTTGATATCAATATGACTCCTACTTGTAGACGGCGCCACCTACATGTGTTTTAACTGTTTTGAAATGTAATAACTTTTCGTGCGTACCTGTATAAAACTACCGAGTGAAAAAATTTACATTACCATGAGTTTTTACATAAAAAATAACTCTTGGTAAAAATCGCTACGAGCAACCGTTCTCAAGATGTTTAGAATGGAAATAGTCAATACATGTTATTGACCAAAAATGAACGCGTTGATTAGGTAGTTATTTGACTGAAATAATAAATTTGGGAACTTTTTATTTTTTTAAATTGATCATTAATTTTTCTTCGAAGAAATAATGATAAAACAGTTTCTGTTGAACTTTTGACAAAAAATATTTAAAATTTGTCTTTTCGGTCTAATAACTATTAAGTCAACATATTTAATTTATGTCAATGATGACAGGTATTGACTATTTCTATTCTAAATATCTTGAGAACGGTTGCTCGTAGCGATTTTACCAAGAGACATTTCTTACATAAAAAAAATGTCGTAAATGTATATTTTTTTACTCTGTAGTTTTATACAGGAACGGACGAAAAGTTATTACTCTTCAAACCAGTTAAAAAATATGTAGGTGGCGCCCTCTACAAATAGGAGCCATATTAACATCAAAATTAAATTTCTCATGTCAAAAAACTCTCAGACAGCAATTTTATTCCAATGACGTTAATTCAGAAGTTATTTGGAAAAAATCGAAATAAAAATGAAATTTCTGCACCCTGTATCTCCGAAACTAAGCATTTTAAGACATACATTTATAAGAACTATTTTACTTATTTTTATCTGCAGAATATGCTGCCGAAGTTTCCGGAATACAGATCGGACCACCCTGTATACTTCTAAAAGAAGGAAAATCTAGGAACTAGTGGGGTTGCAGTCGGAAGGGTTGGACTGAATTAATACACTTTGTTAATGGTCAAACTTTCGGAATTGATCTATTTTCCTTCTCTAAAAACTACATTAAAAAATTGGCTTAAGGAATACATTGAAGACTCCACAGTAAAATCATCACTGGCCAATCAACCACATTCTGGACGATTCTGGGGCGAATAAAACACCTATTTATTAAATTAAAACATTGGAAATACTTGCGAAATTTTAAGAAGCGGCGAAGAATTAGACGGCCAAGCTTCTATTGATGCGAGTGATGCGTCCGTCACACCCCTTCAAAATATTGTTATTCAAAATATTGTAATACGTTTTTATTTAAAAAAAGTCACCGATATCTCTTATAAAATTCAAATTCTCAGTAAATTGTGTATTGGTCGAGCTTTATAGATTACGATAAGACCTACGCTAAACGCTAAAAATAAAAATATCTCGACAGCGCGATGATACGACTGTCCTTGTTACATCTTTAACTTATTTAATATTTTGGCAAGTCAATAACGTTAAATTAAAAATAATATTTTTTTAAAGGTTGCTATTAGAATTGGATTAAAACACATTAATTAAATTGTGTTTATCTCATCAAGGAGACCGACAAAATATCAGGAGAAAACTTTTAATCGGCCTTTAACGGTCTACACAATTTTGCTAACAAAAAAGAAAAAAAGTCAGTGGCGCACATATTTTGTTTATAAAAATATTCCAGTGATAACCCATATGCACGTCCCTGGTGAATATGTCGACACGTTTTTAGTAGTAGTGGGAACTATCGAATGAATACTATCGAAACATTCGATAGTTGCAATTCATTCGAATAATTCGATAGCTAGTAAAAAACATTCGTTGAAAACTATTCGAATAAAAATTATCGAATAGATGCGTCATCTGCCTTGAAATATTGTATTCTAGTAATTCATCAGCAAAAACCATTCATTTAGAAAATTCATTCATGTATTCGTCAGATTTTAGTTGTCGCCCGACGACGTAGGTTTCTTTCCGAGAAACCCGACAGCGGTCGGTGGCAATGCTATGAAAGAAGCCGGCATCTTTGATTTTTTGCGGAGTCATATAAAGATAAGGACACATTATTTTTTTTATTGAGGTGCTAGTATTTACACAGAAAATACATTATGGAGGGCGCTGTTGCCATATATTGGTATTAGTTGATATTAGCAAAGAATATTATTGTTTGGCTTTAGTTAGTTAGGTATAGTATGTCTATATATTTTGCATTTTTTTATTAATATTCTGTTGTTATACTGCAATAATACTTGTTATTTTGGATGTAGGAAAATGATTTTTAATGTTTTTAAGCAAAGACTGGTTTAATAAAAATAATAATAACAGTAATAATTTGTTATACCTATTAACAACAAAATTTAAAATAATTTAATATAAACATTTTTTTTACGTAATAGCAAAATATAAACAACAAATTAGATGTCAAAATTATTTATATTAGATCCTATTTAAAAATAAAATAGTCTTTAAATTTTTTGTGGCAACGTTGGTTTATTAAATATTAATAATTACAGAATTAATTTGTTATATTAACAACAAACTTTAAAATCATGATATATAAACATTTATTAATTTTCTAAGCATGCAGTGTAATGGAAGGAAAATATAAATAAAAAATTAGAAATCAAAATTATTTATATTAGGTACTTTATATTACTGTTTAAAAATAATATTTACTTTTACTGGCATTTACTTTAAAAAATAAATGAAATATTTCTTCGCAAAAAACTACATGTAAGAGAATTAGCATAAACAAAATGCAAACATCTTTAACTTATTTTTTTAAATTGGCACGTGTAAAACTTTCAATTTAATTTTCTCACCCCATAGTTTGAGTTCGATAACCATTTACTTAACCACATTGCTTAAATATGATTATTAAGTTCAACTAATTCATATTATTAAAACATCTAAAATACAAATATGTATTTTTAAAATTAATTTTAAGTTCATCTCATCTCTCTTAAAAATTGCTACTTCTCAAAATTTCCCATTAAAAAATAGACCATATATACCCATATGAAATAAAATAATTGAAAGATCGGGCTACGGAAAATCACACAAATTTTCGGAAAAATTTTGACACCTGCGACGCACACGTCAATAAAAAAAAACTACTATTTCAGTATTTTAAATATTTTAATAAACGCAAAAATAGCACAGTATTTATAAGGTGAAGTTATAAAAATTTGGAAGAACTAATAATGCACTGACGCACACAAAAATCAAACGAATACTAAATTTCATTTATCAAAAGCATTCGATAGTCGTGGCTCAACGATAACCATTTAGTTGCACGGCGGGGTTGTCACATATGCTTTAGTATACAAATGAATGAATGATTTTATTCGAATAAAACCATTCGATAGTTGAAATCATTCATTCAGTAACCATTCGATAGTCTAATTCATTCGATAGTTCCCATCGCTAGTTTTTAGCATTAAAATATGTCGCATTTACCCTCAACATTTAATTTGAAACGCTAAAAGCACTTGGAAGAAAATTATAATAAATCGAAAAAAAAAGACTAAAGACTTTTTTAATCCACTTTAGCTACGAAGAAACAAAACAGAATCGGACCTATGTTAATATGAAACAAAAATCTTATTTTTACAAGAAAAATCTCCCTACGAGAAATGGCAGATGTTTTTTGAAACACCCTGGAAAGCCTTTGTATACTCTTCTATTAGTATACAGGTTGTTAATTTGTTTATTACTCGCGGCAAGAGCTTTATGGTTGAAATATGGCAACCTCGACCCGCTCGTCGATAGACGACGCGACGGGACGAGTCGGCAGCAAAATCAATAATGCATGCGTTCTCAATAGGCAGTGTTGCCATTCTGTTACCCTATAAGTAACTGTCGATTTAACAACCTGTATAGTTTATAGTAAGATTTAATAGAAAAACAAGATTGTCTAAAAAACAGTGACACTTGTCTGTCATTTAATTTCAAATATAGATTTATTATTTTTTGGATTTATTTTCTATCATTTTCTGGATGATGTATGTTGAAATCTTATTGATTGAAAAAGGAAAAAAAAATTACATCGAAATCGACATCTGGTAGGATGTTTTTATTGAGAATTACATTGGGTAGCCATGTGTTGAGAACCACTGAAATAAATGAAAAAAATTCTGCAGAAAAGGTTAGATTATATTCAACACTAAAATATAAATTATTATTTAATGACCCGAGTCAAATTTTTACTGGAAGTTATGTATACATGCTATAGTATTTTTTTTTAAGATTCTATGTAATGGCGCATCACAAACTATCAAACTTTTCATTTCTTTAATAAGAAATAGTCCAGGACTAAATCATGCAGGTTGTTTCCTAAGTAGTCTAAAATAATTTGGGGTGTGATTCTTCGTATGATTTTTAAGAAAAAAAAAGTTTATATGAACATGGGGTCTAAAGTACTTGCTTTCGAATCTAGAGGGTGTTAAAAATTAAAAAAAAGCCTGCAAATTGTTAAGAACATAGACATAGAACTTTAGACTACTTTGAAACACACTGTAGACACAAATTTTTAAGCTAATCACTTGTTTTCCGATAACTTTTAAGTGTTAAACAAATAATATAAAGAATAAAATTTGCAGATATTATTTTTAGTAACCGCCAAGAAAAAAATCCTTAAAAAGTTAGAAGATGATTCTATAACATATTATGAAATCATTGTTTTCATTTATTTTATATACATTTGATTTGAAAAAATGAACAAACTTTAAATCGTAGCTTTTATGGTCAATATGCAATGTTTAGATAATTTGTTTTAGATTCTATTTATTATTCGTTACCGGTCTAGAATACTCGTAATTATTTATTATGAAGACGTTAGTCAACTTTAAGCGGTAAAAACGATACGTCACAATTATTGTGTTTTAACAATCCCAGTAAAAAGTACCAGTTTTATTGTCATATTTTTGTGACGCGAAAAAGTTTTATTTGGTAAATTATTTACACTTATTATACATTTTATATTGTACAAGTGACATAATATATAGCTTGTAACGCCAAATGGATAGATGTAAATTATTCATAATGGAATAGTATTGTATAAGAATCAGTTAGATTTATAACGACATAAAAGAACAATTTAGGATATAAAATGGATTTTTTTTAATGCATTGTTGAAATCAAATTAAAAGGGAATTATCCTTACGAAAATTTTATATAATCTGTATAGACTTAGCTGTGATATAAAACATTATTTTAATATATTATTAAATTTTTACTATTGATTTGTTTGTTTATATCTATTTAATAAAATTAAATTATAAAGTTTTTGTGTTTTTGTTTCATCAGAAGTGGAAAGGAAATACTGCCATCACAGGAAGTCAAATATCTGGGATTACCCCTAGACTCCAAAGAGTAAACTTCTCTGGAACAGGCATATTAAGAACATTACCAGCAAAGCCACAACGGCTCTCATGATATGCAGAAGACTGGCGGCAAATGGATGGGGCTGCGCCCCTAACATTTGGCGCTGGATGTATACAATGATAGTAAAACCCATGATTACCTATGAAGCAGTTGCTTGGTACACAAAACTAGAGCAACGTACAGCAAGGCAAAACGTGTAAAGTACAGACACTGGCATGCATCTGCATCACAGGTGCTATGAGAACCTGCCCAATAGCAGCAATGGAGGTTATCCTAGACTTGACACCACTGAACCTTGAATTACAACTAACACCAAGAATTTACAACTTTGAAAAACACCTTACTGTAGTATTGATCAATAAAAAGGATTGGAAGAGAGAAACGTTTGCTCAGCATGTAGAAGATCATACCATAATCATACTTGGTATACTGACAAGGTATACTGATGCTTCCAAAGCCAAAGCAGGGACAGGGATAGGAGTATTTAGGCCGATAACTAAATACTCTGAATCAAGAAATCTACGCTATCGAAAGATGCGTATAATTTATCTTAGATGGGAACTATCGAAAACAGGAAATGGCCATCTTATCCGATAGTCAAGCAGCACTAAAAGCGATCAACTCAGTAACCATAAATTCGAAGTTGGTCAAAGAATGCCTAGAGAAGCTGAACAAATTAGGCAAAGAAAATCCTACTCAGTCCTCCGGTGGCGGCTTGTGACCCATTCGTGACCCGTGTGACTGGGTAGGCGACAAAATGTTTCTCAACCCAAGTACTTGTAAATAGTGTAGTAACAAACAAAACAAACAATTTGAAATCCTCTGGAAATATATTTCCAGGATTATTCTCCTTAAATTATTTTATAATCGAAATTATCATATCTATTATTAATACCTGCAATTTATTCATTAATTTACGTTGGTCAACAACATTTTTTGTTTGTTAAATCACTATTAAATGCGTTGGAAATGTATCAATATAACAAGTTTGTTAAATCAGATGTTAAATGCGTTGGAATTTTTATAGTATTCTTTAAATTTCGGATCCGCAAGAGATAAATAAAAATGATTGAAACATACGAGTACCTATCTGCAAACCATATTTCTAAATATATAACAATGTTATCTAATATTTCATAAAATAAAATTCGCAAAGATACTTAGCCGCTTTTATTAACATATCGAATTGAAATAGCACACTGAGACTTTTCTATAATATCTGTTGTATCGTCTTCTTGCACCGAATAAAATAACGCGCCTTTTTATTTCGGATTCTTTTATTTCTGTGGCGTGTTCTGAAATACAACCGATTATATCATTTTGAATAATCTCGGACAAGCCCGAAAAAATGTTTCCAATTTGCTTTAAACGTTTTTTTTTGAATTTTCATATAAAAGTTTTAAATGCTACGTATAATGAATCATATGAAATATCCCCTTAACGAAATGTAATATATCCCCTTATGAAATATCGGGAATATCCCCTTAACTTCTAAGCCTACCGAGCCTCCACGACTTCATGCCAAGGCGACCGGAGATTTCGCCTAAGCCCCGCCTTAATACGATACAACTCCGACTTACGTCGCGTCGCTACCGCACGATGAGTTAGACAGAGACAGAAGACTGTCGTACGTCGTGCATCGATTCTGATAGTAGGCGATGTAGAAATCGCCGAACAAAGGCACTCCAACGGTCAAAATTATTTTGTTTTCTAACGCAGCGGCACTGTCAAAGTACGCCAGCTGTAGTGAATATTTAATATTTTAATATACAAGACCACAAATATTAAAATATGATTGATTATATATTATTATATGACTGATTATATATATTATATTGATTATTAAAACACACTTCCGTGTATTAACAGTATTTTTATGTATTGGCAACATTAAATGAATAATAATAAACCGCTTAAATTCTGCCAAAATCTTAGGGTAGGCGCCGCCTACCTTGCCTACCCTGACGAGCCGCCACTGCAGTCCTACTCTGGGTGCCCGCTATCCAAGGAATAAAAGGCAATAAAAAAGCAAACGATCTAGCTAGAAAAGGAGCGAACACTCCACTAACTGGACCAGAACCGTTCCAAGCGGAAACCAGCTTAAAGCAGAACTGAAGAACCTTGAGGACTCCATCCGTAACCTGGAATGGGAATCCTCCAACAGTCTCACCACAGAGCTTTCACATGCGACGGACCGTCCGCCGTGTTTTTTCAAGATAGCCGTCGGACGAACTCCGTCGGACGGAGCATACGCGCCTATGTGAAATTGTTCATATAAACTCATGGTACTTGCTCGAAGTTGCGGACGCTCCGCTCCATCTGAAAACGCTGTCAGGCACTCAAAAAAGTTCCTCAGAACTTATAGGACCGAAAAAAATCAAAGATTTTCCTTGATTGAAGTAAGAACAATCTTCGGATTGTCACGGGGTTTCTAACAGGACGCAGGAAAAACGGGGAAACACCAGAACACCTTATGGACGGACTATTGTTCACATACCTACTAACCTACTCAAGTATCTCTAGAATGGTGGAGAAACTCACCAGGGCAGAGACAGGCGAAAAGGTTCATTGTAGAACATTCGCCAAAATTCACGGTAGACTTGATAAGCAAGGACAGAAAGACAGTCAAAGCTGTAGTAGGTCTACTAACAGGGCATTGTAAGTTAAATAGGCATCTAAAGCTGATGGGATTGACAGACGAAGCTATGTGTAGGTTCTGCCAATCTGAAGAAGAAACGTCAGAACACATTTTATGTCGGTGTGACAGCCTGGCAAATGTGCGGTTCCCGGTAATAGGCAACGATAGGCCATTGCCAAGGAGCTACATGGAGGGTTCAGTCTCCAAGTTGCTAAACTTTGTGAAAAGGATAGGACTGGAGAATGCAATCTAAGGATCAGTAGAAAACCACAATAGATTTGAGAAGGTCGTAGTGGATCAGGCCGAAAGCCACCTCTAAGAATCTAATCTAATCTCTAACCTACTCAAGTTTATAATTGATAATGGATGGACATTGACAATGTAGTGTTGCAAATTGAGATGATTCATTAACTTGTCAGAGAATAAAAACAAATTATTTAATAAATAAATTTATTGTTTCAGAAGGAAAAAAAATTGCACTGTAATACTGCAAGTTGTAAACTACAAATATAGGTCTGGCCATTACCTTGGTAGAGTTTTAAAGATATTTATATTTCTAGAAATATCTTTAAGAATAGCATTTAAAAAAAATATTTACATTTGATGAACTTAAGAAAAAAAAACTAAGTTTTATAATTTGGATCAATCAATTCTTAATAATAATTAAATAAAATATCTACACCCACTTAAAGTGTAAGTTATTTTTAAATGCCGTTTATAAATGTTACAAAATAAATAAAAAGCAAAAAATAAATTAGAATAAATAATATCCTACTGAAACGTATTATTGAAAATAATGTATAAAAAACTGCATAAGTTTCTGAATAGTTTACATAAGTTTCAAAGCTTCCAAAGCTATTTCTAATCGTGCTAGTTCGGTATTTGTTTGTGCTAATTTTTCGGAATTGGATTGTTGGACATCAGCTGGAACCTAAAATGAAAAAAATTCATAAAACCAGTATATCGATTCTTACTACAGCAAATATACAGGGCGTGTCACAAAGTTCACAACATATTGGCAACAATTTTTATTATTGAAAAAGAGTTAATGCGGAATAAATTCAGCATGCCTGATATCAAGAGTAAGTGATTTTGAAATATGTCATGGCGACAAATTACAAAATTCTCTTTGTATACCGGGTGCGTCTCAAAATTGGCTCACCACTACAACCTTTTTATTTTTCAGTTAAAAAAACGAGATTTGGTGTGTTAGTATATGACAAAGTTAGGATTGATTGACGTGTTCAATTGTTTTCGGTCACTTCCGGTTTCACCGGAAATGACAACAACTTTTGGTTTTTAAATGGCACCCTCGGTATTTTTTTACTTTATTCGATAGAAAATGACACTCTAATAGAATGACATATCATATGTCAACTTTTGACAGTTATAGGGGTGAGCCACTTTTGAGACGCACCCGGTATACAAGAAGTTGGCTTAGGGCTCGGGTTAGGGTTATAATATACCCAAACTAAAATTTCACTTTTTTTCGAGTTTTTTGATAAAAGGAATTATACCAAAAACAATATTTTTCTTTAGTATCCCGGAAATAAGAGCAAAAAATTTAAAAAAAATGTAATATTATAAGGAACTTTTTTAAAAATGTCATATTTATGTATGCACAAACCTTTGATACGTAATCTGACACATTCATAGCTTGCTCAAGTTTCTTTTGAGTGGACTGCAAGAATTCCAATTTCTTCTGGATTTTCTGAATTTCCTTTGATGGATCTATAAGTCCTTTTAACAATAAATGAACTTCACATTTATCAGATACAGTTATAATGGTACAGCCCTCAGGAGATTGTTCATTAACTGCTGTAACTGAACAATACGCTAATGTTTGAAGTGCCGAACCGTATCTTTTAAGGATTTCACTGGTAGCAGAATCGTTTGATTTTAAATATGCTGAAAATTATCAAATAAGAAACACGCTCGCCTTTATTTCATTTAATGCTTACCTTCAGTTTTCGTTTTGTTGGGCAAATTATAATCACTCCTGGTTGATCGAATAGCTTTTGCAACCTTTTGAACAAAGTCTACTTCTTTTTCAATTGTCTCATTCTTATATTTAATTTCTTTCGAGTCCGGGAACGATTCTACACAAATACTAGGAATTTTCGCTCGTAATTCCTTAGCTCTAGGTAACCTTTGATATAACTCTTCGGTAATAAAAGGCATAAAAGGTGAGAGAAGTCTTAACCCGATGTGTAAGGCTCTGTATAGTGTAATCATTGCCACTGTTTTAGCTTTTTCATCGTTACCGCTAAAAACAGGCTTCAAGTATTCCTAAAAATATATACTCGTGTAAATTAGTTCCTAGAAAATAATTATTATTTTACCAGATACACATCACAGAGGTCGTACAACCAAAAATTGTAAATGGCTGTGGTAGCTAACACGAAATCATAATTCTGAAAACCGTTTACTATATCTTGTGCAGCAGAACCGGCTCTGTTTAACATCCACAGATCCATTACACTTTCATCTCCAAGCAAATTTTGATGAGCTGGAGCGACAAAATCGGATGCAAAATATGTTAAAGCAAATTTAGTCGCATTCCAAATTTTGTTACAGAAGAACCTATAAATCAACGATGTTAGTAAAAATGAGGATTATTACTAGGACTAGTATAACCTGTAGCCCTGGATTCTATTGATATCTAGATTAATGTCACGTCCAAAACACATAGCACACAAGGCAAATCTCAGAGCGTCAGTACCACACTCTGGGATGCCTTCTGGATAATCTTGTTTCTGTCCAGCCTTTGCCTTTTCTATCTCTCTTGCATCGAGGTTCCCATCTTGTAGTTGCTTATGCAAATCTTCTAGAACAATACCGTTAATAACATCCATTGGATCTATGACGTTACCGAGTGATTTGGACATTTTTCTACCATGAGCATCTCTTACAATCGGATGGAGATACACATCTCTAAATTTTTATTTGAATTAGATAGCGGAGCAAACGGATAAATAAGAACTTACTTAAATGGTAATTTCCCAAGTAATTTTTGGCCCATAAATACCATTCTCGCCACCCAAAAGAATAAGATATCGTGGCCAGTTTCCAAAAGAGAAGTAGGGTAAAAGATTTTTAACTCTTCTGTCTCGTCGGGCCAACCAAATATTGAAAAAGGAAACAAGGCCGATGAAAACCACGTATCAAGAACATCGTCATCTTGCCATAAATTTAACTCTTCGGGCTTGAGATTAAATTTTTGAGCCGCTTTTTTTCGAGCTTCAGATTCTGTTTGTGCCGATACCCAATTTTGTTCCTCTACCTGAGACAAAATGACAATTCATAGTTGCAGAATAAACATTATAAACCATGGTTTTGGATGACCAAGTATTCCAAAAAGGCTCTATATTAGATTTCTGGTTTGAGATTTTCAGACCATCCTTGTATAGTTCATATCAAATAAACTTTTAGTCACGTCATTAAGCTTGACCGGCACAGCGTTGCGCACTTTTACATATTTTCTTTTAATCAAAATATTTTAGGAAACAAAAATAAATTAATTATAAATATATAAACAGTTATTATTTACATCAACAAAACTCACCTCCTTAACAGCACTTAAGGGACATGAAGAGCCATTACTACCGCTTTCCCGTTCAAAATATTCTAATAAAGTTGCGATGAGGTTTTTACGGCTATTAAGGTATCATGTTCACTTCGCACTAAAATATGTTCTAAAAAGAACAATATTTGCAAGATCTGCTAGTAAAAATTTTTAAGCTTAAAGTATCACAATACTATTTATTTAAACCAAAAACTCGTAATATAAAACTAAAGTGTCAAAATGAATGACAATGTCAGGAAATAAATAAATAAATGTGGCAACATGACATTTTTTTACAGTAGAGCTACCACCTGAATCTCCAGCGCAAATATTAAATTCCAGTTAGTCAGCCCGTTGCCGAATATTATCCATGGTTGGGAACTAGTGATGGGCAAAACTGTTATTTTTAGATAACAGTTGAAACTGTTATAGTTATTTATAAAAAACAGCTTAAAAATAACAGGTTTCTTTATTTTATTGCTAAATACCTGAAAGAGTATGAGGCGGTCACCGTCAGGCGTATTAACGCAGTTGCAAGTTGCAACAATGATGTGCTCGGTGGTAGTATTTCCAGGGTGTTATAACATTTCTAAATATCGATTATTATCTAAAATACATCTCTAAAAACGGTGGCTGTTGACAATTAAGCGCTGTTTACAAATTGCGATATAAAAAAGCCAAAATGCCGCTACTCGTCTATACCTATACATTCCGATCTACCTACGCCCTGCCCCTCGATCCGCGTAGATCCTGAATTGCGTAGCAGTGTACAGGTGCATCTCACTCGACGGGCGAGAAGCTCTTAGTTATGATTTTACCATTTGCGGTCAAAAAATAGCAATTTAAGAAAATGTGTAGTATATTCTTCATAAGTAAACCAACTACACACTAGAGTTCAAATTAATTTTACACTTAAACTAGTGTGTACCCGCAAACTGTACATACAAACTGGATAAAATTTTCTCACATTTGCCAAAAATAAGCTTTAAACGTCGAGCAGTTTAAGCAGAATCGTGGTTAATCATTTACTCAACTTTTTGGAACACTCTGTATGATTTTTTTAAAAATTTCAAAATATGGAAAAAAACAAAATAAATTATGCGTGTCCAAGCGTTTTCCCGAAAGACTAACCGTTTTTTAAATAACAAATATTGTAATATTTGAGGGGCATTATCACCCTCTTGGAATTTGAGATTCGAGAAACCCCTCCTTATCAAATCTCTACACCTCACAGTCAATCCGTTTGCCAAAAATCAGCTTTAAACGTCAAGCAGTTTAAGCAGAATCATGATTACTCAATGGTCATATTTTATGAAACACCCTGTATATATTTTTTAAAAATCTTAAAATATGTAAAACAACAAAATAAAATATACGTGTTTAAGAGTTTTTCACCAGTTTTTAAATAAAAAATATTGTAATATTTGAGGGTGGTTTCACCCACTTAGAATTTGAGTTTCGAAAAATCCCTTCTTATCGAACCACCTAAGTCACACCCTAAAGTCAATCCGTTTTCCAAAAATCAGCTTTTTACGTCAAGGGCTTTAAGCAGGATCGTGATTAATCAATGACCAGATTTTTCAAAACACCCTGTATACATTTTTAAAAAATCTTAAAATATTATTCTGAAAATTTCACAGAATAAATAAATACCTAAATATTGAAACTTAATAACCATGGCAACTGAAACATATTTCGCCAAATTATCTCGAGGCGCCTCCGCCCGTTATGCTCGTAACAGGTTGAAAAACAATGAAGTATCTAAAACAAATGATGCGTTATTCTCCAACCTGTTTCGGACCTCCATCGACAATTCGACCGATGCAGCAGCGAAATTTTCCCACTCCGATTATCTCGACCGCTTAAATTATTCCTGGAAATTTTCTATGCTCGTAACAGGTTAAAAAACAATGTAGCTAAAACAACTGATGCGTTATTCTCCAACCCGTTGCGAGCCTCCATCGATAATCGACCGATGCAGCAGCGTTTCTTTCCCACTCCTGTTATCTCGACCGCCAGGCGTTATGCCCGCAACTGTTTCAAAAAAGCTGCTTCTTTTATATCCTATTATTTTTAAGCTGTTGTAAGCCCAACACGCCGCGCCGCGCCGTAGCCTATACCCCACTCCGTGGTCCGTTGTATCTCGCCGCCTGTATCGATGGTTGTCAAAATAACATGTTTTCCATCCATACTAGTTGTTTTTTGGAATTGCTTCGAGCAGCATCGAATTTCGTGGCGGTGCAGAGCGCCGACTTCGTTTCACGAACAGTCGATCTCTGCGTGTCGTTATTTTATATATGTTATTTTTTAAAAGTAGTAACGGTTGCGTTATGTTATTTCTAAATAATTGTTATAAAATAACAGATAGTTAAATAACAACCCATCACTATTGGCAACAATGAATTTAAAAATCGCGCCCTCGATTACATAACTAAAAGTTTAATTGATATCAAATATATATTCATTTCATTTTCATTTTGTAGCTCAGTGGACTTGTCGTTAAATTCCCATTCATGTATTATTACATTGTATCTTGACAAAAGTATTTTAGAAATGTACGCACATTGTCCATATATTTTATAAGAAATAATGAAATGAAGATCTCAAACCAGAAACTTGATATAAAGCGTTTTCGGGCTGGGTCGCCCTATATAAATATTTTTAATGCTTACATCAGATACTGGTTTTCCATTCTTTAATGTGACAAAATAGGCGGGTATCCTATGTCCCCACCATAACTGTCTGGATATACACCAATCTCGTATACCTCCCATCCAATGGTTCCATATTTTGATATGTTGTTCGGGTAAAATTCTCAGCTGTTTAGTTTCTACAGCTTCAATTGCTCGAGCAGCCATTTCACCGCAACTCACGTACCACTGAGGTTTTAACATGGGTTCAACTACGTCTTTGCTACGGTTACAAATAGGTACGACCATAGGATTGTTTTTGGTCTCAATGTAAAGATTTTTTTCTTTCAGGTCTTCAATAATTTGTTTTCTTACGTGGAATCTCTTCATACCCTAAAATTTGTATAATTGGCAAAAATTGTTAAAGAGACAAAATGATAAGGGACAATGTGTTATAAAATACTTGAGAATTTATTTTAGACGTTCCCATTAAAAAATATAAAAGGCGTTTGTCAATACTACACAGTCAAGTATAAGTGTAGGTTTACATGCATCGGCCATTCTTCGTTGCTTTTACGCAATTTTATTGGTTGATTTAAAAAATGACATACCTTATTTCTACTTGGTTGTACTGATGAAACACCAGACGACGCATTACGGATGCATATACTAAAGGCTGGCAAAGGTTAGTCTTGGGTCGAGATTTCCGTACAGTAAACACGTTGTCAAACGTATGAAATAAACCGAGAAACTGTGTACATTGCTAAGAGACGTGGAAGGGGATATAGCAGATTTGTCGCAGTCGACAGGTTGACCCAATCAATACCTCTGTCAGTACTTAAAGTTCTAGGGAAAGGTGTACATCATGCATTCAGTTTCACGATTTAATTACGTCTCGTGATATTTTATTTGTTTGTTTATTAACGAGTCGTTGTAATTTTCCCTACAGCTTGAAAAATTTTAAGTGCAAGTTGAAACACTTGCATTTTTGATAAAAATGAGAGAATTGAGTTGGTGTTCGACAGTGGTCGCGCTATTAGAACTCCGAATTCAAAAATCAATATCTCGAAATCTATTAGAAATAATTGATTGTAGTTTTTCAAAAACGTTCTTCTTTTTATCTTTATAAATTAAAAAGTTACATGATTACTGAAAACTGCAGTTATGGTGTGTTATGTGTTAAAAAGTTGAGTTTTTAAATTATCGCGATTACTGACGTTTTCTCGTTATAAAAAAAATGGACACCCTAACGACATCCTTATAATTTAATTTCATATGCTCAGAAACATATCTAATGATTTTACCTAGTTACCTTTTCGAAAAAGTCTTAAAGTAAACGATTTGCGATCGTGATTTTACTTTACTTGATAGGGAAAGGCGTACCGGCAACAACGCAACAGTACACCGTCGCATTTCTCACTCCGACTTAATAAGATCCCTATGCAATTTACATCCACACATGCAAATACCGAACTAAAAGTAACAATTGCTAGCACGGTATAAAGCTTTTTAAACATTGCCATAAAAATGACCCATGACAACGAACAAATTTTGGCAGTGAATAGTGTTCCGTTAAGTAGAACATAATCTTATTTACACATTACTATAATTTAAACTTATATTTCTAACAAGTGAAAATGTTATAAATAAGCACATAACCTTAAGACACATAAATTTTAACAAAATTAATAAAAGTAAAAAAAAGTTAATTTAACATACTTAGTAAAATTACAGCAACGCAGGATTAGATACGCTAGAATATTATTTATTATCACGACCCCTGTTGCCTATTCTGTTAAATGTTCTTTAGTAACGTCAGAATTTTGTCAGAATACTTACAGTATATTTTCCATAGTCCCCTATGACTAGACCTGCATCATCAAATATCGTAATGAAGGGTAAATTATGACGTTTTCCTACTTCATAATCATTTGGATCGTGGGCAGGTGTAATTTTTACCACGCCAGTTCCAAAATCTAGCTCGACAAAATCGTCTACTATAATAGGAAGTTTTCTGTCACAAAATGGATGAATCACAAACTATTCAAGAGAAAGTATTAATTAATATAAATAAATATATAGATAATATAAAACAGACCTTCCCATGTAAATGTTTATATCTATCGTCCTTAGGATGTACGGCCACAGCTGTGTCACCGAGCATTGTTTCCACGCGAGTGGTGGCTACAACTAGTTTTTCATCAGAACCCTCCACTTGGTAGGCAAAATGTACCAATACTCCAAACTCCACTTTTTCGTCGTAACCAGGTACAGATAAGAAAGTACGACCAGGCAATTCCACCTTGTCTACCTGAATAAATATTTAATGTTTTCTTAACATACTCTGAACCTAAATTTATGTATTTATCTTTCACCTTTATTGTAGGGGGCACAAGTATATTAATGTCACATTCGCCATAACATTTTATTTTTGAAGTAAAACTTCTTTACGCGCTATGGGAGTAAAAATTTTACGCGTAAAGAACTATTTTTTTTTAATTTTTTACTTTTCCAACATTTCAAACTACACTTTTTCAAACATGTCCTTCAAATCCTTCAATTTAATAGCTGTTAGTAAGAAGTTTCACTTCAAATATGCGCACATAGTGCTACCACAATTTTTTTTCTCTATTTTAATATACTGTGTTAACCAATAAACGACGTCACATCAGCTGTAGGAATAACGTTTTAGCACAAAATACCTAAACTATACAGAACCGACAGTAAATGGCGGCTGCTTTGAAGTATCTTTCCCAAATTTGTTAACGTTGAAGTCACATTTTCATAATTAAACTCACCTGTTAAAAAACTACACTGAAAAACTGTCTAGAATTTTACTCAAAAAAAAGTTTTTAAATACACGAAAATAATATTTTCTTTTAATAGCTGTAATATTTTATTGTGACGTTACATTTTTTACTAAATTTGGAAAATACAAATTCGAAAAAAAAACTACAATTTAAAATCAAATTATAAATGCGACTTGGGATAAAATCCCTGCGAGAGAGATAAAAAAGAAAACTTAACCAAAGATGAGTATTTTAAGGACTAAAATACAGAGATAAATGTAAAAAGTAAAGGCGAAGGAATTCCATCTCTCTTTCTTTCCAACATTTACATACACTTTCAGTTATTATGGCATATATTTTGAATGCTACGCCAATAAAAAAATCATAATATCAATTAAAAGACAAAATATAAGGAAATAAATTTTTGGTTAATATGGTTAGGTAATTCTGATATAGTCTCAATTTATTGTTAAGTATTTCTAGCATGTATTGTAATCGCAAAACATTTTCCGATGCACGTCATTAATCATATCGACATTGACACTAAAGTCTATAAACCTGCTTAAATGAAATTTTGGCAAAAATGTTTAAATTTATTGTATAATTTAAGATACCGAGCAGCTCTTCATTTTTTTATAGAGCAAATGATTTAACAGATATTTTGTTTAGATTAAAGCTGCAAAACTTAGTTTAAACCGAATTTTATTATCGCTATGTTAGTCACATTACGCCGTGTTCAGCAATGTTGTCCTTTACTATTTGACAATTATCCTAGTGTCAGTCGTTATTTTGTATAATATCATGTTGTTGAATCTGTGTGAGTAATTCCCGTTTTTTTTGCCTATTTTCATAGTCTTTTTTTTAAATTGTACTTTTAAGCACAAAAAAGTTCTTTTAAGAACTAAATTTTCTTGTTTATGTATTGCATTTCTTGAAATTGTGTGTTGAAAATATGCTGAAGCATTTAAACAGTCGGAGCCAAGAGCTTGTAGCTTCCCTGATATACTATTTTGAACGAGAACGTGACAATAAAGATCCTTTATTCCCTTGACTGCAGTCAGAGAAGTAAGTTTGATTGATAAGCACATTACACAACTTTCAAAGTTATTTCTACGTTAGTTTTTATTAAATTCTGTGATTATTAGTTTGTGCATTAATAGCACCCTCTTACTTGTTATTGCCACTTATCGCGTTGTAAGATGTACATCAATAAATAAATAACCCAATAATAACGCTTATAATAATCTTCATAATGGACTAGTTTTTGCCAATATGTAGTAAGTAAAATAAACTGTAAAACAAGTAAATCAATTAATCACTAAAATATTAGTTATTAAATTAAAAATAAAGCGTAAAACTCTTTAAAAAATGATATAATAAATATGTTGTTTGTCAATTTTAAATTAAGATTCATCTCATAAATCCATCACAATATGGCAGCGCTGTCGCCATCGCTTGTCACAAACTTTATCGCATGCATCGGAAATTGTTTTGCGATTACCATATGTACTAAGTTTATAAATTACCTCAATATCCGAAATCGCAGATTTTAAAGTGCACGACCAATTTACAAGCCTATTTGAACGGTAAATTGTACCATCTTCGTGTAACCTGATAAACGCCTCCGATACGGCACGACACATTTTTGGGTCCATTGTAAAAGCGGCTCTGTCCCAATCATAAGAAGCGCCAAGCATTTTCAATTGATGATAAATCCGAACACCCTTTCTGTGAATTATAAACTTAATCAGAAGGATAGAAAAATCAAGAAATATATTATTATATCAGATCAAGAAATATATTTATGTTTAATTTAAAGAATTTCTAAATTAATTCAAAATTTTGATATTTTATTAATATAATATTATGACAACCTATTCATTAGATAGACAGTCAGTCGACTTACGATCATTTACATGAAGTCATCAAAAAACTCTTTTAAAGGTAATTGATAAAAACTTTCAAGACTGGTGCTCTGACTGCCCACATGTATAGGCTTGGTGCATTTCAGTTGACTAAAAATTCCGACCGCAGCGCTCGATACGGCAGAAATTAGAAGTTTTCGCTCTGTATTCCGCGTAGTTCGGATGTTGATCGCATTGAAATAATATTAAAATCGTAGCTTTGTCATAATATTTAAGTATTTTAGTTTTTAATAGTGCACTTATTGAAACGACAAAACACTCAGGTACGAGGTTTTTGTGATGTAACGCTGTTTCGAGTAGTAAACATTAAGTAGTATAAAAGTAAGTAGTAAAAAGAACCCGAACTGAGCGTTTACAGATAAAAAACGAGATTTGGTGTGTTAGTATATGACATAAATTAGGATTGATTGACGTATTAAATTGTTTTTGATCACTTTTTTTAACGGATATGACTACAACTTTTGATATTGTTTTACTTTATTCAATAGAAAAGACTCTCTGAACATAATGACATATCATATGTCAACTTTTGACATTTTCGCATATATAACGACAATTTGACTCGAAATACCTCGTGGTACAAATTATTCGTAAAAAAATGCTTTTTTTCCCAATATACTGATGAACCACCCTTGTTCCGTTTGAAAATATTGAGATATGATTAAAAATAAGATTTGGGCATCTTTTAAATGGCCAGGATAAGACACGAAAAACATTACACCGTCAAACCTATTTTTCCAATGCTCCTGGATTAAAAGTTAATGTTTTTAATACAGCTATAGTACCCTAGAATGAAATTAAAAAACGATTTTTTTAAGCAAAAATGTCAAAAGTTGACATATTATGATGTGTCATTCTATTCAGAGCGTCATTTTCGATCGAATAAACTAAAAATATATCGAGGGTGCCATTTAAAAATCAAAAGTTGTAGTAATTTCCGGTGAAACAAAGTGGCTAAAAACAATTGAATACGTCAGTCAATCCTAATTTATGTTATATACTAACATACAAAATCTCGTTTTTTATCTGAAGAAATTAAAAAACTTATAGAGGTGAGCCACTTTTGAGACGCAACCGATATTTATAAAGTAATACAATATCTATAAAGTAAAATTTGTTATACCTTAATTAGTAACACAAAATCATTTATGCTAATTTATAACAAATCAAAAAGTATATAACAGACTGTCAAACAATCCGTTAAAATTAAAATGACAGAAAAACAGGGTCCTCACTAATGCCATATATTTTTTTGGTGAATAGACTATACCTTGAACAAAACGGATCGAGGAATGTGGACAGATAGTTAGTCCATTCCTCCAAGATGGACTAACCTGGTATACAGATGGGTCAAAGACCGCTGAAGGAACAAGAGCTGCAGTATTTGGAAAAAAACCAAGGGTAAGCTTATTCTTTTCCTTGGGTAAACACTCAACCGTATTCTAGGCAGAAATCTTCGCCATTCTGCAATATGCGAGAGAAAACAATAGAAGAGCTTATTCAGGTAAGCTCATCAATATATGCTCAGACAGTCAGGCGGCGCTTGGGGCGCTTAATTAAATTATTCTGGGTGCCGATGCCGGACCACAGCGGCATCCAAGGCAACGAAAAAGCCGATGAGCTAGCTAGGCAAGGAGTATCGGCATCCTATCTTGGTCCAGAGCCAGTACTGGGAATACCCAAATGTATGACCCGTAGTGCACTAAAACTCTGGATCAGGGAAAAGCAGAATGTGCACTGGAGAAACAGACAGGGACGCAGGCACAGCAAGGCTTTTATCCAAGGACCTAGCTCTAAAACCGCAAAAGAACTGCTAAAGCTTAGCAGGAATACAGTGCGGATTACAACAGGCCTCTTGACAGGACACATGGCTGTCAAGTGTTACGTGAACAAGCTCGACCTGTATCCAGGAAATCTGTGCTGCAGATTCTGCGATAAAGATCCTGAAACAGCAGAGCACATAATATGTCATTGCGAGGCTCTGGAGCGCAAGCGACACTTTTTATTTGGGAAAGCTAGGCTAGAACCGGAGGAACTATGCTCCCATCCTATCAAGGACCTGCATAAGTTAGTGCAGGGCACAGGGATAGGAGAATGGGGATAGATACAGAAAGGGGACAAACACAATAGGCCTCACAGGTCGCAGTGTTTCAGGCAGAGGACGGCCCCTTGTTATGAAAAAAAAAAATACCTTTAAATACTCGTAGATATATCAACATCTAGACTATTTCTAAAAAATATCTTTATTATGTGGTTCAGTTGGAATCAAGAATCCGATACAGCCGTCAAAGAATCGAATTACATCATAAATATTTTATTTTTTATTTCTATAAACTCATTCCTTTACCTAAAATTTCACCGCACGCCTCTGTTTGCTGATGATAATCGTTGACCGTTAACAATATTTAAAACATCAAAATATTTTGACTTAATTAAAAAATAAAAAGTTTTCGTGCTATATCTACTTTATGAACAACCCTAACTCATGAAGTGCAAGAACTGTCCGGTTTGAATCAAAATCTAGACATAAATAAATGTTAGTTTTTAACCAAACTTACTCATTTTTCCATTGCCACACTCTGTTTACGAAATTTTCACGGCCTATATCGTGTCGAGTCTTTTTTTCCTCTTTCCATAGTTTTTTCTCTACCACTACTTGAGTTGCGATACCAGCATGGTCGCATCCTGGGTTCCATAAAGTCATATAACCACTCATACGTCTCCTATTTAATAAAAAAATAGATTCTGGTAATTAATTAATTAATAAGATGTGAGTTGAGGATAAAAATGTTTTATGCATAAAAAATTGTAGAAATTTCAATTTACGAAATTATCACTTCTTTACTTGTTCTAGTAGTTTAACCTGGTTCTTGTAGGTATCTCTGATTTTTCAAAAGCCAACTAAGACAGTTGTAAGTTAAGAGTTTTGTAATAGAATAATATCAAGCTTGGTAAAATTTTATCTTTTGGTTTGTTATTCTAAGATGGGACCATTTCAGTTTACGAAGTTATCAGTTGACATAGGCAAACGAATTTTAAAAGGCCTAAGCAAATAATCTAATTATATTCAAGACACATAAACTCTCTAAAAGTATGCATATCCTGAGAAACAAACTAAGTAAATAATGCAATCTTCTAAATGTTTAAAAATAACACAAACGAGGGTAAAGTAGAATAAACATTCATCCCTTATTATCAAAACTCTATTTGACGAAGTAGGACCAGTTGTGTACCATCCGGATATCAGAAAATAAACAACACAGAAAAAGCACGTAAACATGCTTAAGTAAACAAGTAAACTTAAAACATCCCCTCGCTAGAGGTTTTGCATTTAAAATTAAAAGTATTAAATATATGTTTTAAAATCAGAATCCGAATGTTCACGAGATGAATGTCTGAAAATGATAGAAATAGGATTATCTTTTTTCCGTTCCTAGAGTTAAATAGAAATGAGTTAAACGAATGAAGAAATAAAGATTTCATTTCTAGGCGGTTTTTTTAAGGTAATCCTATGTCACGATATCATTTGTATTAGTTAAGGTAGATTATGAATGTATTCAGCAAATTGGTAAAAGAGTAAGATTTACACGGAAGGGTTTAAAAATTACATTTAATTAATAAATAGGACATGCTGATGCCCTCTCGGGACAAGGATCAGAAACAAGGGTGAAAGAAGTCTAGGGATCTTTCGGGGAAGGAGCCCTTCGGCCAATTAAAAAGGTGCGAAATATGCATTTGGATGGGTATTCGAAGGTTCCTCAAACAGGGGCGTGCCGAAGATGTAGTAACGCCTGTCCGAGATAGTACCAGCATCAGTATTTTCATCTTCAAAATTAGTTCGGTACTGACTTTTAAATTAGACGGTCGAATTTACTCCGTGTAGATCTTATATTATCCAGTGGTCTTTTTAATTGTTATAGTAAGTTCTCTATCTAAAGATTTTCTCAATTAAATTCTCAAGTTAGGAAATTCTAAGCTATTCATGCTTACAGTATTTAAATTGTTGTGTTTGGATTTTCTCTAATATTTTTCTTTATTAATGATTTAAGACTTTCTGTTTGTTCTAAAGGCTTTAGTAAATTTTAGATGTCATTGCATAAGTGATTATTTTGCAATTGTTCTTTTTATTAAATTCTAATTTAAATTTAATTGTTCAGTGAATATTTTTTTAATATATTAATTTTCGAAAGTGTATGCTAATTGTAGATAATTTAAATTGGACTAATAGGAAGAATATTTTGTATTTTTTTTAACTTTATTATCTCTGAGTTTTAATTTCAATTCTCTAATTGTCATTAATTATTTTTGATTCAATTTCTTTCTTTTTTATTAATTATAAATGTTTTGTTGTTAAATCTTTTTCTTTATTTTTTATTTATTTATTTCTTTATATTAAATATAGTTAGGTGTTGTGAAAAATCGGCATTTTATTTCTTTATTTTACCGAATCACTAAAATATTAAGTTATTTAAAAGAACACTGTGATAACCGGTCGAGTGGTTCAATCCAAAGTATGAGTCCAAGACCGAAGAGGTAAATCTACAAGGGGACCAATGAAATCTTCGACAGGTTCTTGTTGTTGATGTATTGCTGACGGATGTTGACGTAATAAGGTAAGTGGCAATAGAGTTTATAATAACTGAATTTAGAAAGAGCCCTTACCATAAAAGTGCGATGCCTTATTTCGATCTTTAGCTGGTTATATTTTGTTTTTATATGTAAACGATAAACTATATTTACGCTCTGAAAAGTCGGTGTTCTCATTATCCAAGTTCTGCCTACCGCTCAATAAAGTATTTTAATTATAATTATATAAAGGCCACACTACCATGATAACGGACAAAGTCTTGAAAGTTTTGTCACAGTTTAGTAAGTTAAGATTAGATTACATTATCACAGAAACATTCTTATACGACGAACGATTATTCTCGTTATAAATGAAAATATAAAATTGAAATAAGATTGTCTGAAAATTATGATATAGATATTTATTTGGTATTACAACGAAAGGCTTTCCTCTTGAAAAGTTATACAATTTGTAATTACAATGAGAGAGATGTGTGAATGTTAACAACTCTAACTAATGGTGGTACTTCCTAGGTTGACGTTTGTCTTTCTGGGCCTGATGATGGGAATTGTTTAAGTCCCGAAACATGTCGCCCCCCTGCTTTTTTTGAAGCATTTAAATTTAAATAAACATCTTAAAGATTGTGAGTTATTTGTCCCCTTACCCGCCTTCAGAAGTTTTAGTTTGATAAAACTAAACCAACAAATTTTTCCGCCATTTAAACCCGTGTATTTGTTTAGTCGGTGGTTTGCGACATTCTCCGATGGTGGCAGCACCGGCGGAGAATGCACCAAGCCTATAGCAAATTGAAGTGAGATATTAAAGGTAATACGAACTGCCAATCATGTGTTTTCTATACATACCATCTTACTATAGAATCTTGAATTGCGTTAGTCAGTGCATGACCTAAATGTAAAGATCCAGTAACATTCGGTGGAGGAATTACTATTACAAATTTTTGCGCAGGATCAGATATGGATTTTCTCTAAAACAAAATATTGAAAATTAATTGGGAAAATTAGTTTCGGTTCACATTTTATATACTGTATACCGGGTGCGTCTCAAAAGTGGCTTACCCTTTTAACTTTTATATTTTACCGAGATTTGGTAAGTTAGTATATGACATTAATTAGGATTAATTGACGTAGTCAATTGTTTTTCGTCACTTCCTGTTTCACCGGAAATGACTACAAATTTTGATTTTTAAATGACACCCCCAGGTATTTTTTTACTTTATTCGATAGAAAATGACACTCTGAATAGAATGACATATCATCATATGTCAACTTTTGACATTTTCGCATATACCCTTCATAATATGTTTATTTGAAATTGTAACATGCGGTTCATAACGACAATTTGACTCGAAATACCAAGTGTGTGGTACCAAATTATTCGTAAAAAATATTTTTTTCAAATATGCTAATGAGCCACCCTGGTTCCATTTGAAAAAATTGAGATATAGTTAAAAAAACAATTTGGGCATCTTTTAACGGGCCACGAAAAACATTAGATGATCAAATCTATTTTTCCCAGGCCCCTTGATTAAAAATTGGTGTTTTGAACACAGCCATGACACTCTAGATTGAAATTTTATAATACAATTTTTTTGCAAGGGAAAATGTCAAAAGTTGACATATGATATGTCATTCTATTCAGAGTGTTATTTTCTATCGAATAAAGTAAAAATATATCAAAAGTTGTATTCATATCCGTTAAAAAAGTGATCAAAAACAATTGAGGTCAATAACAATGTCAATAAATCCTAATTTATGTCATATACTAACACACCAAATCTCATTGGGTGTTATTTAAAAATCAAAAGTTGTAGTCATTTCCGGTGAAACAGGAAGTGACTAAAAACAACTAAATACGTCAACCAATCCTAATTTATGTCATATACTAATATACCAAATCTCGTTTTTTTATCTTTAGAACCAAATCAAGCCGCTTTTGAGACGCACCCGGTATACGATTATGTAGAGTACGTACATCGTAACCGATGATGTCACAAAACTGAGTTTTACAGAGAGAACTGATTTAATGTTGCCCAATACCATGTTAATTATACAAAAATATTACTGTATTCGTTGTTTGGACATCGTCGGTTTTTCCCCTTACCCTTCATAATATGTTGTCTTTTAATATACTCAGTTTAAAAAGACATTGTTATAAAATATTTCAATAAAAAATGTAAAAAAATTCGCCTGTATGCCGAACGTACAGCCTCGCCACAAGAAGTATCATTTTTACTCCTAATAAAACAATATAGTATTTGCCAATAAAATAAAATATTTTTGTACCAGTCAAGATTGGAACTCAGGTTTCTCGCTTCATAGCCTTTACGCATTACCACAGAATAACTACAGAACGATCAGTCAATGTAATAAAAAAGCGAACAAAATTTTTGCTGCCATCTATAGCGGGCCGAGTGCGGCTCAGGGCTTCAAGGTCAAAATAATTATTTATTAAATAAAAAAGTCGTGTCGGCGGCACGACTCGAACCGGCTACCTTCGTGTTGCTAGACGAGAGCCTTTTATCCCTCACACCACCAGATATCTTGACGAGAATTATATCTTTGTGGTAATAAATTATGAATTCAGCCTGCTACAACGGATATGTAAAATTTATCCTAGAGGCTGCTTATACTTTGAAAATTCATCTCGTTGCAGTTCATCACAGTTGTATAATTCAAGAAGCACTAAGAAATATGGCTACCTTTGAATAATATAATATGAAAAAGTTGGAATACAAAAAGCACGAGAAATACATTTTGTATTAAAAACAAAATAAAGGCAGCTTAAATATAGTTTGAAGCATAAATATAGGAGTATTTGAAGTACTGTGTGGACGGAAGAGGGAAATCAATCGCAAAATTCATAAAATGAATTTAAACACCGAGCCAATCGTAACGTTTGAAGCAACCATACATACACGACGAACTGTTCTGCAACCATATATACACAACGTAAATTAGCACCATCTATAGTGGGCCGAATCGTCAATTTGTAATTTAATGCTCCATAAGAGTGACTGGGCCCTGCGCATTACTCCATTTGACAAGCGTTCAATGACGGTATACCGGGTGCGTCTCGAAAGTGACTCATACCAAAATCGAGATTTGGTATTAATATATGACATAAATTAGGATTGATTGACGTATTCAGTTGTTTTCTGTCACTTCCTGTTCTATCGGAAATGTCTACAACTTTTGATTTTTAAATGGTACCCTCTTATGGTGTTTTGTTGCTTTATTCAATAGAAAATGACACTCTGAATAGAATGACATATCATATGTCAACTTTTGATATTTTCGAATATGGTTTATTTGATATTACAACATGCGATTCATAACGCAGTGCCTTCTATTAAAAGATCAGCCTGGGCGCGGACTTTTGTTTACTTCATCAGCTGTACATACTTAGATATTGGGTTAGATTCCGTTTCATATTTTGTCGGTTGATTTTTGGTTTTAACTCTTTGATTTTTGGTATTATTTATTATTGTAGTGCAAAAAACTAATTATTTTGGTGTTGAAGTGACATAAACTACTACCAGATATATGGTCACTCTCGGTTTCGCATAAAAAATAGAAATTTTAAAAAATTACACGTTGTGTAAGTGATTTAACCTAAAAGTGCCCATACATTTTTTACTTATCGTGATTTTTGTGTGTGTCTTTTAAGACTTTAACAATTCATCAATAAAGCTTAAGTGGAGTGTGTTTTTGGTGCTATGCCTCATCTTTGTTGTGTTCCTGGTGGAAAGGATAGTTACTAAGGATAGTTATTATACTAGGCAGCCTAAAGTGTCCGGAAGAGCAAGAAAAGTGGGTACGAGCAAAGGTACGAGTTATAAATCAAGAGAATTTTATTGAAAATATCTTTAATAAATTTAAAAATAATATTCTCCCATGATGGTATTAATGAAAACTGGACAATTATGTTTATTTTATTCATATTGTGGAATCTCCACTCCAAGTGTTGCTGGTTCAGCTTCGATAGATTCAAACACGTAAGTAGGTATTATGATCTAGGGAAAAATAAAGAATATGTGTATTAGAGATCATGAAAAAGATTATTATTTTGAGTTCATTTTAAAAAAGATTTTTGTAAAGACAAGACTGATACAGTTTAAAAGAAGAATGTGTTTTTGTTTGATAATATATAATGTATGTTAAGCATAACATATATTTGTTCAGTAATTTTTAATGAATAGTATTGATTATTTATAATACCAAATTAATATCAAATATTTACCTAAGTGATGGCTGAATACAATATGAATAAAATAACAATAAAATTGGTATATTTGCATAATACAAAATTAAGTTTTAAGAATAAAGGTGTTACTAAAAATACTAAGAAATTCATATTTCTTTGTTTTAATTGGTCTAATGTTATTTACATTTTACGTAAGAATTATACCGTATCATCGAAAAAAATCGGCGTCTAGTTGGCTTGGAAATGAACATCGATGACATTCCCTAAATAACTGTACACATAAAATAATTAACTAGAATTTTACAATCTTGGAAAATTTGATATTCTTGAACCTTGATTCTAAATATTCTAAATTTTTGATTTTTTGGAATTTAGGTTCTGGGAAAAACGCTGATTGATTTTTCATTTGGTTTTTCATTATTTTTATATGGTTTAAAAAACGGTTCGGCTAACATTATAGCCTCCATCAGTGTTGTGTCATATGAAAAAAAATAGTGTCGAATATAATCCAAAAAATTGCATATAAAATATTCACACCACGCACATAATGTTTACTGCGTACTCCATAGTCAATGTAGATAATTTTAGTGTTAAGAATAATAATTTTTAAGAAATATGTGGTCATCTTTTGATAAGTTTATATTAGTTTATTAATTGCAGTAAACATTATGAGGTGTGAATTATATTGTATATGTAATTTTTTGGATTATATTTGACACGATTTTTCTCATATGACACAACACTGTGAAGGCTATAGTTAGCCGAAACGTTTTTTTTTAACCAAATAAAAATAATGAAAACTTAATCAGCGTTTTTCCCGAACCTAAAAATCCCAAGAAAATCAAAAATTTTAGAATAATTTAACATATAAATTCATCGCTGACGCCTTTTTTTAGATAATATTGTATTATTTGTAAATATAATTTTTCGAACATTGATACTTGCAAAATATACATATAAATTTTGTGAATGCAAATAATAATACATCACTATTAGTAGATATTAAATGTTTTTTGTTAAATTAGATTGATTTTCAAACCCCAAAATTTAAAATATATTTACATTTTACCCATTATCTTATGTACCTATACATTATTTGTACATTGTAAAACATTTGCTGCATTTGTATGGTTCATAGTTTATTTGCCAAAGTATTTATTACTATAAATAGGTATATATGTTGTAGTTATTAACTGTATATTATGTATATTTCATTTAAACTATATCATTTTTAAAATACAAACCAAAAATCTGAGGAATAATTATGTTTTCCATGTATTCTACAATATATTTATTAATCCGTTATATCTAACTAGCGTGACGTCATAAATCTCGCCCGCAGGCTGATCTTTTAATAGAAGGCACTGCATAACGACAATTTGACTCGAAATATCACGTGTGTGGTACCAAATTATTCGTAAAAAATGTTTTTTCCAAATATGCTAATGAGCCACTCTCGTTCCGTTTGAAAAAATTGAGATATGATTAAAAATACGATTTGTGCACCTTTGAACCGGCCAGGACAAGACACTAAAAACATTAGACAATCAAATCTATTTTCCCAAGGCTCCTTGATTAAAAATTAATGTTTTTAACACAGCTATGGCACTCTAGATTGTAATTTAAAATATAATTTTGTTTTAAGCGAAAATATCAAAAGTTGACATATGATATGTCAATCTGTTCAGAATGTTATTTTCTATCGAATAAAGTATGGAGGCTAAAAGGTAAAGTAATAAAATACCGATGATGCTATTTAGAAATCGAAAGTTGTAGTCATTTCCGGTGTAACAGGAAGTGACCGGAAACAGTTGAATACGTCAATTGCTGTCCTCCTTTCACGCAGTTGAGCAGTTCTGAAGTGTTCAAGAACGCGATACTCTCACTCCATTCAATTGAGTCATAAAGCTCCAGAACTGTTCCGCGCCATATGTTATAGAGGTGAGCCACTTTTAAAACGCACCCGGTATAAACAAACAACCCAAAAAATAGCTTCATTGCAAGTTAATGGCAAATTTATGAGATGGGAAATAAAATTCACCGCTTGCCCAATTTTGATAATTAATGGCAATATTTCTTCCAGAAATCGCCCTAACAAGGTAGCTAGAAGTTATAGAAAAAAATTCAATTATCTATAAATTATAAATTCGTAAATAAATTTTTGGTTTTACAATGTTACTGTGATTTCTTCATTTACTCTTCAAATATTACGAAACTACGTTAAAAATTTGAAGCCCAATTTTTTCAACTAGGATTTTTAAATTTGCTTATAATAATATGTAAAGTTGTTTAAGATTATAACGAATCCCATTTTCAAAGGATTCGAACCGATATTCTTAGCTTACTGGCTAACATCATATACATTCCGATAACCGACCATTTCACAGGTTCCATTAAGTTAAAAAGACGATGACACGGACAAGACAACATAACCCAATAAATAAAGATAACAGGAATGTCATTTAATTCCTAAAATTTGTATTAAATTGATTATTTGAATGCTTTGTTTGGCTGCAATAAGGAAAACATTATTTAGTATATATAAAAATATTTCAAAATATAATATGAAGAAAACTTTTAAGAGCCCAGGAAAAAAAACATGTTTCCCAGATAATACAATATCTAAATGTCCAGTTGGAGAAAACTGTGTCCTACTTAATCCAATAAAAAGCGATAGTGATCAAAAAGATTATAAAGTAATTCAACTTCCTAATGGGTTAACAGCATGCCTTATTTCAGATAAAAATTTAATAAATTCAGAGGAAATAGATTCAGAATCAGGTTCAGAATCCTCAGACATTAGTAGCATTAGTTCGATATCAGAGAGTGAAGGTATTAAAAATAATTCATTAAATCCCTGTTCTGCATATTATGAGATAACAAATATTTTTCAATTTTAGAAGAAAACGATTCTACTATGTCAGACATAGAACAAGAAGATGATGAGGGTTCTTCCAAAAAGCATAGAAATACTACAGAACAAAAAATGTCAGCTGCCGGACTATGCATTGGTGTAGGAAGTTTTAGTGACCCTAAAGAAGTTCCCGGAATGGCACATTTTCTTGAACATATGGTTTTCATGGGAAGTAAAAAATACCCAAAAGAAAATGATTTTGACGAGTTTATTACTCAAAATGGTGGCAGTGATAACGCTTCGACAGATGTTGAAACAACTGTATTCTACTTTGAATGTCTAGAAAAGAATTTTAGGGAAGCTTTGGACAAATTTTCGCAATTTTTTATTTCGCCACTGATGAAACGTGGCGCAATGACAAGAGAGAGAGAAGCAATAGAATCGGAGTTTCAAATTGCTCTCCCGTCAGATAGTGCTAGAAAAGAACAATTGTTAGGTAGTCTTGCAAAAAATGGTTCTCCAATTAACAGTTTTTTATGGGGTAATTTGATTACATTACGAGATAATATTTCTGATAAAGATCTTTACAATGGTGTACACAAGTTTAGAGAAAGGCACTATTCAGCTCACAGAATGACTTTAGCTATACAAGCACGTCTACCATTGGAGGAATTAGAAAAGTTTGTATCAACTTATTTTTCTAACATCCCTAATAATAAATTACCCCCTGACAATTTCTCAGAAATTCATAAAGATATATTCAACACACCCGAGTTTAATAAAATATATTATGTTAGCCCTGTAAAAGACTTCTGCCAGCTTCACATTACATGGGCTTTACCATCACTAAAAAACCAATATAAAAGTAAACCACACCATTTCATATCATACTTATTGGGTGATGAGGGTAAGACTAGTTTGTTTTCTTACTTGAAAAAAAATCTCTGGGTTTTGGGAACTACAACTGGCAACGACGAAACTGGTACAGAAAACAATTCTCTTTACACATTGTTTACAGTACAGTTAAACTTAACTGAAGATGGTTACAAAAATATACCTCAAGTAGTAGAGTCTGTATTTTCATATATAAAAATGCTTAAGAAAATAGGTCCACAACAAAGAGTATTTGATGAAATACAAGCAATATCAAACATGGCATTTAAGTATTTAAAGGAAGAGACTGCGGTAGATATTGTTGAAGATATGTGTGAAGCTATGCAGTTCTACCCTCCGGAACATTATATTACAGGTTCTGAATTGTATTTTGAATATGACCCTAAAACCATTGAACTTTTATTGGATAATATGAGTCCAGAAAAAGCCAATTATATAATATTTAAAAAACCATTTGAGCGTGAAATTGTATTGGATAGAACTGAGAAATGGTTTGGAACTCAATATACATATCGTGACATTCCTGTAGAATGGATTAATCAATGGAAAAATGCTAAGGTAAACGATGACCTGTTTATACCACCACCAAACAGTTTTATCACTAATGATTTCTCTATACTACCTGATCTGGAAAACAATCCCAATTACCCATTAAAGGTTTTCGATAATACATTAACAGAATTATGGTATAGAAGAGATTTAAAATTTAAATTACCTTACGCTTATTACTACATGTATTTAATCAGTCCTCTTGCAACACAAGATGCTAAACACTCTTGTATGTTAGATACACTGGTCAATTTGTTAAGCATAGATATTTCAGAGGATATTTATCCTGCTACTAGTGCTAACTTATTTCATTCTTTTATAGCTTATGAAAATGGACTCATTATAAAAGTATGGGGATTTAATGAAAAGCTCCCTATTCTAATTAACTTAATATCAAAACATTTAATAAATTTAGCAGACAATATTACAAGTAAAATGTTTGTAACCATAAAAGATAAATTACTGAAGCATTATTATAACAAGTTGCTAAAACCAACTGATGTATCAAAAGACCTAAGGTTGAATTTACTAGTTGATCATCATTTTAATACTATAGAAAAGTATACTGCCATGTCAAATATTAGTTTTGAAGATATAAAAGATTATATCAATAGATTTCAGAAATCTTTATATCTAAAATCTTTAGTACAGGGTAACGTTGATCAGGTAACAGCATATGAAGTTACACAAGCCTTTATTAAATCTGTAAATTTCACTGAACTAAAAAAAGAAGATATTCCAAAATTTACTGTAATGAAATTAAATAATGGTGAAAAATGTTGCAGAATCCAGAATTTTAACAAGGGTGACAAAAATTCTATAATAACAAATTATTATCAATCAGATAAAATTACTAATGAAAAAAGTGTTATAGTCGATCTTATTATGATGGTAATAGAAGAGCCTCTATTCAACATGTTGAGAACCAAAGAACAATTAGGATATTCTGTTTACTGTTCAGCACGTGACACATTTGGCGTGTTAGGATATACAATAACAGTTAATACTCAAGCATCAAAAAATTCTACACAATATGTTGATGAACGTATAGAAAACTTCCTAAAATATACTAAAGAACTGTTGAATGATTTAAATGAAGTAAAATTTGAAAAAGTTAAAGAAAATACCATTAAGATGAAGCAGTGTATCGATGTGCACTTAAAAGAAGAAGTCGACCGAAACTGGTCTGAAATTGTTAGTGGGGATTACATTTTTAACAGAATAAATGAGGAAATTGAAGCAATAAGAAAAACAGATCTCAAGACTGTTAGATCTTGGTGGGAGAGCCATAATTCTTTTGGAAAAAAAGAAAATTTTAAAAAACTTAGCATTCAAGTTGTCGGTTTTAAGGATGCAACAGATACCTCTGAAAATAAAAACATGCAATTTGAATTTTTAGGTAGTGATAGTGCTCTTAACGAAAAACAAGACAAAGCATATTTTATAAAAGATATTAAGGAACATAAAAATCTACTGAGCCCACTCAATGTTAAGTAATAGACATTTATTAATAAATAATTTATATGAACAAGAATTTAGATTTTTAATATATACCTAATAGTGATATTTTACAACTACTTACTCCATATTCGGGTTTGAAGAATCCTTGTTTCTCCCACCAACTGTACCAAACAGCCTCCACATATTTAGGGCTGTATGAGTCTGGCAAATTTTGTTCAGTATCTTTTCTACTGCCCTCTGGGGTATTTAAGTCGTATGTTGCAGCTCCCTTTACTTCTTTCTTCTTATCCTTTTTCTAAAATTTCAACAGAAAAATGATATGTAATTCGAAGGACTAAATGAATTTAGTAATGAAATTCAAAATATTTATTATAAAATAATACATTTTCGTAGATATATTTACTCCATGTTTACATGTTTATATTACCACGTTAAAACAACATATGTTAATTTAAATTACCTCAACATCTTTTTTGGGAACAGTGTTTTGTTGTTTTTCCAATTTCTGTTTTAACTTGTCTAATTTGGCTTGCTTTTTAGCTTCCTTTTCCAATTGTTTTGCCGTTTTTGGAGGACCCACATCTCCATTTTGAATAGCACTACTAATTTCATCAGCCATGATTTTGTAAAAAATTGCAAACTTTTACTTTTTATGCACGAGCAGGAGCAGAATTTTAAATTGCATCACCTACACACAACCTACACAGTACTAATATAACCTCAAATTTGAATGTCAATGTCAATTGTCAATATCTTCTTCCTTTCGAATTTGACGTTTAATGTTAGAGTAGAGGTTTTTACTATGGAGTGTAGGCATAAGTGCTGGTAGGGGTTCAGGAAGTAGTTAATTAAGACGTCACCAGAGTTCCGGAAAACTACATGTTACTTTTTAAAAAACTACATAAACTCACACACATTTAACACCCATGTCCGAGGCCGGAATCGAACCGGCGACCTTGCGTCTACTAGAATGCGGCGCAATCATTTCGACCACAAGGCCGACACGTTTAATGTTAGAGTAGAAGTTTTTACTATGGAGTGTAGGCATAGTGCTGAGTAGGCCCCGTCCACATTAGCCCCATGAAACAAAGAATACAAGGTATGATATTGCGCAGGTTGGTCACTACGTCACAGGTGATAAACGGTACCATTGGTCGGCAAGCTCCGCGCGCCAATTTCAAATTGTCAAACAGATGACACAAAAAATGTGAAAATAATTTTTTCAAATGTCAAGCTCCATGATTTGACATAACTTTTTGAGGTTATGTCTAATTCTTCTATTTTAGGTCTTTTTTATTAGTGGCAGTGCTTAATGCAATATTTTTGTACATGGCGTATGACGTCACAGATTGGTGTCTCGCAAACTTAACGAAGTGGAGCCGCTATCGATCATACCTATATTTTAATTAAAATGTATTTGCATTAGCCCCATGGTACAAAGAATACAAGGTATGATATTGCGCAGGTTGGTCGCTACGTCACAGGTGATAACAGGCGCTATTGGTCAGCACGCTCCGCGCGCCAGTTCAAATCGTCAAGATATTGTTATAAACCTGTTTTTTTGTTTATATACCGTCATTGAATTATCGCTAAGCAAGTTACTGTGGAGCAGTGCGTAAGGAGTTGGGCTAGGAAGCGAGAGACCGGAGTTCGAATCTCGGCCGGGACATAACTTTTTATTTATTTTTTTAAATACTGTTGTATTCTATAGTTTATTTTTGTAGTATAAAAAAAGAACTATTTATTCTGTTATTTTTTCATCTCCGGTATTAATATAAATTGACTGTTGGTACAATACCTCATTTAATATAAAATAATATTCTACTTTTTGAAATGTATCAGGCCCTAATTGTACCTAAAAGTAATATATTTTTAATGATATACCATATTGTAAACTATTTAATATTTCAGTCACTTAAAAAGTTAATTTGCATTGAATAATTGCCTACCATTAAAGGAAATTTGAGCTATATAATCTTTGATGGGCATATTCTGGGTATGCAAATACTTCCTCTAAATTTTGGGTGTCGTTCAACGGATTTATTCTCAAAACCAGAAACATCTACATATAAAAAGAAAAGCACAGGTCACTAATTATAATAAACTTCACCCTTGGAATTACTTCCACTAATTATAATAAACTTCACCCTTGGAATTACTTCTATCACAATTACAATACATTCATCTGCATTGGCATTTTCTACTTTTCGATGGGAAACAATAAACTTCCCAATATTTTTTAAATGATGTAACAATTCCTCTTGTGGTTACTTTTCCATAGATATCCTCAACTCTGTCCTCATGTGAATTCAGAGGCAATGAAAATGAAAATTATTTACCATAAACATCGCAAACTAAAAACCTAATAAACAATTTTATACCGAATATAGAAATAAATTTAGTATTCTTACCAATCGTCCAAATCCATGTTAATAGATAATTATTATTTTTAAATATATTTTTGGAACTGCTAGTTTTAGTAATTATTAAATTAAACGAACTAAAAAGTCTTAAAAATAAACAATTCTTAGCCATAACCCCAAAAAATGCAGATCTCCTGTCAACTTACTATTTATTTTTTATTTATTCATTATTTTCCTAGTGACGTCACAGGTGGTATGCGCGAACTGAACGAAATTGGAGCTATGATTGGAGCCGCTATCGATCATACCTTGTATTCTTTGTACCATGCATTAGCCCTAGCAGCAATTTATTTTGCCGTTTTTAAAAGCTGCAGCAGAGCCTGCAGTGTGGGAGTGTGGTCAACGAAGCGACACTAAAAAAGCCGTTAAAAATTTTGAAATACTCTAAATACAAAAAAAAATCATTTTTTAATTCTCCATCTATTAAAGAAAGTGCAGTGTTCGATTTAATAAAAAAAATATTTTATATTTTAGAAAGTATGGCTTAGAAACACCCTGTATGCGTTAAGATTTGGATATTTATAGCAAAGTAAGTATAGATCATTTAAAGTAAATATGTTGTATAGTTTTGATTTCAGAACAGTTCTTATATTTTTAATATTTTTTTTAAAAGGCCGAGTAAAATATTTTTTTATTTATACAGTATGGGGTGTTTCAAAAAACATATGCCATCCCTCGTGGGCACAGAATAACTACTCGTGGGGTAATTCCTCACGTAAAAATAAGATTTATTGTTCATATCATAGGTCCGATTCTGCGTTGTTTCGTAGCTACAGGGTGTTAAAGTCTTAATATTTTTTCGATTTATTATAATTTTCTTCCAAGTACTTTTAGCGTTTTGAATGAAATTTTGAGCGTAAAAGTTATAATGGTAATGGTGTGGATCCGGTGGCTGACCTTGAAACGAGTTTTTGCTGCATATAGTCACAGACACTACGCATGCGCACATCTTCGATGTTGCCAGATTGTGAGTTATTTTGGAATTATTTTCGGTAGAAAACAAATATGTGCTTTTCAGTGTTTTTTTGTCAATATATACCGTATGATCGAAAAAACGGCGTCCAGTTGGCTGGGAAATGACGATTGAGGACATTTACCATATAAAATATCAGCGATCTTCATTTCATAGTCATCGCTGACGCTATTTTTTTTTCAATCATAATACGCGGTATATTATTTATAATTATGATTTTAATATTTCGCACAACACGTGAACGCTTATTATGTATTTTCATAGTCAATAAAATTATATAGAAATAAAACTCTAGATTCCTATCTAGATTATTATGCTACGTTTAAAAAGTGCTTTATTAAAAATTCGGGAAATTAAAAGGAATGTGTCCAAGTTTTTTCTTTTTTTTTTAATTTTTAAATGCTGTAGCTCCATGTCATGTTCATAATAGTTTTTTTAGCATTCCATCAAAACTACACGGAGGCCTTAAAAGGCCTTTTAACCTCCGTAATTAAAATTGTAGAATCAGCTTCAGCAAACATTAACAGTTACCTTGTTTAATTCTGCTTATACATATATTGCATTAATTTTTCTGCTACATTAAGATTTCTCTATTCTTACACCTAATTTATGTGATTTTCTTAGCATATATGATTTATAAACTATATTTTTCCTAATGGAAGGATGAATAGGATATGCAAAATTAAGATATTTTAACATTATTTAAACAACTTAAATTCCAGACCAAGCATAATATAGTATTAAGATGAAGACATAACAAATATTATAAGAAAGATCTTAATATAAATCACAAACTAAGTCTTAATTTAGTCTTGTATTTCTATTATTATTATATTATTCTTATAAAACTAATAAGATCAAAACTCAACCTTCACCATATTGTCAAGATTTGGCATTATAGGAAACAAGAAATTACAGTAAATTAAGAAAAGAATAACAAAGTATACGATATTAAATACTGTAATGTATTTTACGATACAAGCCATCTCCCTTCTAAAGAGAAAAAGATAAAACATAAAGCTTATTTTAGTCTTATCAACACACTCTTCGATAAAATCCACTAACTTGATATCTATGCTTGATATTTTTAAGAAATTATGATACAAACATTAATTATAATCAAAGTATATTATATTACATAGTAACATTATATAATAGGTAAAATGTTACCTCTATCTCCGATTGACGTTTATTGTTCTATAATAAGACCCGTCATGGTAGTACTTCAAAACATCAATACATGCATATAATCAAAAATATTGTTGCCTGTAAATAACTAGAAATTAAATAACTTGAAAGAAATAAAATAATTCTAATAAGTTTAAAACCATTAAGAAAAAATCCGTAAATGATAAATTTTAATTCTAATGTAAACATATAAATAAATGTTATTATTATTACAATTTTATATATTATAATACTTTCATTTCACAATCTTCATTATCCTTCTTACCTTAATTTTGGATATCAAGATAAATCTGAAATTATAGAATTTGTATTATTATTAACACGCAAAAAAAAATTTTCAACTGCAAATAATTCGAAAATATACTGCAATTTGGCAACATCGACGATGTGCGCTTGCGTAGTATCGATGATGAAAAGCAGCAAATATGGGCTTCAAGGTCAGCCACCGGATCCACACCTTTACCGTTATAATAAATGCGACATATTTTAAAGCTAAAAAAGTGTCGACATATTCACCAGGGACGTGCATATGGGTTATCAATGGAATATTTTTCTAAAAAAAGCATATACGCCACTGACTTTTTTCTCTTGTTAGCGAAACAGTGTAAGCAATTTAATGCCGATAAAAGTTGTCTCTTGATATTTTGTCGATTTCGGCCTTCTTGATGAGATAAACGAAATTTTATTAATTTGCCTTGATCCAAGAACAGCAACCTTTAAAAAAATTAATATCATTTACTTGGGAAAGTTTTAAATAAAGTACTCATATTGATTCCTCATAAAAAATATGAAAAAAAGTTCCTATAAACATGGGTATGGAAATGCATAGTTTTAGACTTACAGGATGTTAAAACTTTTTAAAATTGTTTTTTTTGTAATTATCTTAAATAAAATTATTTTTTTATTTGAAATTGCTGTAAGTTGGACTAATAGTAATATAACTAATAGTAATAATATTTAAGAATAAATTAGGCACAATATATCATTTATTAATTATATTTTATTAATAATAAAATATAATATATAATATATATTATATTAATGTAATATATATTTATTATTAATATTTTTTATAATTATTGTGATTAATAAAATTGCGTTTATCTCATCAAGGAGGCCTAATTCGACAACATATCAAGAGATAACTTTTAATTGGC